TACTTTTAACAGTGTCCGCCCCCCCCCCCCTCCCCCCCGAAAATTTATGGATCTATATAGTTGATTGACCTCTTATTTTGAACCATATTTTACTTAAAGACTGAAACTCATAGATTAAATCCGATATCAAACGTATTTTTATTTTATTCTTCTATTTCATAATAGAACAGTGGCGTAGCCAGGATCGTCTCAAGGGGGGGGGGGGGTCCAATTTTTACCCGGGGACAAACTTTCGATTTGCACCTCCCCCCTCAGACTTTTGATTTGCACCCCCCCCCCCCTCAAACATACATATATATATTTATATATATATATACATACATATATATATATACATATATATATATATATATATATATATATATATATATATATATATATATATATATATATATATATATATATACATACATATATATATAAATATATATATATATATATATATATATATACCGAGGGGTCTATGGGGGGGTTATGACCCCCCCCTAAACCCCCCCCCCCCCCCTCAGACTTTCGATTTGCACCCCCCTCATACTTTATATATATATATATATATATATATACCGAGGGGTCTATGGGGGGTTATGACCCCCCTAACCCCCCCTCCCTACGCCACTGTAATAGAAGTGTCTTAAATAAAAATATATTGGCATATCGAAATTAAATTTTGTTTTATATTTTGTTATGCCTAACTTTTTTTTTTTAAATAATAAAACTCTAGAAGTAGATCGGTTTGATTCGTTTGAAGGCCTAAACATGAGATTATTTTTTTTACACGATTAATATTTTAAGATAGGCCTATACGAATAATAATACTAACTAGATCTATACCATACTATTATCGACGTAATTAACTACACATCAGTTGAAAAACAAGCTGTCGTTTGTGACCTTCAGTCTTCAGTAAAGTCATTACCGAAGAAACAATTGTTTATCGGGTGGGGAGGGGGAGGGGGAGGGGACAAAAAAAAAACTTCTCTAAATTTAGCAACGGAAATTTCCTTAAACTTTATTTTTCTTTTTAACACACCGGAAGCTCATTACATATGAGGCAGAAAACACTGCAACTTTAGGAGTTTAATAATACAAATAAATAACACATTCTGGGATCGTTAATCTAGCCATCTTATTGTTTTTATTCTTTGGTTTGATTAAAACGTAAGCTGTGTAATATCTAATGTCTGCATAGTACATAACCTCAAACACAAATGGATAAGTTATCGATAATATCAGGTGCACTGTTCTTTGCAGCTGATATTTTTGCAGTTGTAAGCTTGGCTATGCCTCATTGGATTGTTTCTGAAATAGGAGGTAAGGTAGTCATATATTATATAACAAGCATGGGGGTATTCCTACTAACTTACATGTATCGAAAATGGACAAATAAAATAAAAATAACAGTTGTTTTAGGATGCTTGTTGGTATTGTTTCCATTCCGACCTACCGTAGTAAAAAGTAATGAAATGGCTAACGGTCTAAGTCTAACCATAACCAAGTCGTCCAAGACTAAACGACTAACTAAAACATGACTGATGTCAATGATAAATTTTAAATTATTACATCGATTTGATTAATACATTTCATTGAATAAATTGAGTGAAAATTGATACTCATTAAATAATTAGTATTCTAATTATAATAATCTAATACTCTAATTCCAGATATTAGGCCCTGCGGCCTAAACCCTAAGAATTACTAATTTTTCAATTTGTAGAAGTAGAATCTAGATCTACTACAGAGTTTTTAGTAGTAAAATTTGGCACTATTGCTACTAGATTCTAGTTCTATTATAATTAGATTAGCCATAGTGGTGCTCATAGAGGGAAATGGAGGGGGGGGGGGGGAGTTTGAAGTCACACTGTTTCATTTTTTTTAAATAAGGTTAAATTTAAGATTTTAGAGTTTTTTTTTAGAAAGCCGTTTTTTGTATTAGAAATAAATTTTAATATACTCATTTTTGACCGAGCTCGGTCAACATTTTATAAAGAAATCAATGTTTAAAAAAAATGTAAATATAATTTTTAGGGGGGATTGTATGCTGCGATGTGACATGATTTTATAGGGGGGGGGGGGTCTGGCTTTATGCTATGGTCGAGAAGGGGAGGTAAAAAAATTGGCATTATTACACTACTCTAATATAACTTCCTTACTATGTCAACACTAACCCAAGCCTGAGTCCTCCCATACCCCTAACCCTATTTTTAATCCTAATCTAAACCTAAGATAACAATAGTAACAATACAGACTACAAACACCCTAACACATTTGTTTTAGAATAGTCCATTGTCTGAAACAGTAGTAACAATACATTCTAGAAACACCCTGACACACTCATTTAAGAATAGTACATTGTCAGACACAGTTGCTATCAGTGTCTGATTAGGGATCTTATTTATTTAGCATATGTGTTAATTTCCAATGTTCAATAATGTAACAATAATGACATGTTCTTTAAAAGACTTGACTAGTGTTAAAATGTACTAGATCTACCACTAAACACATGTTTGCAAAGATTAAAAGATTCAATTTGTTTAGAAATAATCTGACTCACCTTACAGGCTGATATCCTAGTCGAATATTGCTAAATCCATTGTATTTTCCTTACCATTATCACAAAGGTGATGATTTACTATAAATGACTCTCATATTTAAACAATAAATAGAATTAATCTAGGGGAGTCAACCCATTTAAAAACTTAGGTAACTGAAAATATAAATACAACCAATAACCAGATAATTTCTATGATACCCAAATTTTTATAAGAGTTGTTTTTTTTTTAATTCAAAAGGTCTACATAATAATCACATGCTGTTGTAAAAAAGATGTTTCATTAATAATATGTTAACATTAGGCCTATTCCAATTTTGGTTAATACGCAACTAAATTGTTCATAAAATATAATTGTAAAAATAATCTCAAAATTGTTAATGATGTTTGCTGTAGTGTATATTGTATGAAATGTATCCATTATATAACACACGATAAAGAACATTCTGGCCCACACTTTACACTTAAGTTTGAATTGAGAAAAATGTATCTACATATTCATAATAAACAAATGCAAATTTATGTTAAAAGAAGGAATGCATTAGCGAGTTTTGTTTAACTCTTACTTATATTCCATTTAAGCCAAATAATGTGAAGAAATTTAACAAAAACATAAATTAAATAAAAAGTGTGTTTCATACCAGTGTTCTGCAATATCATATTAATAGAATCTTCTTCATAAGTTGTATCAGATGACTGGTATAAACTTTGCTAATAAATTGCTAGTAAATTTGCTAACATTAAGAATAACCCCATTCTTACAACACAATTCATATCTTAGCCATAACACTGAACCTCATATTGTTGTAGTAGTACAACCTAACTCATGTATTTTTTTGTATTTTTTGGAGAGTTCACTTTTTGACAGTGGTTAGAGGAATACTAAATGAATACTAGAGAGCCAGTTCTTTAACAGAATTCTTTTTCTTCTCCTATTTTTAGTAAGTCTGAATTACTATTTAAACCTCTGTTTTGCCCTACAAGTAAAACTAATTTTATTTCAACATAGCTTTTATCAAAACTACTTATCATCCCCCCCCCCCCTTTTGCAAAGGGGGAAAATTCATTTGTTTTATTGATAAAATCAGGATGATAGACAACTATTATTTACTATTTTTTATTTATCCAACTGCTTGCTGTAATAAACCACTACTGTAGGTAGCTAGCTCTTAACATTCCAAATACACTAAATTTATCTGCAAACCTAATTATTTCCCTTGTTAATACAACTTTGATCTTAAAATATTACAATACCCAATCTATTATTTTATTTTTTATTAGGCCCTGCAAATTTATTATAATTATTACCAACATGCATCATGATTAATTTTTTAAATTTTTGTTATGAAAAACTAAAGAACAAAATGTATATAAATTTATATATAAATTTAGAAAAAAACTAAATATTCTTGGATTATTAAAAAATGAAATCTGTGTGTATCTTATGATAGTGTATAGTTTAGTTTAGTTTTCTTTCAGACCTTAAATTTAAAAGTATGTACTTTTATAATTTTTCATAGCGGTTGAGATTTATAAATAATACATGTCATCACTGAGCTAATAGTTTACAAAATATGTTGAAATATGAAGCACATGACATTTATGTAAGTGGGAAAGTGTTATGGGGTGTGTAACATGATTTTTTAAATGTTTCATGTCTAGGTGACACAAATATCGGACTTTTGAAGACGTGTTTAACAATTTATGGACGACCTTCTATCTGTTTTATGCCCAGTCCTGTACGAGGGGAGTGGCTGCTGACATTTATTTGCATAGTGCTTGGCATTATCTGTATCACCATCACAATTGTTCTGCTGGCTTTCTCATACTGGGAGTACCGTGTTATGAAATTTGCACGATGGCTAGGCTTTGTTGCAAGTAGGTTCCACTTTTATCATATTACATGTATTATATCATTATAATAAAATGATATTATATAATGATAATATTATAATGATCATAAAAATATTATTGTGATAATTATAATAATTTGCCTTGTGGCAGATAAGTTCATATGTTTATGAGACCTCAACATATAAACGGATAGTGTGGTCAGCACTTTGCCCTTCTCCCTTAAGAGCTGGGTGGACTCATGGATGTCCTACAGACACAAAGCAGGGATTTGAACTCTAGGCTAGTTAGCAGCAGTGTGCTCTACCGTCCAATCTTGCAGGCTATTATATACAGTTAAAAATTGAAGGTTACTTAAAACTTATTTCATTTTCTAATTTCAGTGATCCTGTTCTGTTTGGCGGCTGTAATTTTTCCAATTGGGTTTGACATGGATCAGATAGGTGGAGAAGCCTACCAGCTACCAAACAACTACAGGGTGGGGATCTCCTACATTTTTTTTGTTCTGGCCCTGTGGATTACAGTAGTCTCTCAACTCTTTGCCAGCAAGGTTTGCTTGCCGCACTTCTGATACAGTAGTCTCTCAACTCTTTGCCAGCAAGGTTTGCTTGCCGCACTTCTGATACAGTAGTCTCTCAACTCTTTGCCAGCAAGGTTTGCTTGCCGCACTTCTGATACAGTAGTCTCAACTCTTTGCCAGCAAAGTTTGCTTGCCACACTTCTGATACAGTAGTCTCAACTCTTTGCTAGCAAGGTTTGCTTGCCACACTTCTAATAGCCACAGTTGTGTTTTTTAAAGACTGGTCTTCTTCAGTATTAAAAGTACTTAACAGTCTGTCTCTTTCTACTCATATGTCCTGGATTAAGCTTTATGCTATCATTGTGGAAATGTGTGACAGTTCCTGGAATACACATTGAGAATCCCTTGATGATTGTGTATCATCCAATATAATGTACCTGGCTTTGTGTGCCACACTTTAAACATTGTTCAATGCAGTGTAGAGAAGAATCTGGTCTGTCATGATGTTTTTTTTCATGATTCTTAATTCGTGTTTGTATTTTTTCATTTGCATAAGCAAATTGTTTTGTGGAAATAATAAGAAAGTAAATATTTTGCTAATTGCAAAATCCTATTTAAGTGAAAATATATAACCGATTTAATAATGAGAATCTCACTTGATGCTCAATATTAAAAAAAACCCATAGAAAATTAGCTAAATATCATTAGAACTTTGGCCAAAGACCTCAAGCAAAACATTGAAGTGGTTTTTCAAAGGCAAATACAATATTTTGAAAGTAAGCTCTTCTATATAGAGCTAACCTAAGGAAAAAAATTGAAAATACGCACCTTATTAATTTCATTATGGCAGTTATACGTTTTTTTGTCCTTGAATATTTCTTACACTATTTTAGGCCTTGCCAAGAGCCTAGTTGTAAAGGTCTAGATTATTTTTTATCTTTAACTTAAAGATTAGCAGAAAAAAACAATAATTACCTCTTTCATTTCCTCCCCTGAGTTGCACTGTTTGAATGCTTTTACTCTACTGTGCCATTCTATAAGGGGATTTGTTTTCATTCATGTTTTGACAGATGTTGTGTGTTAGGTCAGTTTTTATATGCATTTAACTTAACTTTCAGTTTCTGTTGTAATAGTGCAAAAAAAATTTTTTATTGTCTATCAAAATTTACAGTTTATTTTGTATTTTCTGTACAACATGTAATTAATTTGATTATTTGTAAATGTGTACAAATAAACCTTTTTTTTTGTAAATGTGTATATTAATAGAATGATATTAACTTGTTATGTTATTTGTGGCATTTTCTATTTTTTTAATAAAATGCTGAATATTGTGAATCTATATCGTTGTGTAGGCATAATTGTATTTGTCTACTTGAAATGTTAAATATAACTTTGATAAGAATTTCTCACATATTTGACCACTGCAAATACAAATTTTATTTATATTGAGATAATTTTATTGTTATGATTCCTTCATTACTGTTGTGAAAAATGTATGACACTGTTAGTGCATCAGTTTGGTTTTGTGAACACAGAAGGAAAGCCAACTGTTAAACTGTTTTGGTTTAGTGTGCAATGTTTGTCACTAAAGATGTCAACATATTTATATTTCCATATTTGTTTGGTTTAAAAGCCAAGTCATAGTTTTAATTAAATTAAATACATAAAATCAATTTTTTAAATGAAATATCACTTTTACATGTTCTTAAGTAAGAAACATTATATTGTACCTTTATATAATACTAAAATTCATGTCTAATTTTAAAAATGTATGTCAGTAAATGCACTTTAACTCAAATAGTTTCAGTTTCAAACCATTAATGATGCATGATGATCAGTTTTAAAAATATTAATTTTAATAAGCTCACAACATCAAATATGTTCCATTTTAGATTTTTTTTAAAAATAATTTAAAGGGAAGTAATCTTGAATTTACATCACTCATAACTTTATTTATCCATCTCTAAGTTATGTGTTGTTTTTTTGTCAGTTTTTTTAGAACAGCAGTAATATGAAATAAATGAAATACTTGACTTTTTATCAGTGACACTCATTTTGTGGAAAAAAGAAAAAAAAACAACAATGTAATAATATAACAATATAAAAGAATTTAAAAACTATTAAGATACATGTTTTATGAAATCCTGGTCAAAATTTGAAGAAAAATCAGCCACAAAAAAAAAATCAAGATTGAAAACAGCACTATGTCATGGAAATGGCAATGTAAATTAGTAAACCCCCATAAACCCCACATGATTTACTGCAGCTCGTTTAGATTGTCCCTTACCAGTCATAGAAGTACTACAGTCACAACACTAAACTCATTATTATTTTGTACAGTTGGTTCAGTAAAAATTTTGAAGAAAAAAACAACCTTAATTTACATAAATTAAAAAAAATTAAATGAATAATTCATATAATGAATTAACAAATTAATGAAAAGGATTATATTAAATAACATTTATGATCGCAAAATAGATTATTCTATAATCTGATGAAGTGTTTCTACACCAATAAAGTTTATTTTTGTTTCGGTAGACATTTAAAATGAAATAATGAGTATCTATGTTTAATTAGCTTATCCAATGTCTTTCAAATATTTTTTTTATTATTTTGAAGTTCAACCTTGTGGATTGCATGGTTTACTGAAGTAGACACTTGTTTTCTATCACCAAATTCAATTATAATATTGAATATTGGTCAGTCTTTATTCTTTAATGTTAATATGTAAAATCCTTTTTTATAAAATAAAAAAAATTATGGTTTCAAAAATCTTGTTATCACAAATTAAAATTTGATACCTTAAATGAGATAATCTCTTTAAGTTCAAAAATTCATTTGTATCTTAAATATTTGATTGGATCCAGGTCTCCTATAGTTTCAGCCTTAACATCTTTAGAAATGTTCTGCAACAGTGGTGCCAATTGAACAAGTTCTGATACAACATTTTCCCCAGCTTTTAAGAGGATTTCAATTGATCTGACAGATTTACTAATCTGTGGTAGAGTTTTCCCCATCACATAGTTCTCTAACCTTTTGTTTATAAACTCTAGTCTGGACATTTTGTGCAGGCTTACTGCTGTTATTTTACAAAACTTTCTTTTAATTACTGCTGCGAAAGACAACAAAACGTAAAACATTTCCATAAATGTTGAGACATGTTCTAAGAAATAAAAACTTTCTTCAGCTAATGATTTGGTCAAGTCCAACATGCTTTTGTTGTCACTAACACAAAGAACTGATGCCGGGAACTTCACTGTGACTGCCTTCATTTGTAAAATACTTTGAAGCCATTTTTCTAATAGTTTGATATTTGAAGAGAATTTGTGCATTTCCAAACAAGCAGTGAAATATTTGATTGGAAGATCACTGATAAGAATGTTGGATAATGTATAGTTAGTTAAACGTTTTGCTTTATTAGTGCATTCTGAAAATGTACCTGTATGTGTTTCTTTGTCTCTTAAACATTCCCAGCAGAATTTGAATGTGCATACGCCACACGACAGATATGGAGAATAACATCTATGATAATTTTTTGCTATTGGGGTTTTACACTTGGGGCAGTGTTTTAACTTGATATTGAACACTGCTTGACCAAACTTCAACTGCGCGCCAGTTTTCTCCAGAAGTTTGTTATATGCAGACATCTGGTCACATGATGTCGGCCAGTGAGGTGTTTTTTGACAGTTTCCACACCAGGTGTGTGAACAGCCGCAGCTAACTGGAAAACCAAATTGTGTCTTTAAGGGAAAAGATGTGGAAATAGCAAATTTTTGGCAGTCCTTTTCAGGGCACCAGTTACATTTAGGATTTGAATCAATTAAATTGTCTCTTGCTTGATTTGACCATTTAGTTACAACTGAAAAAGGTAGACTTGATTTCAAAGTAACAAGGTCCATTTGGCACTGCAGCTAGTGATCATACAGGGTAGATAACTGGTGCCATGCCTGTTATTGTAGTAGAGGTGAGTACGCCAGCAGCTCACACAGAATGCATGTCCGCAGGACAACATCAGTGCAGGGTTGTCAGGTGTATAGGGGAGACAACAGGTGGTACAGTCACTTGTCTTGATTACCTCCGCTTTGGTTTTAATGAGAGATGTCAGAAACAATTGTTCAGGATCGCCCTTGTGTTCTGGTTGCTGTTGTAACAGAGAAACCGCTTCTGTGATGGTGTGAGTACTAATGGTTCTTGTTTGTGGTAAGAGTTGCCAGATAAAGTTTGAAGGTGCGGCATGGTCTAGTTTTTTGTTCGTGGTTAAACAGACAGGTTCGCCAACAACATTATTTTTCAAACCAGAAACTAAATAGATTAGATTTTGAAACGCTAATCTACACTCCAGCTGTTCTGACATTCTTTGTCTAAATTTGGCATTTATTTTTAAATTGTCCTGGCACTGTATGGATATCAGCCATGACGAATTAGGATGGCCAGATTTTTTCCCAACGAGATACCATTCTTTTGTCTCATCGTTTTCGCCACTGAACTTGACAACAAAGCACGGGGGATAACTGTTACCAAGACAGACATCAACCACTCCACTTTCACGGAGTTGTTGTTGGTCTAATTCATTTTCACAAGAAAACAAAGTTTCTTCCACGAGATCAACATTCACAAAACTGCTGTCAAATTCCATGGTGCCACTTTTAAACTCATCTGACAAACTATGAAATTTATTTGTTTTTTCTACGTCCAAGAAAGCTGCTTCCTCAGATGAAATGATTTCAAATGAATGATTAAGCTGATCATCTTGAAGATTTTGTGTAGAACTTTGCTTTAAACTTTGTTCACTCCTCCAATTTTTTTCCGCAACAACTTCAGAGATATCAGCGTGAACCAACCAGTCTTTGTAAAACATTTTCAAATCTAGCCTTTGTTTCTTTTTCTTTCGTCGTCTTGTTTTCTTTTTACTGTCTACAATCAAATCACTAATATCAAATTCTCGTGCAAAATCTTTCTTACGTCCCTTAAAATATGCTTGAAAAAAATAATAATAGCCTTTATCACAGTAAACCATGTAATCTTCACATTCCCCGCGCAGTTCCGTTAAAGTTTCAATCGTGTCTTCTTTCATTTCAGCTTTTGTATAACCCTTACAATACTCTTTTAGTCCATTGACGTAACCTTTTGTTTTAAAAAAGGATTTTTTATTGTGGCGTAAATGACCAAAGTGCAAAAATTTATGCTCGTAATTAAAATTGTAAGCACTTCTTGCATCGACGTGATACGGTAGATAAACGTTGATATCAAGTTCAGCCTTCACGCTCTCAGGAAGAGACGTATCACCTCGTTTTGGTTTTTCTATGGGATGTTTCCTTAGGAAGTGATGTTGTCGTTGGACACCTCGCCCATGATATGTAAATCTCTTTCTAGATTTTTTCTCCTGATTTTGTTCACACTCTTGAGTCGACTGTGCAAGTATTTTCCAAGAATATTTTTTATCTACCATAGCATGTTTATAAGAAGTTCCGTTCGGAATATCTTTACTCTGTATTACAGCTACGTTTAAGTTCTCGTTAACTTCCCGTAGGAAGTCAAAATCTGTCATCATGGTGTCTAGTGCTGCTGGTAGGAGCCATCTCTTGGCTTTATTCATGGAGTAGAAAACACTGCCCTCACACTTTGAACACTGAATCTGTGGCAGACCAGGTCCCTTCCATTGAATGTAGTTCCAGATTTTCTCCAAACATTTCGATACATTCTCTTCTAATTTTTCATCTCTTGGCTTTATCGGTGGTACAGAAATGGCGATCACATTCTCCATGATCATTGGCCTCTGTGTATTGCAAGCCTGGCCACCTCTGGCCAATCGTTGGGTGCCTCCAGAATTCAGTCCTGAGTTCGATTTTTTCAGCACCATTTTGATGTTGACTGTTTGGAGTGATAAAAAATGTACTGCATATCACATATTTTATATCAATACAATACTATTTACGCCAAAAGTAAGACAAATAACAAATGTGTCCTTAGTGATCTTTGAACAGCTCTCGAACACCACAGGATTATGTACTAGCGATCGCTTGATATATCAGCTAGCTGACAGCTGTTAAGTATTGCTTTTTGGGGTGATTCTACGCATGAGAAGCGTCCACTGACGTTAATAAAGGGCAGATAATTGTCCATTTTTAGTTAATTCCCAAGCTCCCGTTTGAGATTTAAAGCAAATATTTTAGTTGTATATAGTGTCGACTACATTTAAAGCGAATATATATATATATATATATATATATATATATATATATATATATATATATATATATATATATATATATATATATATATATATATATATATATATATATATATATATATATATATAATATGGCTATTTTATTTCATTTTTTTTAAATTTTAAATCGAAAATACAAACATTTGGGAAAAAAAGTTTATGAATACAAAACCCTTAAAAATAATAAGGTTCTAAATATATAGAAATAAAATTGAAAACTGACTGAAATTTGTTTAAAAACCTCCTCCCCTCTCCCAAATTAATCTAAGCAAAAGTTAAAGTCAGTTGTTGGTGCTATCTTTTGGGTCATCTTTGATAAGCTTAACGATAAGAGCCAACGATTGGCAGTTTAAAGAAGTGTTTATCACCTCTAAACAAATAAGGTGTTTTTCAGCCATAATAAATTATCTAAAAGAAATAATTGTTACGTACAGTTTTTGAGGTGCAGGGCCAAACGAATGTAGAAGTGCAGTGTCCAACAACCACTGCTGTGGTACTTCAGCTATCCCCAAACAACATAAACATTATTACACAGATTCTATAATTAGCGCGCTGAAATTGATTTTCAAAAGACGTCGCTCAGGCTTGCCAGCAGTTGTGCAATAGAACATAAAATGGCTCTACCATTTATTTATTTGGAATTCCCAATGACAACCTTTTAAAAATCGATTATTGAATCCCATGTTTAAAAACATTTGTAAATTGTCCGATTTATAATTTCCTTACTTAGATAAAGTAGCATCCTAACGTTGTGGAAGTGAGGTATCTCATTGAATAAAACTTTCGAAAATAAAAATAAAATAAAAAAAACAGCATCCAATAAGCTTATTGGGCCAACTGAACAATGAGTCTATAACAAACCTTCCCAATACAACATTGGCAACTCACAAGAGCCTTCCTGGCAACTCAGTCCTTAGTTTTCCCAACTGTCCCCAGGGGTAGCCCATCTTCCTTATACTAGTTGTTTCTCCAACTGTCCCCGTGGTAACCCATCTTCGTTGTGCTAGTTTCTTCATTTGTTCCCAGTGGTAACCCATCTTTCTTGTGCTAGTTTCTCCAACTGTCCTCAATGGTAAACCATTTTTCTTATACTAGTTGTTTTTCCAACTGTCCCCAGTGGTAGCCCATATTTCTTGTGCTAGTTTCTCCAACTTTCTCCAGTTATAACCCATATTTATTATACTAGTTTTCCTAATTGTCTCCAGTGATAATTGTTTTTAATTAATTGAAGTAATGGCGTAAAGATTGTATTTGTTTTGTAACCAACAGTATTTTATTTGTGTTTAAAGTTAGATGAAGAACAATTGCACTAAAATACAATAAAGCAAGTTTTAAAGGGGGGAAAGACTGACAGTCTGAAATCCATGTACCAATCTTCTGTTCACCTCATCAGTTTTTCTACAAAGTTTGCCTGAACTTATCGCCACGCAGACTGTAATAATTTAGTATTAACGCCGATTTCCACTGCCTAACAAAGATGTACATCACACATACCAAAACACAAATTAAATTAATGAGCATTAATCAATTGTTAGATCTTTATTAAAAATGTTTACATAAGCTTAAAATGTCATATAATAATATCTTAACAGGGTGTACGAAGTTAGTTTTTTATTGTGCTACAAACAACAGCATCAAAAGATTTAATGTTGAAGCTTTTCGGCTTCTGAAATCCGGTACATTTTAAAAATAAAACTATAGTTCCAGTTCAATCAATTTATTTGTATCTTAAATATTTTAATGGCTCTAATTCTCCTATAGTTTCAGCCTTAACATCTTTAGAAATGTTCTGCAACAGTGGTGCCAATTGAACAAGTTCTGATATAGCATTTTCCCCAGCTTTTAAGAGGATTTCAATTGATCTGACAGATTTACTGATCTGTGGCAGAGTTTTCCCCATCACATAGTTCTCTAATCTTTTGTTTATAAACTCTAGTCTGGACATTTTGTGCAGGCTTACTGCTGTTATTTTACAAAACTTTCTTTTATCTACTGCTGCGAAAGACAACAAAACGTAAAACATTTCCATAAATGTTGAGGCATGTTCTAAGAAATAAAAACTTTCTTCAGCTAATGATTTGGTCAAGTCCAACATGCTTTTGTTGTCACTAACACAAAGAACTGATGTGGGGAACTTGACGGTGACCGCCTTCATTTGTAAAATATTTTGAAGCCATTTTTCTAATAGTTTGATATGTGAAGAGAATTTGTGCAATTCCAGACAGGTGGTGAAATATTTTATTGGAAGGTCACTGACTAGGTCGTTTGCTAAACTGTGAGTCTTGTAGCTTTCAGACGAATCCTTGCAGGCGAAGATATTATGTGTTTGTGTGTCTCGCAAGCACTGCCAGCAAAAATTGAACGAGCACGCTCTACACACCATTGAAGGGCAGCCGCCATTTTTTTCTATTGGGTTCTCACATTGAGGGCAGTGTTTTAACTTGATCCTGAACACTGCTTGACCAAACTTCAACTGCGCGCCGGTTTTCTCCAGAAGTTTGTTATATGCAGACATCTGGTCACATGATGTGGGCCAGTGAGGTGTTTTTTGACAGTTCCCACACCAGTTGTGTGAACAGCCGCAACTAACTGGAAAACCAAATTGTGTCTTTAGTGGAAAAGATGTGGAAATAGCAAATTTTTGGCAGTCCTTTTCAGGGCACCAGTTACATTTAGGATTGGAATCAATTAAATTGTCTCTTGCTTGATTCGACCATTTAGTTACAACTGAAAAAGGCAGAATTGATTTCAAAGTTACAAGGTCCATTTGGCAACTGCAGTTAGTGATCATACAGGGTAGATAACTGGTGCCATGTCTGTTGTTGTAGAATAGATGAGTACGCCAGCAGCTCACACAGAATGCATGTCCACAGGACAACATCAGTGCTGGATTGTCAGGTGTATAGGGGAGACAACAGGTGGTACAGTCACTTGTCTGGATTACCTCCGCTTTGGTTTTAATTAGAGATGTCAGAAACAATTGTTCAGGGTCGCCTTTGTATTCTAGTTGCTGTTGTAACAGAGAAACCGCGTCTGTGGTGGTGTGTGTACTAATGGTTCTTGTTTGTGGTAGGAGTTGCCAGATAAAGTTTGAAGAAGTGGCATGGCCTAGTTTTTTGTTTGTGGTTAAACAGGAATGTTCGCCAAAAACATCATATTTCAAAGCAGAAACTAAATAGATTAGATTTTGAAACGTTAATCTACATCCCAGCTGTTCTGAAATTCTTTGTCTACATTTGGCATTTATTTCTAAATTGTCCTGGCACTGTATGGATATCAGCCATGACGAATTAGGATGGCCAGATTTTTTCCCAACGAGATACCATTCTTTTGTCTCATCGTTTTCGCCACTGAACTTGACAACAAAGCACGGGGGATAACTGTTACCAAGACAGACATCAACCACTCCACTTTCACTGAGTTGCTGTTGGTCTAATTCATTTTCACAAGAAAACAAAGTTTCTTCCACCAGGTCAACATTCACAAAACTTAGGTCAAATTGCACGTTGCCACTGTTAAACTCATCTACCAAACTATGAGATTTATTGGGTTGTTCTACGTCCAAATCGTAAGCAGCTTCCTCAGATGAAATGATTTCAAATGAATGATTAAGCTGATCATCTTGAAGATTATGTCTAGAACTTTGTTTTAAGTTATGTTCACTCCTCCAATTTTTTTCTGTAAAAACTTTGTCGCTTTGTTGGTTGCACCAGTCTTTGTAAAACATTTGCACATCTATCTTTTCTTTCCTTTTCCTTTGTCGTTTTGTTTTCTTTTTATTGTCTACAATCAAATCACAAAGATAAACTTCTTGAGCTAAGTCTTTATTGCATCCCTTAGAGTATACATGGAGAGAATGACAACAGTCTGTATCACAGTAATCCATGTATTCTTCACATTCTCCGTGCAGTTCCATTAAAGTTTCAATCGTGTCTTCTTTCATGTCAGCTTTCGTAAAACCCTTAAAACATTCTTTTTGTCCATTGACGTAACTTTTTGTTTTAAAAAATGACTTTGGATTGTGGCGTAAATTACCATAACCGCCGTATCTAAGGTCATAATTATAGTTGTAGGCACTCCTGGCATCGACGTGATAGGGTAGGACGACTCCGATATCAAGTTCAGCCTTCACGTTATCGGGAAATGGCGTATGAACTCGGTTTCGTTCTTTGTGAGGTTTCCTTTGGTACTCGTGGGGTCTTTGGACACCTCGTCCATGGTATGTAAGTCTCTTTCTAGATTTTTTCTCCTGATTTCCTACTCCCTCTTGGGCGCGCTGTGCAAGTATTTTAAAAGCATCCTTTGTTTCAGATAAATGGGGTTTTCTATAGCTTCTGTTTGGAATGTCTTTCCTCTTGACCATCCTTAAATTGAAATATTCGGGAATTTTCTGTAGAAAGTCAATGTCTGACATCATGGTGTCTATCCTAGCTGGCAGGAGCCATCTTTTGTCTTTATTCAATGTGTAGAAAACAGCGCTATTATAATTTGAAATCTGAATTCGTGGCAGACCGGGTCCCTCCCATTGAATATAGTTCCATATTTTCTCCAAACATTTCGATACATTCTCTTCTAGTTTTTCATTTTTTGGCTGTATAGGTGGTACTGTAAAGGCGATCACATTCTCCATGGTCATAGTTATTGGTTCAGCGAAAATAACGCCACCTCTGGACACTCTTTGGGTTGCTCCAGAATTCAGTCGAGAGTTCGACTTTTTAAGCACCATTTTTTTTAAATTTACTGTTTGGATTTGAGAAAGAAAACAATTACAGACTTATTTACTTATTTATTTAAAAGAAAAATATCATATACCGTAATTTACAAATTATAGTAAATTTCTAATATAAATTAATATGATCTACTAAAAACACTTTTTTTTATCCTTTCACTAATCATCTTAGATAATTGACTTTGATTTTCAAACTTTATAATTTGATTGAACTTTTTCTCGAATCTTTCCATTTATTTTAATATATTAATGAGTTTAGTATCTACCCTTCCCCCCCCCCCCCCCCCCCCCCCCCCGTTATTGCTGGAATTTGTTCCAATAATGTTAATGGGGGAAATTTTAAAGTAGGATGCTCTCTTTTGCAAAGGGATTCTACTTCGTCATGGATTTATGTCTCTTTTTCACAGACAAGTTTTCTTTCATGCCGTTTTGTCTGTTGGAGAGGGGAAAGAGGGGGGGGGGGGGGGGGTGGGGGGGGAGAGGGGACACAAAATTTCCGATGAGGGATGAATACCGGTGAAAATAGGCCTATAATTTTCTATATATAATTTTTTTTTTTTGTTCAGTGGGGGTAGGGGGGGGGGGGGGAGACAGAATAGACGCTCTCCGAAGATATGCCTGAAAGAAACTCTGCTCCCAGCACTCGGCTATTTAGGCCTACACAATCGCTAGAATTGTGAACCGAAGCACAATGAAATGTGTGTAAACAAAATACAGGGTTAGGGTTAGGAACAGGATCGTAATGCTTCGATAAGCAGTGGAACACTTCGGAACAAGTACCTATTAGATCTAGATCTATAACGGAAATACACTACACCACAGATATCTAGCCTACATCTGACATCATAGTACCTGCAAGATCAATCAGTATTTATTTAAAAGAAAACAGAATTTTTAATAAAATAGTCACATACCGTTCTTGCAATGTAGATCAATACCTGCACTCACTGGTTAAGAATAAACGAACCTACAAGTTTAAAGTGCCGAGAAATTTCTACCCTGCTAACATTTATTTCAAAATATCAATAGAAATGTGACACAGATTCTATATTTAGAATCTACTTTTTATAGATCTTTAAAATCAAATGAGGTCTATTGCAAGCAGTGAGGCAAGAGTTCTAAAAATAGCTCTGACCTACTATTTATACAATCGGAAATTCCAGCGGCTACAAAATGTATTCATTCATGTTACTAGGTCTCTATAGTCTATAATAATTACTATAAGGTTGAGAATGTAGCTTAGCCTTAAAGTTGTATTTAATAAACTTCTGATTGAAACATTTAAAGTTTTAGGGATTATGTTCCATTAGCAAATTAGCGATAGTAAGTTTTACTGTCTCCACATGCCGATTGTGGTGGTGGGGATAAATAAAAAAAAGGACGGTTAGGATTTTTGAGACGATGTGAGGGGTTAGAAAATGTGGCGACACTTTTTTTTTTAATTTTAAAAGTAATTTTTTATGCGGAGATGCGTGGCCTAGTGGTAGATTGCTAGACCGCTAACCCGAAAGTCGAATCCGGGTTCAAGTCAGTAGAACGTCACTGAGTCCACCCAGCTCTGATGAGTACCTAACACGTAAAGGCGGTTGGGCATAGTGCCGAGATCACAGACAGGTGAACTCTACTTTACTTGCCCCATGGACCCTCAGCTTAAAAAAAAAGGAACTTTATTTATTTATGTTTCTGTGGAGCCACAAGAGAGCTATCTGCCATTTAATATTCTTTCTATTTTGTTTTTTTTTTGTCACTGTTGAAATGTGGTCACCTGGACTTTGATCTAAGCCAGTCATTTTGCAATTAGTAACAAGCTGGATCACTGTTGGTCAGTTACCAGATAAAATTTATAAAACAACTAAACAAATCTGTTATCAAGTGTTGACTTATAAAACACCTACTCCGTACTTCTGATTTATTGTTAAGAAAAATTAAAGTGCATATCAGTATCTAAGTTATTAAACAGGTGAAGTAGAGTTGAATGAATGTACTGTACACACTTTATTGCAGAAAATGGATTTAAAATAACCTAAAATGTTGGCTAGGGTTATAGTCATGGTGTGCTTAAAAACAAGGATAGAATCTTGAGATACATTGTATGTAGTAATGCTACTGTGATTACAGCATGTTAAGTTATATGTTGGTGTAAACATCACAACCCAGACAACTGTGTTGGACCAAAACAATCTACTTCAAGTTTAAATCTCCTTTAGGTATGTATTGAACAAAATAAAAACACTCTTAACAAACCAAAAGTCAAATAAAATCTTATCACAGGTACTTTATTCTATATTTGTTTTAATTTGATTTAAAAAATCCAAATATTCATTTCATTACCCATATAGCACTAGCTGCAAACATACAACAGAGAGAAAAATAAAAATGTAAACAATTAAACTATTATGTTTGGATTTATATACTATAATCTTGAATTACACAGACAAAAGTTTGAACTACCTGCTTATATGCATTAAAACAAGTTTAATAAACAGAATGTAGACAGTCAAACCAACTGGTCAACAGTCCAAATGTTTCTGTGTGTGTGTGTGAATCACGCTGATTGTAATTATTACCAGTAATGGCTTTCCTTGTAATATAAAGATGCACATCCCAGTTACCAAAGCACAAATTATTAAGTAATCAGAAATGAGATTAGTCATCAGAAATTCAATGCAATCACAAAACCAATCAACCATTAATCTCAGATCATATTATAACTTCACAAAGCAAAAAAAAAAAATCACTTTCACCGGATATTTTTCTTATACTTACACTTCTACAAGACAATATACAATTTTTTTCCTAAGCTTTTTGAAACAAACCACTGCAAACGTGTGTACACCACCAGAGACATGAGGATGCTACAATATTCTCTGATATTATTATGTTTATAAGCCAGGAGCATGTATATGTACATCTATAAAACAACAGAGTTATAGTGCCTAGCTTTTGGTCTATGTTAAGCAGGGAGAGGCATGCAGAAGAGCTTTAAATATTTTAGTTCTGTTGGACTAGCTTTGACAATACTGTGGGCTATCAGAAAATAAGTTGTGCCATCATGTAGATGACACAGCTTAATGAATGACTAACATAAAGTTCACTAAAAATGATTGATTATGCTGATGATTATTTGAATTTACTTTTTCAAAGTAACAATTTGATAAGTACAATCATTTATATACAATTAAAGCCCTCAGGTAATGCTTGTTATTCATTTAGTAACCACTATCAAAACACACGTAAAGTGCATGGATTGCAATCAGCATACCTAATGGTACTCATATTGATGGCATACAACATGTATTAAAGTCAAACATATACTTAAATGGATACAAAAATTAAATTTTAAAAAAGGGAAAATGAATACATTTTCACTAAACTAAATAGCCTATTTAATTCTATATTTCATTGGCAAAACATGTCCTTGTCTAATCAACAAGCCCCTCTAAATATGGCAGATAAAAAAAAACACCTAACAGTCTTCGTTGTCAGTTTTAAAAACTAAATATAGCTTTTGAATTAGGCTGTCTAATGTAAACAATTATAAAAGTTAATACATTTTTAAAAACTATGAATCAGTTGATCAGGTACTTCAGCATTGATGTGGACCTTCACAATCTGTTTAAATACTTGTATGTCCCTTTACCCGGTTGAGATCTTACTTATACAACTCACTACATTATTTTTAAAACTTAGGTAGTTGGGTGATCTGTATTACTGAGCCGTTTTGGCAACTTCAGCCATCCTGTTGAGAGCACTTCCTGCTTTAAACCACAGTATCTGGCCTTCATTCAATGTGTGCTTCAGTTGGATTTTATCCACTTTACCATCTTTGTGTTTGATATGACATTCCACTGGCTGAAAAACAATGGTACAGTTTTACAGATTTAATTTGGATAAAAGAAAATCGTTCATACGTTTTAAAAATGTAGCTTCCAAGAAGTTTATTCCAAATATTTGAACTATTTAGATCCTGAACTAGACTTCTAATTGTTTCCAAAAGTATGAGCCTTACCTTTCCAGGAGCAATATTTTTAAGACCAACTAAAGAAATTCTATCTGATGGTTGAATTTTGTCATAGTCTGCAGGGTCAGCAAAGGTCAGAGGCAACATTCCTTGTTTCTTCAAATTGGTCTCTAAAAAAATAAGGCATACAAAGTTACAAACAGTCAACAAATCTCCACCCTTTAAATTGGTCTCTAAAACAATAAGGCATACAAAGTTAAAAACACAACAAATCTCCACCCATAAAAAATAAACCTGTCTGAAAAGACAGATGTAAGACAAGACTTACCATGTATACGAGCAAAGCTCTTCACAATGATGGCTCTACCTCCAAGATGCCTGGGCTCAAGGGCAGCATGTTCTCTACTGCTTCCCTCTCCATAATTTTCATCTCCAATCACAACCCATCCTTGTTTCTTGGACTGTGGAAATTGTTTGAAATTGTGGATGTATGATTTTCTAATACAAATTTTAACACAGATTAAATCCCAACAACGCAAACTTAAACTCACAAAGAAATCTTTAAAAAAAAAAAGAAGCAAACAAAATTGTACATTAAAAATACCTTGTAATATCTGGCAGTGTCTGGTACAGCGCCTGTCTCTCCTGTAAGCTGATTGGTCACTTTGTTGAGTTCATTGTTCTCAATGTTAACAGCACTGAAACAAAAAACACAGAATCAGATCTGGAGCATTGTATGCAAGACAAGAGTCTTTGAATATACATTGGAAACAGACTTGTAAAAAAACATTTTGTCTGAAAATTACATTCAATCTTAGCCATTGTAAACTTTCAATGCCTGTTTAACAGATAATATTAACAAATTATGTAATGGAACAGAAAAATAAGCAATTTACTCACCCAATAAGTAAATTATTGGAAATATTGTCCAGATGACCTCTGTATTTCAACCACTGTCCAGCAGCACTGATATGGTCAGTTGTACATTTACCCTTTGCCTGTCAAAATTAGGATAAATTTTTTGTAAAAGCAATACTTAGATTTTTAACATTCTAATAAAAATAAATGTGAAAACTAAGTCTGACCTTAATAAGAATAACCAAATCATTCATATCTTTGCCATCCCATTTGTCAAAAGGTGATAAAAGTTGCAGGCGCTTGCTGTCTGGTGCTACTACTACTTTAACACTGCTGCTGTCCTTAGGGGGAGCTTGATATGTATCCTCACCAGGATCAAATCCTGCTCTAGGTAATTCATCACCACTAGGACTTTCTAGTTTAAACTTCTTACCTACATAATAAAAAATACAAGGTTATCAACATTGGTATACCTCACAATAAAAGTTTTACATAAAGTAAAAAATTATACACAGAATAATTAATTAATTCAAATCATCTACCCTCATGTTCAATACATAATATATTGCATATATTTGTTTGCAACCATATACATGGGATGACAACTTGAGTCTCCCACACCTGTTGGTGGCATATTTTTTTATATAGGTTGACAACTCAGTTAAAGAGTGCAAAGAACAAGTTCTACGCTGGTGTTGAATAAGTCACTGTAACATAACAGAGTATTCTTTGCTCAACCAAAACAGATATGAAATACAAGTGTAAACTTCTCACCTACATTATAAAATATGAGATGATCAAAATTGATATTCCTTAAAATAAAAGTTTAACATTAAATATAAAATGATGTAGAGAATAAAAACCACTCACCATCTGATCCTGTGAGCTCATCTGTCAATGGATTGAAGGACAAGTCCCCAGCAATAGCAAGAGCTGTCACCAGTTCTGGTGATGTTACAAAGGCGTGTGTGGCTGGGTTGGCATCATTTCTGCCAGTAAAGTTACGGTTGTAGGATGAAACAATTGTGTTCTTCACTCCTTTCTTCACATCCTGCCTGTCCCATTGCCCTATACATGGTCCACAGGCATTGGCTAGTACAACACCGCCAATGTCACGTAAAACTTTAGCCTAAAAATATTATTTTAAAACAACTTACTGACAATGTAAAATCAAAAATATTTCTGGAAATAACCCATTTCAAAAGTGTAAAAATAAAATACTATTTGAAATACAATATTGCCTAAACTAAATGTATACTGCGACATACTGCTATCAATTTCAACTACACAAAAAAAAAAAATACAAAAACAAAGAAAACACCAGCAAGTTTAAAATTGTAGCACTTACATAGCCATCTCTTTCAATGGTAGCTCTGATCTGTTCAGAGCCAGGGGTAATTGTGAAGGCTGCTTTAGCTTTAACACCATGAGCTAAAGCTTGCTTGGCTATACTCACAGATCGACCCATGTCCTCATAGCTGCTGTTTGTACAGCTGCCAATCAAACCTAAAAGTAAAATGTTAGAATATGAGCTCATTTTTTTAAAAGAAATTTATTTCCAAACTATTCCCTTAAGTTGATACATTTCAAGAGAAACACTAACAAATTTCAGATAAAAACAAATCCTTAAAATATTTTATCACATGTGTTACCAAGCCATGGTTAGACAACTTACCAACTTTGACCTCTGTTGGCCAACCTTTCTCCTTAGCAACCTGGCCCAGTTTACTAATTGGATGTGCAAGATCTGGAGTGAATGGCCCATTTACATGTGGCTCCAACTGCATATAATACAAGTTTTAACCAGTCAATTAAGTTATTAATCAAATGTACAGAAATCATTTGTGCAATCAGGTAGTTTGTAACAAAAAATAAGGCTCTAAAATGAAAAGTTTCTTTGTGCACAAATCCAACATTTAACAAACAAAACAAAAGCATCAAAAGTTTCTAAACCCTAAGAACCAACTCCAACCATAAAGCTAGTCTTTCCCTCAGAATACTTGCAGTAAGATTTAGTCCACTGAATGCTAAAGTGACAAATAAAATGTGCATGAAGGCATCATTGATATTTATGTAGCCAACTATCATCATTCCACCAATTCTTTTTAAAAATGCCAAAAATATCAATACGAAGTTTTAAACAGAAACAACAGCATAATTACCTCACTAAGATTAATTTCAATAACTTGATCATATTGTGCATTAGGATCTGCTGATAGGAGACCTTTGTACTCGTTTGCAAGGCTGGCAATAGCTGAGAAAATAAGAATCATTAGTAGAGAGATTCTTTAAATAATTCAGCAAAATATGTTTATCTTACAGTAATTATTATACTTAGTTTAATTATTTGCTAAAATTACATCAACATTCTAAAAAGCACATTGACAATATAAAAAATTACGAATTTTTTTTAAAAGGCAGAAATGAAAAATTATACTTCATAAACAAAATTATTTACACCATAAGTTACAAACAACATCTTAACCACTTCAGTAGCTTACATTCTCTGTTGGTGGCTTTCAAGTAGTCTTGCATTCTGTGGTTGTAAGGAAACACTGAGGTCGTAGCACCAATCTCAGCTCCCATGTTGCAAATTGTTCCCATTCCTGGGTTTAAAAAGAGGTGGGTAAAATATCAGTCAACGTATTTCAATAGGAATCAAAAGTCGTGATCATGTGCCTGTTAAAAAATATATTTAAATAAATAGTTTAATTAAACTCCACAGCAATAACTATTTACCAGTGCATGAGATGGAGTCTACACCCGGACCAAAGTACTCAACAATAGCGCCGGTTCCTCCTTTAACAGTGAGTATCCCAGCTACTTTTAAGATAACATCTTTAGGAGACGTCCAGCCAGACAACTTTCCTGTCAGTTTGACACCAATTACCTAAGCACAAAATGGATTAAAAACATTATTTGAAACCAGCTGCCTTTTGTAAAACAGAAATTACATTTGAAAACTGGTGAAGAAATGTAACAAATGTAACTACTTTTGGACACTTGAGCTCCCATGGAATATTAGCCATCACATCAACAGCATCAGCTCCACCCACTCCTATACAGAGACCTCCCAGGCCACCTGAAATAAGAGAATGTGATAATCACTGTTGGAAAAATCTCAATACACACAGCCTAGTATCAAGCTTGTAGGCAATGTATAATATATATATATATATATATATATATATATATATATATATATATATATATATATATATATATATATATATATATATATATATATATATAATTAACAAGACTTACCTCCATTAGGGGTGTGACTGTCTGTACCGATCAACAAAACACCAGGAAAGCCATAGTTTTCTAGAACAATCTAAAACAGAAAACAAATACATTCAACCAAGCTTTCAAGTTATGCAATTTACCTATTTCAATATTTTCTTACAAAACATGATTTTAATTTGAATCAGTAACAACAAGTACTGCCCTATTTATATTACAGAGCCATTATGAAACCACAAACCTGATGGATAATGCCACTGCCTGGTTTCCAAAACCCAACACCATATTTGGCACTGGCCGTAGCTAAGAAATCATAAACTTCTTTGTTGATATCCTGTTGAAAAAGCACATTTTAAAAAATTCATGTATTAAAACAAATTATCTACTATCATATTTAATACATTTAATTTATTCAAATATTTGTTTGCAACCATATACATGGGATGACAACTTGAGTCTCCCACACCTGTTGGTGGCATATTTTTTTTTATAGGTTGACAACTCAGTTAAAGAGTGCAAAGAACAAGTTCTACGCTGGTGTTGAATAAGTCACTGTAACATAACAGAGTATTCTTTGCTCAACCAAAACAGATTTGACATACAAATAAGTATAATTGGTCATCTTTTATGCTACATCAAAAACCAAATACACATGATTAATTCTTTTTAATAATTAGTAACCTAGCAAAAAAGAAATTTTCTTTATGTCTATAAAAAAAGTCAAACCCTGCCCAATTAAAAAAATGTATTATTACCTTGGCTCTTTTGAGATCCTTGTCTCCACCTAACTGAGCTTCAATAAGATGGTCACAGTGAACCGTAGAGGGTACAGCAACCTTTGGGAGACCACTGGATATAAACTGAAGCATGGCCATCTGAAACATGAAATATTTAAATTAGATACATTTTTACTAAATTAAACAGAATATTGATTAATAACTACAAAGCTTGCTCACAGGTGAGAAAAAAAATGAATACCTGAGCTGTGGCATCTTGCATGGCAACACGGTCAGGACGTAATTTAAGGTAGCTTTCACCTCTCTTAATATCCTAAAGTAGTAGAATTGTGATATGATGTTTAGGAATTTAGAAATCCAACGACTATTTGCAATGAGAACTTAAAGAAACATTTTAGTAAATAAATAATGTATACAGACATCAAAATATATATGTGAATGCCAGCTTTACCTGAGATTTAGGATCATCAAGATGTCCATACAAAATTTTCTCTGATAAAGTCAACGGTCTTCCCAACCTGTCAGGGAACAAAACTTAATTTTAGCATTCAATGGTGTCATTTATCTTAGCTTGTGACATAAGTGCAAATTTTAATAAATATAGTAAATTCACAACACATGGTGAACTTTTTCAAGTACCAGATAAGTCAAATGGCAATTCTAAAAGATAAATTTAAGTTAACATACAGTAATGAATAATTCAAAATTATAAAGGATATTTTTGACTACCTGTTTTTAACAGTTTTGACATTGAAATCCAACTTGTCATAGTCAATAAACTTATCTTGCTCAAAACGGCTCATGGGGGTCTGAAAACAAAATGTTTAAGATAAAAAATACTCTTCAGTCTTAGCTAAATGACCTATAAAAGATAGTGAAATATTAGAAAATATAACAATGAAAGTTATAGGAATAGATATTTTAATTATAATGTACCTTGCTTGCTGCAGCAAAAGCTGTTTTATGAAAGTGACGAAAAGATCCATTTCCAAGGACATCGAGACCCTTAAAGAATAATGAGAATTGAACAATAAGAATTCCTTATTACATAAATGTATGAAAATTTATTAAAATCAAGATGTAAAATAGGTGGCATCAAGTTAATACAGAAATGAACTACAACTACAATACATTCTATAAGCTTTCTTTTTATTTTTAATAGGCATACATGCAGCATACACTGAAAATGTTGATTGAAATTTCGGACAAGAAAAAAATGGGTGATTATAATAATAATTTGTTGTATCACACTGTACTTTATTAGTGTTCAAATTTAAATAAGCACTGAATACTTCATAATGCTACAATACTAACTACAATACTCTAACTCCAAGCCAATTGCTTTGTTTTGTTTTTAAAAAAGAAATGAAGTTGTTTTTTTAAAGTACCTCATTACACTTAAACCTGTGGCTGAACTTTAAAGTGGTGGGGGGGGGGGGGGGGGGGGGGTGTCACAGTTACAAATAATCCATAGAAGAATAGGTAACTTAGTGTATGGTATGAACAAAAAAATTTAACTTTTTAATAGTAAAATTTGGCTGAACAAAAGAAAAAACGTGGTTTTTGCTAATTATAATTTAAATAATAAAATATGCATATTTCAAAGTGAAGGGGATGGAGTGGTCTAGCGGTAGAGAGCTGGATTGCTAACCCATAAGTCTCAAGTTCGAATCCAGGTTCAAGTCAGTAGACCGTCCCTGAGTCCACCCAACTCTGATGGGTACCTAACTCACGTTAGGGAAAGTAAAGGCGGCTGGGTAGGCCTATAGTGCTGACCACATTATCTCTTCATATGCCGAGGTCACATAAACAAGTGAACTCTACTTCACTTGCCCTATCAGGTTTGAAAAGGGAACTTTATTTTTTTATGTCAAAGTAATTTTATATTAGGCATACCTGAAAACAAAGCCATGACAAAAAATGCTCAGTTAACCTAGATCTGTCTATTTTATTGGCTGGCTATCTACGTGCTATTTTTTAATTAGGCTATTTAATAATACAATAGGTGTGAGCTGTAGTAATCTCAGGTTTAATTGTTTAGTGTTAAGGACAGAAATTAGGGTTATGGCTATGGTTACTATGGTAGGACTGTCTTAGCATTGACATTAACAACTTAAACAAGTCATATTTACTTTTACAGTTTACTAATGTACTTTGTACTTAACTATCAATAATTTAACACCATTTTATTTTCATGAACATTCCATTAGCCTATGGCCAATTTTTATTGTGACATTATGATTAGGCCTAATGATTCTGATTATCTGACAATTTTACGACAAATAGGCCAGGCCTAACCTCTAAAATTAAATTTACTGACCTAAAAAAACATTTTTTTAGTAGGTTTTAATTTAGATTAGACAAGACATCTAGTTCTATATCTAAATATAAAGTACAGGACTAATCTACTAGACTAGATCTAGAAATCTAGATTCTACTCAACAAATGTTGTCTGTGTTGAACAAAGAAGTGCAAACAATGAACTTTTTTTTTTGTCTTTTACTTTTTTATTCATAATCCATTCACTATTCACTCATTGAACTGGTAGGCCTAACATATTTTTTTTTCTAGGCTCATAGATAGAATTAATGTCATATAGAAAATCTAGATCTAGATCTAGTAACTAGTTTGATGCTACCAATTATAACAAAAACTAAGACAAGACTACAAAAATTATGGTTTTACAACCATGACCTAATCACGAAAAGTTGACCTTTTGAAGTTTTCATCAACCTTCACTCAGTGCAGATTAAAACTAAAAATGTAACCAAAACTGTTCCTTTGATTCTCTAGAACTAGAATCTATGTAATAATAAACTCATTCGTTTTCTTAAATTTAATATAATATTATCGAGACATTGGTAAAATACCAGATTTTGCCAATAATCATAACAGTTCACCTTTAGGGCCGAAGATCTCAGTACGTACGCCATTGCAATCTAAAACCAAATCTTTCGTACAAATAGGTCAATCTAAACAATGCGAACTGCTGCAAATAACAGTAAAGCAAAAGTTACCGACACGACGAAACTAGTCTGCAAAGCGTTATGTAGATCTTGATCAACGATTTCCTCTAATTAAAAAAAGTTGGGGCAGAAATGATAATTAACCTTTAGATCTGATACTTAAAATTGTAGTTTTTAAAAAAAATGTTTAGGCTATGCCATCTCCTATTCCTATGTGACCCATTGACTTCGCAAGTGGAGTGAAAAAGGCTTAGGGCCTAATCTGCAGAGCAAGCAAATGCAAATAATTTTGACCTAAAAAAAAAACAGAGGTATAAAAAAGATAGGACAGAAAAATATACATAAAAAGATAAACTAACAATAAACTAGATTCTAAACGATACTAGAACGCTTGACATCTAGATAAATACAGACGAGGGAAATTCCCGTTTGCAATGCCACGTGTTTCAAAAAAATTTCCACGAGCAAGATAATAAAAAATGTTTACATTTATAAAACATCTCTTGTCTGCAGAAGTCAATCGGGATTTGAAAACGTCCCATTTGTTTTAGATTTTTTTTAAAGTGACGGAAACGCACATTTTTAAAGATAAGAGACTATTTGAATGCATTTGGTGAGACTATATACTATATGCCATAGATCTCACTAATTATAGCTTTTAAACCAAATCAGAGTTTCTTCCAGGCATCTCTTTGGGGGGGGGGGGGGTGGGGCTCGCCCCCCCCCCCCCCCCGAAATTTTTTTACCGCCCCCCGAACGAAATGAAATTTATATAATTTATATAGAAAATATATACTTTTAACAGTGTCCACCCCCCCCCCCCCCGAAGAAAGTCTACCGCCCCCCGAAAATTTCAAGTGCACCCCCCACCCCGGAGAAAAAAGTCTGGAAGAAACACCGAAACCAATCTTTTCTAAAAACTCAGCAGAACATTGTTTATGAACTTTTTAGATAGGCTTTTAAAATTTGCCACTCGCAGCTCAATCCTACAATTAAGGGAACAGTAGGATGATAATTTCACGCATTTAGAAATAACATCTAAGTGATACCTGCGTAAGGGGTCATCCATAAGTGACGTCACGCGTTTTTGACGATTTTTACCTCCCCCCTCCCCTCCGCCACCCGTCGTCACAAAAAGCCAGACCCCCCCCCCCCCTAAAATGACGTCAGACCTCAGCCTACCCCCCCCCCCTCAAAATTGCAGTTGAATTTTTTTTTAAACATCGATATCTTTCTAAAATCTTGTCTGAACTCTGTCAAAATAGAGTATTTTAATCAAGTCCTATTAGAAGTTATTAAAACATTTTTCTAAAACTCGAAATAACGTATAAAATTCGTTTTCTAACATTGCTTTTTTCCCACGTTTTCTTTAACTTGCTTTCTCTGTGTGTTTCTGTGTTTGTCTTTCCAATCAAATCTTGCGATCGAAATTTCTGGCACTTCCCAGTTAGCTAGCGCGCTGAAATTTTCAGGGAAGCTTTCTTTTGGATGACCATTGAATATTCAATTGTTATTATTACTAAATTGATCAATGGAAACATTTTATTGAGCATTTTAGACCGCTATATAATCTATATATATAATTCTCCTCTGCTAGCCATTAGAAAAAAAACGAGCGACGCGTACCTCGCGCGCAGTGAAGCGAACGATCCCACTTCACCACAGGCTTAGGGACAGATAATTTAGTTTGAACCGAGTTTAAACTTACACGAGGTAGGCCAGTTTGGGGGAGACGATATGGTCGAGTGGTTGGGCACACGATTGCTATCCCACTCGACACGGGTTCAAATCTATGTGTTCTAGTCAGTAACGTATTCACACAACGTGTTTTTTACGAGTTGTCTTTTTACGAGTTGTCTTTTTACGAGTTGTCTTTTTACGAGTTGTCTTTTTACGAGTTGTCTTTTTACGAGTTGTCTTCGTTTACCCAAAAAAAAGTGAAAAGATAAAATCGATAGCAAGATTTTAATGCAAACAAACAAAGACTAAAAAGTAGAAAATAATAATCATTAAAAAAGTTTTAAAAAACCCACGTTTTCTGATTGAACTAAAAAGTAGAAAATAAACGCTATACATCACAATAATGCAAGCGATCACTCTACTATAAGCGATCAAAAACGTGGGGCGCCGTGATTTTCTTACAGTTTCTAATACTGTTGACTCTCTACAAGCTCCCTAATAAAGGTCAATAGTATTATCTAATCAATAGTAATATAACTTTTACTTCGGCGCCCCACGTTTTTCATCGCTTATAGTAGAGTGATCGCTTGCATTATTGTGATGTATAGCGTTTATTTTCTACTTTTTAGTTCAATCAGAAAACGTGGGTTTTTTAAAACTTTTTTAATGATTATTATTTATAAATCAAAAGTGTGACGGCGCACCATCTGAACCCCCCCTCCCCGTCACAAAATTACGAACCCCCCCTCCCCCTACAAGTGTGACGTCATTTATGTATGAACCCTAAGGAGTTGTCTTGAGAGAGCATTTGGCGTGTAGGTATAGATTTACCTTTACCAACGTCTATATTTTTGTTTACAAGGGCACTTAAAAAGAACAAAAAATTAAACAGTCCACATGCAATCTCAGACATCTTTAGATATTTTGGGTTCTGAAGCACTTATGAAGTCTGTATCTTCATCTCTGACAGCAAAATTGTAAAGTAAAGAGATGCTCTGGTTAAGATTATGTGTATAATTAAAGCCTGCATTATCTTTTATAATTAATAATGGGTATGTAGGTCTATTATGTGAGCCTAGAGATAAACATGTTGGTCTTCTGAAGCAAACACTGAGCAAAGTTTTTTTTTTTTGGAGGAATTTTATTGGCAAACTGTAAAACAATCACTAAAAGATGTTCAAACACGGTTTCAGATATAAAAAAAAGTAAGCATTTGGTAAGGCAGCAACTCTGCAACTGTACAAAGACAAATGTAGTCATTTACAAGAGTTGCAAATACTAATATTGTCATTGTTATAGTTGCAAGTACAAATAATTGTAGTCATTTTATCTAGAGAAGTGCTATATTTAAAAATATAATCTTCATTCAAAAAGTCAAGATTATTATAAAAAATTATATCAATCTTTCATTACCTTTTTTTTTACAAAGAGTATTTTGGGACTTAAAGACAAAAAAAAACTATGTCCATTATGTGTCTATTACTATATTTTTTTTTCAAGGTTATAAATAAAATGTACACAAATCATACATTGTAATATTGCATAAAAATATCTGCAATTACAAATTTTATTCATGAATGAGAACATTTACAAAACATCACCAACAAACTTTATTCTCAGGAGTTAAACTTTTTTTTTCAAGAAATCCATCATACTTAACATTTCTAAAAATAGGTTTTAATAGTAGGAATTATTTTTCACATTAGGTTAACAAATAATGCTATCAGCTTTGCTCTACAAGCTTTGTATCAAACTCCAATGAAGCAGTGTACAAGCTCAGCATGGGTGCCATATTGTGTACTATATAAAATAATCAAGCTGTGTAAAAACAAAAATCTGGCAAGTATGTGAAAAATAACTTAAAGAAGGAATGTCTAACAACAAATGTACATTTTTAACATACATTGCATTTGCGTTTCCAAAGCTCACTGAATGCCTGTATATTCATACTCTTATAACAATTATTTATACCAAAAATATGTATTTATAAATATATCAGTAGTATATTGTTTGCCTCATGGTCACATAAAATAGCTACAAAAAATAATCACAGAAAAATAGTTCCATGTATGGAGAAGAAAATGGTACATATATTTTAAAACACATATTCTTATTTTTAATAAGCATCATGTGTCTTTAAAGATAGAAAGACTAGTAATGTTAGCAGAAATAAAAACATTACCCAAAATTGCTCAGTGAATAACTCAATACAAGTAAAGTAACTCCTGTTTTAAAAGCTTAAAGGTAGGAAAATATATTAGGAACTCTTTACCAAGGGAAATCAAACAACCCACTCATAACGTCATTCACAACTGTTTGCTAAATTATTTGTACACATTTATTGTAATTTATCAACAAAACATAACAAGGTAATACGTTTCCTTTCAGTTCTTGTTATTTGTCAAAACTTTATAAAGTGATTGCCTGGAAGTATTGGGACATAATCTTATTGCCTGCAAGATAAAACATTCATTTTTAAACAGTGCATATAAAACTATCTATGATAGCATTAAATAATTTTAACTTTAAAAATAGATCAAACATAGTAATAAGAACTAATCCTGGTTGAGAAAAGAGAATAGTTGGAAACAGTGTTAGAAACTGTTACAGGACATTTCTAATAGACAGAAATGCAGACAGCTCAGGTCTAAACCAATATCTTCTAATGGATAATTTAAGAATTTAAGCCTGCAGGCAGATGTAGCAGGACAGTGGACAAGAAAAGAAGAGTTGGAGCAACCATCTCAGAATGGAGAGAACTGTCAGTCTAATTAAAACCATAAAATGCCAACAAGACTATACCTTGCAAGCTTTTGTAGGATCATCCAACTGAGCAACAAGTTGCATCAAAATTGGTGTGTAGTTCCTCACTATTGCTTCACACTAATTAGAGAAAATAAATGATATTTGATTTCAGTAAAAATAAAATTAATGAGTTAAGAGAAATGTGGTTTCAGCATAAATAAATGAACATTTAAAGCGAGTTAAAACTAAGGAAATAATATTTCAGCACAGCTAAATTCATAGAATTCTAAATAGTTTTCAAAAGGAAAACCAATGACCATTCAAGCTACTACAAACCTGAGCTCTCTGAGGTGCTGGGATCAAGGCATCGCATGCAGCATTCAAAACTTTTTCTACTGCTGAGACTGTCATGTTTTGTTGTAGGAAACTGTCAAGTAGCTGTACCAGCACCTTGCACACGTCACATTCTGGATTTCCAGCAGATAGATCTGCTGCAATAGATATAATGTTTAAACAATGTTATACACAAACAAATAAAAATACATATAACACTAATGATACATGGTGGGTTGACTGTTAACAGCTGGGGGAAATAATTTACTAAAAAAACTTTTATATGATCAGATTACAACTTTTTGCTGCCTGATCCATATCAGAATATTTGACAGATAAAAAACATCATTATGTAAGATAAGTATAACCAAAACACACCCTAATCTTGTCAGAAACTTACCAGTACCAGTAAGGGGAGGCTCACAGAAATCAATCTTCTGACAAAACTGGATGGGGAAACTGAAGCCTGTGATCTCACTGATCACATAGTTGATGTTCATGTCAACCAGAAGCTTGCAAGCATCAGCACCAGATTGTACGTACGTGCACAGTGTGTACAAGATAGTCTTGGTCTCGTTCTGTAAAATAACATGTTACATTTTTAACATGCAGGATAGTCTTGGTCTCATTCTGTAAAATAACGTGTTACATTTTTAACATGCAGAGTCATTTTTTATGAAAGTTATAAAAGGGAACATATTATTCTGTCTAGTTAAACGTATAAAATAAATGTTATTCAAAAGGTAACTAGCCTGCCAAAATGGAGTCTCAATAGCATTCTGCACATCATACAGAGCAAATTTACATAAAGAACATGTCTGCAGGTATCCTGGTGTTGTAGGTGCTACTGTTGTTGTTGCATCTTTTTCAGACAAGAATGTCAGGGAAGTTGGTTTAGTCTGGGACAACGGCACTGAGAAATGAAAACAAATACTTTAAGAAATCATAAAATTAAATAACAATTAAATAAATTTATTAATATGTTTGTATATTAACCAAAATAAAATTGCATGTTACAAAGTAAGGTTTGCACATTTTATACTTGCATATCACTTCCCCAGAACCAAACTAAAAATGTTCACAAGGCTTAAATGTTTGGTTTATCCTAATATTTCTATATATAAATTATAAATTAAGTACTTGGTGAAATGAAATTGTTGTGTAATAATGGTAAAAAATATGACCACAAAATGTTTTGCCATGATGCCTAGATAGATTTAGAACAAAATCATATATATAAATTGAGAAAGAAAAAAAAAATTTCTCCCCAGGGAGAGAACAAAAATGCTGCATATTGCTGTTCATGTAATAGTATTAAACCGGGAGTGATCTCCCCTAAACTTTCTCGAATATTCTTATATAAAATAACAGGCGATGGGAACTCGGGCTATTCTTATATTATATTATATATGATTTTGATAAAATACTTACATATGAAATTTCATCAACCTAGCTGTAACGGTACTCAAGTTATCGTGTTTACACACGGACAGACAGACAGACAGACAGACAGACACACAGACAAGATTGCAAAATTATATTTTTCCGTATCAGTGAGGTGTAAAACGTCGAGATTTGTAAAAATCTCGATTTTTTTTTTTTGCACGATTACAAGACTTTCTCTATACTTTGTATATACGAGAAAGTAAAAATAAAATGCTACACCAGTACTCACTGTCCTTTCTCCTCTCACAGACTCGGATAAACTGACAGAACTCAATGGGACTCAGTCCTTTAGAAATAAAGTCCACAATGTTGGGTGCAAATACATACACCAGGTCCCTGCAGGGTACTACAATGTTGCTGGGCAGACTGGAACACACTTTTGTTAGGATATCTTGTACTTCAGCCTGTCACAAAATTCAATATTAGTCCCAACAGTCACAACATAATTATGTCATGAGATATTTATTATGTCATAAGATGTTTATTATGTCATGAGATATTTATTATGTCATGAGATATTTATTATGTCATGAGATATTTATTATGACATGAGATATTTATTATGTCATGAGATATTTATTATGACATGAGATATTTATTATGTCATGAGATATTTATTATGACATGAGATATTTATTATGTCATGAGATATTTATTATGTCATGAGATATTTATTATGACATGAGATATTTATTATGTCATGAGATATTTCCTTTAAATTACTACAAAAGGCAGACGAGTTGTAAGAAATATTTCTTTCAAACTTAGAAGACAGATCAGAATGAGAGTTATTGTGTTAAACTGTTTGCATCTATTTTAATGTGTATTTCACTAGCAGAGTATAAACAGCGAATAGGAAAGACTACTATGACATAAAAATAACATTGTGTACCTCAACAAAAGGTTCCTTCAACAGTCCCTGAACTTCCTCCATTATAAACTTGCACAAGGTGCAGTCTTCAAGGTTGTCCTCTTTCCAAGTGTCTGGTAAATGTAACTCTGTGGATATCAACATTAAAAGTTTCACCTGAACTGTACACTTGAAGTACATCAATATCATACCTAACTAGTTTTTTTAACTTCTACTTCGGTCTTAATTGTAATGGAAGGGATTTCTTCCAACACAATTAAGAATTACGTGTCAACTTCTTATGCCTGCTTTACTTTCTGGATTAGCTTCCTTAGCCTTTAACTAACCAAAAACAAACTACAAGGCAGCAGTTGTTTGATTTTGGAATCTCTCCTTGATGGATTGCTGCCCCCCAGTTATTGAGCCTCATCTGCCAGGGGTTCAAACTCCGGACCTTTCGGTTTAGCAGAAATGAGTTTACCGACTTGACCACACAAACACTTATTTTTTTAAGAATATGTAGCATTTAAGAACACAAGGTCATTAGAATAAAAAATGATATCATTGGTTTACTTTTCTGAGGAGGAAGCTGAGCAGTACACAGGCTGATCTTGGCACAAATGTCACTGGGATTTGTTTCTGCCAAAATAAACTGTATGATCATAGGCCCAAAGGTCTCCACAAACACGGCACATTTGTCCTGCATGCTGGCAGGCAAGAGGTGGCAAACTTTCTTCATGGCGGACTGTATCTCTGCTTGGGTGGACTTGTCGCTGATCAAACTTTTTAGTTTCTCCATGACAAGTTTACAGAGAGTGCACTGAATGTCTCTAACTGTGGGCTGAGTTACTGAAAAAAAAGAACATTTCCATTGAGGTGAAAGGTCATCTATAAATGATGTCACACACAAAGGAGAGGGGGTGAGGAATCAGAGTTTTGTGATTATGGCTATGTTCAGTTGCTTCAAGGTATATGTGTGTGTAAAGTTGGTGATTTCATTTAAGGGTGGCGTGGTTTGACTTAAGGGGAAATTGGGGGGGGGGGGGGGGGGGGGGGGGCAAAGTTTGGAAAAAAATGTCCCCCTAATTAATATTAAATTTAATTTTAAAATAAGAACTTGAAGAATCTATAGTGTGTGCATAGAAAGAAAAGACCAAAAGTTAGAACTGTTTCATACATCTTTAACCACATTCATTAAAAGATTTATGAAAAATGTTGCACTAAAAAAGGGGAAGGGGGAGGAGGAGGTGTAATTGCTGCAATTATTATTCATGCAACTATTATTATTTATGCAATTATTATTATTGATGCAAATATTATTATTTATGCAATCATTTTATAAATTCAAAATTTGCTAAATATTACTAAAATTATTTTGATTCTGTTCAGTATTGAAGTGAAAAATACCCAGGATGTTGAACTATCTTCTATAGTAAATTTTACAACAGCCATATATATATATATATATATATATATATATATATATATGTTTTTGTTTACCTGTGGTAGATGGCCTACAAAACTTAAGGTAGGTACAGATTTGGTCAGGGGAGATCTGCAGCAAAAGCTGGACCAGTACTGGAGTGTACATGTCAACATACTGCTCACAATCTTTCTTCACAGTAGCTGGTAGGAGCTCACACACAACGTCCAGTACTAGCTCTACCTCTTTCTAAAAATTACAGGGAAATTTGAAACAGTGCACATTATTTATAAGTTATACAAAACACATTATTAATGCAGAATTTTCGAAGCACTAATATTCAGGCTTTTGTTGTACAACCATTTCTAAACATAGATAAAAGTTTAGAACAAAGCTCAACAAGTCTCAGCAAGGCTAAATACCTGTGTTGAATTCTTGCCGATAAACTTTTCAACCTGCTGCATAACTAGTTCACAAATGGGGCAACTTGGGCCATTTCCTAAAGGTTTCTTCACTGTAGAAAAAAAAATGTAACTGTTTAAGATACCTTACCCATTTTTCAGTAAGTTAGTGGGCTTTTTAATCTAGTTATTTACAAAAATAATCAACCTTATATTTATGTAACTTAAAATAGTATAACACTACTCTACTATAAGGTTATGTAGTTTTTTTTAATCTCATGCATGTAAATCATACAAGATCTAACTTTTATTGAATTAAATGATGTAAGTCTGGGGGAAAAATAGTAGAAAACGCTGTTAAAATTTGTATTGATGTCATGACATACCCATGGGTGGGGCGGAACAGGCTTTGATCAGAATGCAGACTTGCTCAGGTGGAAAGTTGGCCAACAGATAGATCAGCTGTGGTGTGTAGGTGGCCACAAAACTTTGGCACTCAGCTTTTACTGAGCTGGGCAGGACATTACACACAGCATCCAGGTAGCTTTCAATTTGTTTCTTGAATAAAAAGAGATAGTTTCTTGGAATAAATTGTTTCATCAAAAATTAAGAACAGTATTTTTTATGATATGTAAGAATGGTTTACCATCATGAGACATATGAAACAAATTAAAAACAAATGATAATCTCCTGCACATTCAAAGGTTATTTGTCTAATTTAATAATGTGGGTGTAAGTAATTTAAACTACTGTTACCCAAATGTATGTTACAGGGTTTAAAATCAGTTGTGTGAAAAGTTTCATCTGTCGCACTGGGGTGAAAAGATAAACATGATTTGGCACTAAAAAGCAGAATGAAGGGACTAATAATAAATTAGTTTACCACGCTAGTATTTTTTGCCACAAGGGTTTCTAAGACTTTCAGGACCAACTCGCATACAGCACATGTTGCATCAGACTTGACTGTCACAGTGATTGCCTTATGCTTTGTAACACCTATGTAAATATATGAGTCAAACTTTAATCATCACTTTAAATATAGGTACTGAATTTAATAAGGAAACTAACTCGAAAAACAGAATTTAAAATTATTTTATCATGATTTTTAGTGGTAAACATTTATGAAATTAAAAAAAAAAAAATTAAATAATTTTTTTTTTTAATTATAACAATTTGAATAAACACAAATAGTTAATTAAGATGTAACTACAACTGGTTTCCTTGTTCCTGACACCATGTTAACAAAGGTAAACATTTATAAATTCAATGCAGAAATTTAAAGAAAATAAATTCAATCATAACAATTTGAATAAACATAAAAAGTTAATTAAGATGTAACTACAACTGGTTTCCTTGTTCCTGACACCATGTTAACAAAGGAAATATTTCTGTACCTGTCAGAGTTGTGTTGACACAAAGACCAAGCAGGCTGCAGATCTCCTGGGGGGACAACTCTTTAGTTATCAGGTCAACCACGTATGGTGCATAGAGGGCAACGAACTTTTCACACTGGTCTTTAATTGGTGGGATGTAGTCACACACTTTGTCCAACACAGCTTCGATCTGAGGCTAGAATAAACACATTGAACAAATCTTACAGGAAATACAAGAAGCTCATGATCATGACCTACGACCCCACATCAACATGTTCTTGCCCCAAAATGAACTCCAAAACTTGTGTTTCAATATAATGAGGATTTTAAAATGCAGCAAGTTAGTCCTTAAAATACCAGTATTTAAAATAGCTTCAAGAGATAAAAAGCAGTAGTTTACAAAAAAGTATAAAATGAAAGATTATTGATGAGCTCTCAATCAATGTGCAACACTAATTTCTCAACCAAAATATTTTGTCAGTATCTGAATATTTCAGATCAAGTTTATTCATAGGTTTTATTTTCTGCCAGGCGGTTGAATATGTTCCATGTTATAAATCTGAGATGGATTAATGTAAGATGGCGCACGACTTACAAGTGTTGCATTCTCCTCTAACAGCTGATCAACGGCTTCAAGAACGTAGATGCAGATAGCACAGATCTCATTCTTGGACACTCCAGACTTTATGGCTACTGCAGACACAGATGCTGTAGATACACATACATTGTCATATGCTATGGTGTAGTTTGTATTGACTGATGTTACATATGCTGTACTAACAACACAAAGGACAGCTAGACTTATCTTAGAGTACAAGTTATGTAAGAGGTGATTACCTGTACAAGTGCAAGTTATGTAAGAGATTGTTACCTGTGCACAGTCCAAACTTCTTACAGATCTGGTCAGGTGTGAGACCCTGGACAATAAGGTCAACAATGTAGGGCAGATAGAGACCCACAAAACTGTCGCACTGGTCCTTGATGGTTGTTGGTAAAAGGTTGCAGACTTTGTCCAGAGCAGCAATAATCTCTTGCTATATTTACAAGATAAAAAGTTACAATTTGAAACAGTTACACATTATACTTAATAAGTTATACATCTGCTGACAGTAAGTAAATTGACCAAGTGAGATAATTAATTAAAGACATGAATGTGCTTTTTAGGCAAAGGAGAATAAAATTTTAAAAAGTTAATCATTCTGGCCAGTGGTTATTATATTTTTAAAAAGTAGTAAATAAAACCTGGCAATTACAAGAAACTGTATACGCAAATAGAATTTTTGTATACCTTGGATGAATTTTGTTCCAACATGGTATATAGAGTCTGGATCACATAGGTACATAATGCACAGAGTTCCCCTTTCTTTGGTGAAGCTTGCACCATTTGGTTCTTGGAAACTAAAATAAATGCAACAATAATAAGACAATGTTTACAAGTGTCTGGAGCATGCAGGAAAACTTATAAAAATGTATCAAGTATTTAATGGTTGTCTGTGAAAATTATTGTACAAAAAATGCAACTTGTCAGCTCATCAGTCTGAAAATTATGGTCCAAAAAAATCAAACTTATTAGCTTAATGTCATCAGTATGAAAATTATGGTCCAAAAAAAAAAAACAACATGTAAACTCATCAGTCTATGAAAATTATGGTCCAAAAAAAAAAATCAAATGTGTTAGCTTATTGTCATCAGTCTGAAAATTATGGTAAAAAAAAAACCAATGAATGTGTCAACTCATCAGTCTATGAAAATTATGGTAAAAAAAAAATCCAACCTGTCAGCTCGTCATCCACACAGATTTTGATGTAGGTACAGATCATGTTGGGAGGGATCTCATCCTCTATCAGCTCAACCACATAGCCAACATACATGGGGAGGAACTGGTGACACAGCTGTTTGTCACTAGCTGGGAGCAGGTCACACACCTTGTACAAGGCTGAGATGATTTCAGTCTAAACATAAAGCATTAATTATATAGTAAATAATAGCTCAATAGCATCATGAAATAATTAAATTAGAAAACTGTTGTGTAGAGCTGTTACACCATTGCCCAAGAATTTTCTTTAGTGGTACATTTGATGCATTCACATTCACCCGAACTATGTCTAGTATATTTGAAGATACAGACGGAAGCAGGAAATAATGGTTTTTTTTTCTTGATTAAGAAGGAAGGGAACAAAAAAAAATCAATACACCTTTTAAATTTTGCAGCATAGTACTTAATAAGTACATTTTTACTAAGTACTTTGAGACTGGTAACTAAATGTAAGACTTAAACCTGGTGAGAAAATCAAAGGTATAAAAAAAAAAAATTTCACCTGTGTTGCGTTTTCTTTCAAAATGTTTTCCAGCATCAACATAACAGCTTCACAGAGGGCACAGATTTCTGTCTTCTGTTTCTTCAAATTCTGGACTGGATTAGATCCCACTGTTGGGGCTGTTTGTGTGGTCTTATCTAGAGAGGCAGGTACATTTATACTGAGTTAAAGGTGAACGCATTCACTATAAATAACAAAACTATACATGTCTGCCAAGTTTGCTTTGTTTTCTAGAAAATAAAAATAAATAAAATACTGATAGAAGCACCCACATTTTAGGACATAAAGAATTATGGCTAAATATTGATGGCATAACAGTAATTATCGAATACTTTAACAACTAAATATTAATGGCTTATCTGTTATGGATTAAAAAAAAGTCAATAAAACCTGATAGGGCAGATGAAGTAGAGTTCCATTTAGGATATGAAAAGAGTGGGTGGCTTTATGCCCAACAATGACCAATAAATTAACCAAGAGAAAGTATAACAGATTTTACTAGAGTTGCTTAATCAGTCTCTGTCTCTGATTACACAGTTGATCACTTACTAGCACATAGGCGAATGCTTGTGCAGATCTGCTGTGGGTCCATCTTTTGTATCAACAGATGTATAATGATGGGTGCGTACTGCTCTACAACAGTCTGACATTGTGATTTCAGGGTTTCAGGTAGCATATCACAAACTTTGTCTAGAGCTGCTTGGATCTCATTCTGGGAAAAAAAATTATTCTCAGATTAAAACAGAAAAATGTTTTCAAGAATTTTGATACTGAACTCACCTCTGTGTTGTCAAGTATTGTGATAATGAACTCACCTCTGTGCTGTTGGCACTGAGCGTGTTGTCAAGTATTGTGATAATGAACTCACCTCTGTGTTGTCAAGTATTGTGATAATGAACTCACCTCTGTGCTGTTGGCACTCAGCGTGTTGTCAAGTATTGTGATAATGAACTCACCTCTGTGCTGTTGGCACTCAGCGTGTTGTCAAGTATTGTGATAATGAACTCACCTCTGTGCTGTTGGCACTGAGCGTGTTGTCAAGTATTGTGATAATGAACTCACCTCTGTGCTGTTGGCACTGAGCGTGTTGTCAAGTATTGTGATAATGAACTCACCTCTGTGCTGTTGGCACTCAGCGTGTTGTCAAGTATTGTGATAATGAACTCACCTCTGTGCTGTTGGCACTGAGCGTATTGTCAAGTATTGTGATTATGAACTCGCACAATGCGCACGTGGGACCAGCTTTCACTGTCTCCTTACACTGTCTCGCTGAAAACCAAATGGAAACAAACAATCAACATTTGTAAACTATTGTTTGCAGAATCTACACAAAATGCACAATAAAACTCAATTTATCAATGGGTACTTTCAATATCAACTTACCTTTACAAAGTGTAAGAATGGTACAAATCTGTTGAGGTTGTAGTTCCTGCACCAACAGTTGCAGAACCAGTGGGCCATAGGTTTCGACAAAGGCTGTACACTCCTTTTGCAGTGTTTTTGGCAAGAAGTTGCACACCTTATTTAGGGCGGCTTCAATCTGGGCCTAGGAGATTCAAGTATATAAAACAATCATGATCCATGTATTTCGCACAGTAAAAGTTCGGTTATAAAACATAATTTTTTTAATTCAGTGTTTTTGGCATGAAGGGGCATATCTTCCTTAAAGCATCTTCTATTTGGGCCTAAGACATTTTAAAGACATTACTTTTACACCAATTTAAATCAAACTAAATTCTTAGTAAAAAGAATTTTGTAACACACTAAAGGTAAAGATAGATCATCTAAAGAAACTGAACAGATTGCCTAGAGATGTTAGTTCATTAGTGTTTATCTGCACGTAACACATTTTCTTTTATTTTGCTTTGCCTTGATAATTTCCACATACTAAAGAGAAGAAACTAACCTCAGTAGTATTTTGTGCCAGTATGTTGTCCAGCTCTGTCATGACGTACTCACACAGCACACATGCTGCATCACCAACCTTAGCATCAAGTCTGGTTTGTGCTTCATTTACACACAAAAAAAATGTGCTCATTACAATTTAACACAATAAATATAAAGATATCTATCACTAAAATTGAAGAGATTTTATTTTTAATAAATTTGTTTAAAAATCAGAAAAAATGGCTTACGTTTACAAAATTTAAGGATTGTACAGATCTGTTCAGGTTGTAACTCCTGCACCAACAGTTGAAGGATTAGTGGGCCATAGGTTTTGATGAAGGTTTCACATTCTGTATGCAGTGTTTTTGGCAAGAAGTTGCACACCTTATTTAGGGCGGCTTCAATCTGGGCCTATGAGATTCAGGTATATAAAACAATCATGATCCATGTATTTCCCACAGTAAAAGTTTGGTTATAAAACATAATTTTTTTATAACCAATACCACTAGATAAAATGTTAAAATTAGCCTCATGCTAACTGATGTAAGCAAACATGAGTATATACATACTTGAGTGCCATTTTTAGCCAATATGTTGTCTAGCTGTGTCATTACATATTCACACAATGCACAAGAAGCATCCCCAACCTTGTCAACTTTGTAGACAGTTTTGGTTTGTGCTTTAAAGAAAAAGCAAATGTAATGAAAGCTCAATTTTATTTTTGTTTTAATCTCACATTGCAGATTTTGTCACCAAAGTCTATACATTCAATCATCTAACTTACATTTATAAATACATGCAATCATCCAACTTACATTTACAAAGACATTTAATCATCCAACTTACATTTACAAATACATTCAATCATCCAACTTACATTTACAAAGACATTCAATCATCCAACTTACATTTACAAAGACATTCAATCATCCAACTTACATTTACAAAGACATTCAATCATCCAACTTACATTTACAAATACATTCAATCATCTAACTTACATTTACAAAGACATTCAATCATCTAACTTACATTTATAAATACATTGAATCATCCAACTTACATTCACAAATACATTGAATCATCCAATTTACATTTACAAAGACATCCAATCATCCAACTTACACTTACAAAGACAATGAATCATCCAACTTACTTTTACAAAGACATTCAATCATCCAACTTACTTTTACAAAGACATTCAATCATCCAACTTACATTTACAAAGACATTCAATCATCCAACTTACTTTTACAAAGTTTAAGGAGTTGACAGATCTGGTCAGGCTGGAGCTCCTGTATCAACAGCTGTACAACAAGAGGGCCATAGGTATTTACAAAGCTGTCACATTCTTTGCTGACACTGGAGGGCAAGTATGTGCAGACTTTTTGTAGAACAGCTTCAATCTCACCCTGAAATATCACACAACTTTTGATAAAAAACATTTATTTCTTGGTATAAACCATCTACCTCATAATACAAATTGTAATTGACTGCAAAATGTTTGGCAAATATAATATTATAAAGCTTTTAGAATCAAAATATATTGAACAATATTAACAGTAGGGCTCTCTCAGAGCGATAGATTTTTTCAATTAGCTTGAAGGAAGCAATATTAAAAGAATAGATTTTTAAATTACTATTACAGTGCATTATGATGAAGACATAAATAAAAAACACCACTTTCGTCTGGAGCTTTTTTGTATTTGTGTCAACACTTTCTAGTTTCCCATAGGTTTTGATTGTCATAACTTCAAAAAATATTTCATGATTAAACTGGTGTTACTACTCATTCAGATGAAGACATACAATCAAAAGATCACTTTTGTGTTGTGCTTTTCAATTATTTAATAATACTTCTTGTGTCCCATATTTACTTATAGTCTAAGCTTCTATTGTTAGGTAATCAAAGATTGTTGAAGCAGATTGTAAGGAGCTTACTTGGGTGCTGTTTTTTGCTACAAAGTTGTCCAACACTTGTATGACATATTCACACAGAACACACGCAGCATCATTCACTTTCTGCTGTTTATCACTTTTTAAAACTGCTTCTGAAAATTTTATATATTTTGGACTAACATTTCAATGTGGAAAACATAACCCCATGTATTTTAGCATTATGCCGTTTTATTTTTTTAAAAACTTCTCTTTTTTAGCTTTAAAACTATTCTACGGAACAAAACATTTTTTATTCTGAAAAAATGTATGCAGAAATGCTACTATAGAGCCAACTTGAGTTTTAAATCACAAAAAATAATTTCAAATGACAAATATTCTTAAATTAGAAATAATTTTAAGTGTAATAATATATGTATTGCACTCTGTTCAACATACCAGTTTTGTATGGCTGGCAAAGGTTTAAAGCTATGCAAGTTTCTCTGGGCATCAGATCAGAGATGATAAACTGCAGAGCCTCAGGTGTCCACTTAGCTACTTCATCCTCACACTGTGCCTGTGCCTTGTCTGGTAGAATACCACAAGCTTCATCTAGAGTTGCTTGTATCTGATCCTGAAAGGTTCCAGAAAAATTGTGTATGCCAACGTATCAGCGTCAAGCTGTTGAGCAGTGCCAGGACAGTTTGTGGCCTATACACCATAACTAATGTAATAAAATACTACTTATAAACATTATTATAAAGAAAATAACATTCTTTATTTGAGTATTACTTTAAGAGCATATGTATTGTAATCTCTTGGGCAAGGAACAGTAACTCTACCAAACAATATATTATGCTTCCTATCTCTATGAATGTAAATACCCAACTTACAGCTGTTGAGTTCTTCTCCACAAAAGTGCGCAGGTAAGTTATCAGGTATTGGCAAATGTCACAGTTATCACTATCTGATAGGCCAGACTTCACTTTGTCATTCTTGTTGAAAGATGAATCTAAACAACAACGATGAAACAGTTTTTATTCTCTAGTCAAGTTCATTTTACACTATCAATAATATAAAGTAAAATAACTGATTAAATTTCTATTGGGTTTATGAGGCAAGGTTAAGGAACCACATAGGTTTAACTCCATCTAGTACATGGGACCATCAGTCTTGTAAGAGTACCTTACTTATTTTTATCAACAAAAGTAACAATTAGTTAAAAAAAAAACGACACTTATTTCCATCTTATATTTTAACACAGCAACTTGATGAAATGGATTACTAACCTTGACTGGTTACACACAGCCCAATCTCTGAACACAACTGAGATGGGTCTAGCTTTTTCAGCAGCAACTGTATGATCTCTGGGGCATACTGTGTGACCAGGGAATCACACTTTTGCCAGAGTACAGACGGCACAATGTCACAAACTTTCTCCAGAATGGCTTCAATTTCTGCCTGTTAGGACACATTTATCAGTTTTTAGAATTTCTGGCCAGTACTAGTTCAACTGTCATACAACTGTAGAAATCTGACTGTCTGACCAAATTATTGATAAAAAGAACACTTTTAGTAATGAAGAAGAAAAAAGGCATCTGTTAGTATGTATTCTAGACAAAAAAAGAAACTAGGCCTTAATAACAATTTTAATATTTCAAACAGTTAGATAGCAAAATAATGATATGGCAAAAAGATTAATAACTACAAATGTGTCCTGAAATTAGGTTGCTATTTTCCCTGATTAAAATAAACATAACTAAAAGAAGTCAATTGAGTCTCATTTCTTTAGTAAGTAATAAAGATAACTGCTTGGCCAGTTAGAGAGCAAAGATATTTTGTTGATTTTAGCACATACACAGAGATAAAGAAAACCATGTCAAACCTCAGAAGAGTTTTCTTTCAAGTTATTATAAATGTATGTGACAATATATTTGCACAGTTCACATAATTCACCATTAGGCTGGCCTGATGACTTGACTGAAGGCTCTAAAACTATACCTATTAAAAAAGTAGGATTTCTTAGAAACAAATAGGTAATTTAGATAATTTTTTTTTAATATAAATAATTTAACATTCACTATCAATTTCGGTTATCAAAAAGTAAAAAGAGGAATTCATAAGTAAATTTTTGTAAATGTTGGTTAATTTTTACAACCTGAACAAAAAACTAGAAGACTGATGAGAAATTTAATTGAACAAATCTTACTGGGGCTATTAGTGCAAAACTTGAGAGCAGCACACACTTGTGATGGGCTGAGTTTTTGCAACAAATACTGAATGATGAGAGGCGCATAGTTTGAAACCATGGAATCACATTCTGACTTGATGGACTCGGGCAGCAAATCACATACATGTTCCAACATTTTTTCTATCTCAGCCTGTTGGAGAAATATGTAAAAAATTATTTACTTATAGAGCAATGTTTCATCTGCTAATTACCATAGCTCAGCAATTGAAAATCCAGAATATTTTTTTTACCTAATGTCTGAGTCTAAACAAACAAATTAAAACTATTTATGCAGATTTTCTAACTATGCACTGAACTTTTTATTTTAAAAAAAAAATGACAGCAGGTAATTGCTGTTTTTTTTTAGATCTGTAATTATTTGACAATAAAAAAAGACAAGCATACCTTTGTGAAATTTCATTTAAATTAACTGTACTGTTTTATCAAGTCAAAGCCTATAGCTATAAAACATTAAAGCTTGCATACTAAGATTTCATCTATTTCTTAACATTAAATATTCCATCAACTTACCTCAGAAGCATTCTGCTGCAAGTAGGTATTTATATATGTAACAACATATTTACACAAGTCGCACATTTCACCATTTGGCTGGTTTAAGTTGACGTGAACTGCTGGCTTAAGGGTTAACATAACTGTAAATAAAATGTACGTATTAGTAAAAAAAATTTGAAGCAAATTTTTTTGTCTTGATTAAATAAATTGAATATTTTTAAAAACTACCTTCAATAAAATACTTAAAAAAAACTTTTTAAAAAACCACGTTTTTCTTGTGGACTAAAAAGTAGAAAATAAAATTTTCTTTTGTGCTTCCTCGAGCTGTGCAGGTTCTTGTGATGACTGACAAAAAACGTGGGTACGTTCACCATCAAATTTCCCGACCCATCTGCCCGACCCACGTTTTTTGTCAGTCATCACAAGAACCTGCACAGCTCGAGGAAGCACAAAAGAAAATTTTATTTTCTACTTTTTAGTCCACAAGAAAAACGTGGTTTTTTAAAAAGTTTTTTTTAAGTATTTTATTTTCTCCTTTTTAGTCCGTTGCTACACATGAAAAACGTGGTTTTTAAAAAAGTGTTTATAAATACACAGACTAAAAATCTTGAGCGACCAGGATTCGAACCTGGGTTGTCGCGGCCACAACGCGAAGTACTAACCACTATACGATCACGGCCAGCGCGCTCACATCGATTGGGGCCGAAGTAACTGGGTCAATAGGCCTCCAGTCTTGTCGGTATCTTTAGAAATCATGTCCTCAATTTTATGGTCCTTGGGGCGTAATTAAATTAAGCTAATTACGGTCACTAATTGCTAGTTTTTATGATTGCATCTGAAATTGTTAGGCGAAAGTAGCATGCATGCCAAATTTCAGGTCTCTAGAGCAATCAGAAGTGGGCTAATTTTCGATGTCAATTTTAACAACAAACATCCAAACAACCAAACAAACAAACGCGAAGCTGAGTTAAGAAAAACGTGTTAAAAACACTAACACTATCGCAAAGCTAGCCAGTAAAAGTAAAAATCGTACCTCTGTTGGTATCACATAATTTTAGAGCTGCACAGACTTCCGATGGGGTTAGTTTTTGTAGCAAGAGTTCAATAATTTTTGGAGCATATGTTGCGACTAGTGAATCACACTGCTGTTGGATAGAGGCTGGCAGGAAGGAACAGACTTTTTCCAACAATGCTTCTATTTCTGCCTGTAACATAACAGAGTCAAATTAGGTATTTAATAACAAAAAATGTGTTGCCTAGCAATAGAATAACAGTAAATATTTAAATACCTCTGAAGCATTTTGTTGCAAGTAGGTATCAATATATGTGACAACATATTTACACAAGTCACACAATTCACCATTTGGCTGGTTTAAACTGAGTTCAGCTGATTGTTTTAGGGCAGCTGTTGAAGGAGAAAATGTCAAACATTGAGATTTTTTTTAAAGTTGGGTGGGAGGGGGAGGGGTTTTAAATTATTTACATTTTATATTTAACACTGAATGAAATTTATGACAATTATTGTATACAAAAATACAGAATGTAAATAGATGTGTTTTGACAGGCAGATAAATATCTATTAGACTTAAGGGGCATGCAATGAATACACTTAAACTTGATTTTACAGAAGAAGAATCTTTTTAATATAAATAAATCTACATATTTTTTACATACAGAAATACGAAATAACTTTTTAAGAAATTTTTTTTAAAAAGAAACAATTTACCTGTGCTATTAGTACAAAATTTGAGTTTGGCACAGACTTGTGATGGGTCAAGTTTTGATAACAAAAGCTGAATAATAGTTGGGGTATATTGTGTCACCAGCGCATTACATTCTTGTTGGATGGCAGATGGTAAGAAAGAGCAAAGTTTATCCAGCATTTCTTCAATCTTGGCCTGTTAAAAAAATAAGCATATCATAAAATGGTTTCTGAAGTAACTTCAAAATAAAATGGATGTATTAAGTTGACACATACCTCAGAAACATTTTGTTTCAAATAAGTGTCTATGTATGTGACAACTAATTTACACATATCACAAAGTTGACTCTTCGGTTGTTCTGATGAGGGATTCTCTACTGCTACTCTGGTCACTGTAGTGATAAAGTTTGAAAAAACATAATTTACTTTTAAGATAAAATAATGTTAACTTAAGTAGAACATTCTTGAACCAAAAATGCTGTTTCCTAACAATATGACTTGACAAAGGATATAATACATTAAATACTACACATTGTAAATTATTAATTATGATTTTAAAAATTGTTACTGATAAAAAAATTTAGGCTTTTACCAGTGCTGCTAGTACAAAATTTGAGTTTGGCACAGACTTGTGATGGGTCAAGTTTTGACAACAAAAGCTGAATAATAGTTGGGGTATATTGTGTCACCAGCGCATTACATTCTTGTTGGATGGTAGATGGTAAGAAAGAGCAAAGTTTATCCAGCATTTCTTCTATCTTGGCCTGTAAATAATTTTTTTTTAAATTTAATTTGTTAAAAATAAAAACTAATATCTAAAAACTTCACAATAAAATTGATCTATTAAAACGGGACATACCTCAGAAACATTCTGTTTCAAATAAGTGTCGATGTATGTCACAACCAATTTACACAAGTCACAAAGTTGACTCTTTGGTTGTTCTAATGTGGGTTTCTCAGCTAGTACACTAGTTACTGTAGAGATGAAACAAAGCATACATTATAAAAAAAATGTAAAATTTTAATACATGGTAATTGAATTTTCCGAAAATGATTACCTGCGGGATATTAATATGTATATTTTTAAAATGCATGCCTATTAATTACATTCTAAATGCGCTTTGTTACTATTTAAGGTAGAATGCTTGACAGCCAGCAATAAAAAAAAGGTATAAGAATGAATCTGTTTAGATTTTGTGTAGTTCACAAAATTCGTTCTTTTCATAAAACCTTCATTTAATTTAGTGTTAATAGTGTCTAGCAAACAAACAGTCCACTCTTATATGTCAGCTCTCAAACTTGAAGCTTCTAACACAACAGAGAGGTCATGTGATAAATAATGTGTCTACTGGTTCAGTAGTCTGGGTTTTGACTTATTTTCTATTCAGAAATAGTTCATACCCAATTTAAGTTGAGGGAAAGTAAATGCCAAACAATCCACTTATATGTAACACCATATTGAAACAAGTAGGCTCTAGATGCACTCTACTCACAGGAAAATTGTTTCATGAAATAATTTAACTCGTATAAAATAAGTTTTTAAATCCATTAGATGATCATATAATAGTAAAAAATTAGCAATGCACTGGATTGTTTAAAAGTTTTATTCAGTTATAAGTTGATGTTTTAGTAAGTTTCAACCTATTGTTTAAGTCATAGAAATCAGAATTAAAATTGAGTAATGATGTATTTTTTTTAAAGAGCCATACTCTTTCTTTTTGAGTTGGTAACATAGGTAATTGTAGGTCAGGGAAGATCAATTTAAGTTTATTTAGCAAAAAAGTAAAGGTTAGTAAAGCCAAAGTATTCAGGTTATAGCAATGATTAGGTTGAAGCTGATGTATTATTCTGAGAAAAATGCTCAGTAAAAAATTAAAACGTTTTTATTTTAAGATGATTAGTAACTGCCAGACAAAAAATGAGCAAGTTTCGATCTATCCCTTTTTTTCTCAGTTCTCTCACAATGATCATGACAACTACTTAATGTATCATGACTACTACTTACAGTATCATGACAACTACTTAATGTATCATGACTACTACTTACAGTATCATGACTACTATATACAGTATCATGACTATTTTTCCAAAAAATTCAATGAACATACCCATGAGACTACTCACAAAAGAAGAAAAATTTTCTTTTAAAAAAAATGAACTTAAAACTGACAAAATATTTATTTGATGTCCATTGTTATTTCCCTGTAGCTCAATTGCTTTACCATTGTAAAAAGTTGTAGGCTTTAAAAATGTGCAACCTTTTTTTAAAAATCTTACCAGTGCTGCTAGTACAAAAGTTGAGTTTGGCACAGACTTGTGATGGGTCAAGTTTTGATAACAAAAGCTGAATAATAGTTGGGGTATATTGTGTCACCAGGGCATTACATTCTTGTTGGATGGCAGATGGTAAGAAAGAGCAAAGTTTATCCAGCATTTCTTCTATCTTGGCCTGTTAAAGAATAAATTAAGCATATTGTACAACTATAAATGTAATAATTTAAGTATAAAACTTGTGTATAAAATTAAAACATACCTCAGAAACATTTTGTTTCAAATAAGTGTCAATGTATGTGACAACCAATTTACACATGTCACAAAGTTGACTCTTTGGTTGTTCTGATGTGGGTTTCTCTACTGCTACTCTGGTTACTTTAGGTATAAAGAAAAATTTGAAACAATATAAAAATTAACATTTTTGTTGAAACTATGTTTACTAAACCGGTTTTCTAGATTTACCAAAAATGTATGAATACAAATATGACCTACTGAAAACAGGTATTACAAATTAAATACAGCATAATGTATAGAACTACTTATAATTATGAAAAAAGTGTTTTTAAATAAGAAATTTTTTTTTTTCAATAGTAAATTCAAAAGAAACAGTTTTTCATAATGTTTTAATTTTAGAAAACAACAATCTTATTTTAAAACCATATATAAAAAAAATTATATCTTTTCAAACATGTATGATTTAATTAATGTAAATCTTACCAGTGCTATTAGTACAAAAGTTGAGTTTGGCACAGACTTGTGATGGGTCAAGTTTTGATAACAAAAGCTGAATAATAGTTGGGGTATATTGTGTCACCAGCGCATTACATTCTTGTTGGATAGCAGATGGTAAGAAAGAGCAAAGTTTATCCAGCATTTCTTCTATCTTGGCCTGTAAAAGAATAAATAAAGCATATTATGTAAGCATATTTTAATCTACTTATCTAATAACTTAACAATGATATTGATGTATTATAATGTTTTGTTTAAACATACCTCAGAAACATTCTGTTTCAAATAAGTGTCAATATATGTGACAACTAATTTACACATATCACAAAGTTGACTCTTTGGTTGTTCTGATGTGGGTTTCTCAACTGCTACCTGGGCTACTGTAAAGATAAAATATTGGAAATATATTACAGAAATATTTATTGTATAATCGAGAAATCAATTTACTTTTGAGTGTAAAAGTTAATAAGCTATGTCCAATAATACCAAATGATTAATATTAAAACTCAATGAGAATTTAAAAAATAATAAATGTTATAATTTAAAATAAAAAATAGCAATATGGCATTGACATGTTTAAGATCAATAGAATTTTTTTTTATCAACAATTTCAAAATTTTCAGTTTTTGCCATAAGTGTATGTTAGTGTTATGTTGACTGATGTCTAACTATAGTAAATGTTGTTCAACTGTTTAGTGTACTTTTATTTCTGTACTTGCTAGTCAAGTATATATACATTGGCAAATGCTTATATTTTTCTTTTTCAGCGCATTATATTTATTTGTCTGTATTTTTATATTTAAATTTTAGTGCAAAATATTTGTTTTCATTTATTTAGTTTTCTCAGTCTCCTGTTTTCCTAATGCCTGTGTGCATAATGTAAAATATTAATTGTAAAATTTAATCGCATTTTTATTTCACATGCATTATTGTCATTTTTCTCAATCTAATAACACAAATTCCTGCAAAGTTAGAAAATTATTTGGAGTTTTATAACAGTTCTTTGCTGAACAGTTCACAATTTACTCTTTTTTTATTTTATCTGTGTGGTCTATTGGTTAGTTTGTTGTATCTACAAGCCAATAGCATTCACCAAAATTAATGCCAAAACATTATTAAATAAACAGCATCATATCTGAGCTATCTGGCAATGGATAAGCAATGGTAAGATTTGCCTATTCGTTGCTGTGTGAAATATTATTTACAAAAAGCTTCATAATCAAACATTTCAAAATAACTTGATTTCCAAACAATTTACCAAATTTTTTTTAACACATTACGTGAGCTTTTCATATAAAAGAAATCTCACCAGTGCTGCTAGTACAAAATTTGAGTTTGGCACAGACTTGTGATGGGTCAAGTTTTGATAACAAAAGCTGAATAATAGTTGGGGTATATTGTGTCACCAGCGCATTACATTCTTGTTGGATGGCAGATGGTAAGAAAGAGCAAAGTTTATCGAGCATTTCTTCTATTTTGGCCTGTTAAAGAATAAATAAAGCATATTGTACAACTATAAATGTAATAAGTTAACAATAAAACTTATATATAAAATTAAAACATACCTCAGAAACATTTTGTTTCAAATAAGTGTCAATGTATGTGACAACTAATTTACACATGTCACAAAGTTGACTCTTTGGTTGTTCTGATGTGGGTTTCTCTACTGCTACTCTGGCTACTGTAGGAATGAAAAAAATTTGGAATAATTATTTACTTTTTAGATTAAATAATATTAACGTTAGAACATTCTTGAAATTTCCAAAAATGCTGTTTCCTAACAATATGACTTGACAAAGGATATAATACATTAAATACTGCATAATGTAAATTATTAATTATGATTTTAAAAATTTTTACTGATAAAAACCTGGGCATTTACCAGTGCTGCTAGTACAAAATTTGAGTTTGGCACAGACTTGTGATGGGTCAAGTTTTGATAACAAAAGCTGAATAATAGTTGGGGTATATTGTGTCACCAGGGCATTACATTCTTGTTGGATGGCAGATGGCAAGAAAGAGCAAAGTTTATCCAGCATTTCTTCTATCTTGGCCTGATAAAAAAAATAAAGCATATTGTAGAACAACTATTAATGTAAAAATTTAACAATAAAACTTATGTATCAAATTAAAACATACCTCAGAAACATTCTGTTTCAAATAAGTGTCGATGTATGTGACAACTAATTTACACATGTCACAAAGTTGACTCTTTGGTTGTTCTGATATGGGTTTCTCTACTGCTACTCTGGTTACTGTAGAAAATGTAATGTACAAAAGATACTACAAAAAGAATAACCATATAAAAATAATCAGATCTGATCTTGCTTAGAGGCAACAAAAATACAATTTAAAAAAATAATTTTTTTTGCAGTATTCCTAAACCTCAGTCAAATTGGTCGCTGGACTGATATCTTGGTTTATCTAAATTTTATAATTTTATTTAGTAATCTTGCTGAAAAGGAAATGAAAAACTACACCTTGATAATCCTCTCCAACTCTCAAAATGGTAAATTTATAAATAGAGTGAGAGAGCAAAATAATAATGAGCACAAGTAATAAATCATTAAAAATTTACATTCAATTAAACAGCAATTTTTACCAGTGCTATTAGTACAAAAGTTGAGTTTGGCACAGACTTGTGATGGGTCAAGTTTTGATAACAAAAGCTGAATAATAGTTGGGGTATATTGTGTCACCAGGGCATTACATTCTTGTTGGATAGCAGATGGTAAGAAAGAGCAAAGTTTATCCAGCATTTCTTCTATCTTGGCCTGTTAAAGAATAAATTAAGCATGTTGTACAACTATGTATGTAATAATTTAAGTATAAAACTTGTGTATAAAATTAAAACATACCTCAGAAACATTTTGTTTCAAATAAGTGTCAATGTATGTGACAACCAATTTACACATGTCGCATAGTTGACTCTTTGGTTGTTCTGATGTGGGTTTCTCTACCAATACTAGGAATAAAAAAAATTCAAACAATTGTAACACTTATTCCTTACATGCAACCATGTTTTATTGAAGTTATACTTTCTAGATCTTTACAAAAATACAATGTCAATAGCAACATGACTAAATAAATAATATAAATAAAATACATAACAATAAGAATTATTAATTGTGGTAAAAAAAAGGTATTTATCTAAAACAGGTTTGCTTTTTAAAAATTTTAAAGTTTTCTCAGTAACAATGATTTTTTTTAAAGGACAATTTTCACAAAACAACCATTATTAAAACCAGTAAAGTTTAGCAAAGCTCCCTTTGAACCAGGCAGTCCATGGGCAAGTGAATTAGAGTTCAACTGTTTTGGTGACCTCTGCATATAAATGGCTGGTGTGGTCAGAACTATACCCAGCTGACTTTACATTCCCTAATGTGAATCTGGTTTCCATAAGTTGGGTGGAGTCAGGAATATTCTACAGACTTGAAAAGTCAACTCGATATTTTCTGGTTAGCAGTCACATGCTCGACCAATTGACAACGCCATCTCCAAATTTAAAATTAAATTCAATTTTTTTTTCTAAATATGTGTTTTAAGTAAACAAATTTTACCTGTGCTGTTAGTACAAAAGTTGAGTTTGGCACAGACTTGTGATGGGTCAAGTTTTGATAACAAAAGCTGAATAATAGTTGGGGTATATTGTGTCACCAGGGCATTACATTCTTGTTGGATAGCAGATGGTAAGAAAGAACAAAGTTTATCCAGCATTTCTTCTATCTTGGCCTATTAAAAAAATAAGCATATCATAAAATGGTTTCTCAAATAACTTCAAAATAAAATGGATGTATCAAGTTGAAACATACCTCAGAAACATTTTGTTTCAAATAAGTGTCGATGTATGTGACAACCAATTTACACATGTCACAAAGTTGACTCTTTGGTTGTTCTGATGTGGGTTTCTCTACTGCTACTCTGGCTACTGTAGGAATGAAACAAATTTGGAATAATTATTTACTTTTTAGATTAAATAATATTAACGTTAGAACATTCTTGAACTTTCCAAAAATGCTGTTTCCTAACAATATGACTTGACAAAGGATATAATACATTAAATACTGCATAATGTAAATTCTTAATTATGATTTTTAAAATTTTTACTGATAAAAAATCTGGGTATTTACCAGTGCTGCTAGTACAAAATTTGAGTTTGGCACAGACTTGTGATGGGTCAAGTTTTGATAACAAAAGCTGAATAATAGTTGGGGTATATTGTGTCACCAGCGCATTACATTCTTGTTGGATGGCAGATGGTAGGAAAGAGCAAAGTTTATTCAGCATTTCTTCTATCTTGGCCTGTTAAGTAAGTTGTAAAAATATAATAAGCAAATTGTAAAACTATTTATCTAACTTTGCAACAAAATAGTTGTATTCAATTGAAACATACCTCAGAAACATTTTGTTTCAAATACGTGTCAATGTATGTGACAACCAATTTACACATGTCACAAAGTTGACTCTGAGGTTGGCTTACAGTCTGTGTTGCTACTGTGTATGTACCTGAAAAGATGTTTTACAAAAACATTGGGTTTTTTTTTAATCTGCAGGCTGACAAGAAAAAATGTAACACAAAAAAAACGGCTCAAGATATAAACAAGCTTAAAAAAACAACAAAAAAAACCAGCAATACCAACAGTAATTAGATACATTTGATTATTAAAAATAATTTTTATATATATATATATATATATATATATATATATATATATATATATATATATATATATATATATATATATATAACTATCAGCTAGCATAAGTGAGTAATCAACAGTTTATAATAAAGTAAATAAACAAAATAGCAAAAGAAACTGAACATTTTTTCCCCAAGTGTATGTTTTACAAACTAAAAGTCTCTTGAACAACTGATATTTTCAAAGAACGTGTTAAAATTTTCCAGACAAGTTTTAACTATTTATAGAACAAATTAACTAAAAGTTCAACGTGCTTAAATTTGAAGAACAAGTTTTACACTCGTTCATACAATTTACTTGTATCCTTTATCTTACCATTAGTGCAAAGCTTCAGCGCGGCACACACTTGTTGTGGGCTGAGCTTTTGTAGCAAGAACTGGATAATAAGAGGCCCATAAGCTGTCACCATTTCGTCACACTGTGACTTGATAGAGGACGGTAGAACGTCACAAACGTCTTCTAACAGTTTTTCTATCTCTGCCTGTTTAACACAAATTAATTCAAATTTTTTTTAGGAATATTTATTTTTGTATGATTTATTTATTAAGTATAAGTTAGAATTATGGGACAGTGTGGTCAAATGGTAGAACATTCTACTGCTAACCCAAAAGTCTGAAGATACTGGACTTGAGTCCAGTCTGTCCAAGGTCCATCCATCTAATGGGTACCTGAATCAAGTTAGGGAAATCTAAGGAAATCTAAGAAAGCTGGTCATAATGACCACACCATCCCCAGGAATGTAGAGGTAATTGAAAAAGGTGAACTGTACCTCACCTTGTAAACTCTACTTCAACTGCCACATGGACTGTGAGGTTCAAAGGCTACTTTACTTGTTTTTTAAGGCTAGACTTACCTCAGAATCATTTTTTTTCAGGAAGGTATTGATGTAGGTGACAACAAATATACACAAGTCACACACTCCATCATTTGGCTGTGTTTTAATCGACTCAAGTGTTACTGAAAGTAAAATGTATTTTTTAACATACTTGTTTTAATTTTATAGATTTTTTTTTACTTGTATATATATATATATATATATATATATATATATATATATATATATATATATATATATATATATATATATATATATATATATATATATATATATATATATATATATATATATATATATATCCTAATTTATAAAAGCCCAATGTGCGCACATCTCTCTCTCTCTCTCTCTCTTTCTCTGTCCGCAAAAAATTTTCGCCGGACATCACGTCAGAATCGGCAGCGATATATCGAGAATTTTTTACGGACTTTTGTTGAAAATAATATGTTAGATGTTTTAAATGTATAACCACAATTTTATTTAAAGAAGAAAAATAAAAATTTAAGGCGTATTCGAATGTAGAGAAACAGTATTATTTATGCAACCGGAAAAGCATTAATATATGTGAAAAAGAACGCATAAAACTGTGACGTCACTATTGCTTATACATTAACTATTGACGTCATCTGCCTAAATAGCGAAGATGTTAGTGTACATTAAACCACGCAGGTGGTGCGGGTTCGAGACACACCAAGTCAACTTGGTTAATGTATTTATTTTTATTATGCTCGGGCTAAACTTAAAAAAAAATTCTTTTAGGAATCTAGATCTAGATCTAGATTGTCGGGTGTCCGATAGGGCACTTCCCGGCGCCGCAGGCGCTTCAAATTTGGCAGGATCTTGCCTTGGGGCGACAGAACACGGGGGCCGGTTGGCCGAAAAGTCTACGATGAGGGGGTCAAAACTGACCTCGACTGACCGGTACCTTATATGAGCTATAAATCGAAAAAAAATGTCCACGGATTAAACCTCTTCATAACTCTTGAGGTCGTAGACCGACCCTCGGGCGAATTAATTAAGCATGCAAATTCTCAATGTTTTCGAAAGCCTAAGCGAAGCTGGGCAGCATGCCTAGTATATATATATTGTACATTACTAAAAGCAAAGGTATAACTTTTTTTGCACAACAGTTTAAACTTTAAAAACTTTACACATCTTAATAGCATATTTCTAAACTAAGCTTATTATCAATAGAATTATAGAGCTGACAAAGTATCCAACCATTACCTCCATTTGGTTTAACTTAAGACCCACTAGATTAAAATATTACAAACAATTTACAAGTTTGCATCCCAATGATGATCTAACTGAGCATTTCTGTATTTACAGACTAATCAAAAGATCTTACCAATGCTGTTGGAACAAAACTTGAGAGCAGCACACACTTGCGACGGGTCAGATTTCTGTCGCAGCAATTGAATGATAAGAGGCCCATAGGCTGTAACCATTGCATCACACTGAGACTTGACTGAGGCTGGCAGAATGTCACACACTTTTTCCAACAGTTTTTCTATCTCTGCCTGTTTAACACAAGTTATTCCAATTTTAATTTTTTCAGGAATACCTTTCCTGATTTCATTCTTAACTAATAATTAGTCTGCCTTACCTCAGAATCATTTTGTTTCGAGTATAAATTGATGTAAGTGACAACCAGTTTACATACGACACACAATTCATCATTTGGCTGGCTGACTTTATTTTGAACATCAAGCACTGCGCTAACTGTGGCAGTAAGAAATAAAACTTACTTTAAACTCTGTCAAATCATGTAAAAGCTTAAATATTTAAAATAATTTTTTTTTAAAGGAAATAAAAACTACAATTAAGTTGTTTGCAAGTGTATCTTTTGCTCTAAGATGCATTGCATACCTGAGTTGTTCTTACACAGTCCAAGAATTGAACAAATAAGATCTGGCTGAAGTTTGGCCTCCAGAAACTGTAGAGCGATAGCCAAGTATTTTTCACCAAAACTGTTGCACTCATCACTAATACCTGGTGGTAGTCTGTTGCAGAAATCCTGAAGATATTTCTCAGCACTTTGCTAAGAAAAGATTTTTACAAATGTATTTCTTTTTAATAACTATAATTTAACCCCTTTACCGTGGAAAAAAAAAATTTTTTTTTGGAAACTGTGTATTTTTTTTTTTCATTATTTGATTTGTTATGTTGTCCTGACAAAATAAAAAATCATTTTGAGTGAAAATGAGTTGACATTTAGAATTTATGAGGTAAATATAAAGAGGGTAATTCAAAAGCACAGTACCAACATCACGTGATGACCTATTTTTATCATACGCTGTTGAATTGGCTGTTAGATTATCCTCCCTCTAAATTGTTATTGATTTCCAATGCTATTTTCGTATCAAAACGAGTTAACTCGCGAATCACGGCACACAGACGACTTTTTTATCTGAAGACGAGTTAACTCGTGATGTACGGTTAAGCCCAAGATTTTATATCACGAGTTAACTCGTGACACACGGTAAAGGGGTTAAAATAGTTTAATATGAGGTCTACTTTTTTTTTAATAATTAAAAAAAAAAGGCTGTTAATGAAAATTTTATGGCGTAAAAGCAGCTGTAACAACACAATAAACAATGTCTGTTTTATATTTTACGTATAATGTTTAGAATTCAAAATGCTTAATATCTATTACGAGTGATATTATTCTATTTTTCTACCTCAGTAGAATTATTTTGAAGGTAATCTTCCAGCACTTTGAGGACCACTTGACAAATTATGCAAGGCACACCGACAATTTGTTTAGGTTCTTCTAATATGGGTCTGTCTTCTATAATAATAAAAAAACAGTCATGTAAATAATTTCTATATTTTATGCTTATATAAATTATTTTAAAAATGTAACAAATGTACTTTATTTTAAAATACAATTTACCAATGGTATTGACAATTCTACTGCTGACTGGTATATTACAGATGTCCAGATTTTCACAAACAACCCTTGGTTCCTGTTTTATTAAAAATAAAATACAAATTTTAAAAATAAAATACAAGTTACATTAGGTTAATATATGAGATTAGTTTAACCTGGTAAAATGATTACAAACAAATGTTTCTAAACAAAGTCAATACCATTTCAGTGGCCACAAATTCAAAAAAGTATTGCAAGCCTTCCTCCACAACTGTATCACACTGAAATCAACAATGGTAACTTATATAATATCAGGGGATAATGACATAGCATTTAAAATAAAAACATGGAGTTATTTTGTTATTTGAATAAACTTGTAAGTTTTTAAAATGAACTTACCATCTGTTCCATTTGTCCAAGATCAACACACACAGACTTTAACAAGTTCTCAATGGCAGCCTAAATGCAGGAAATCATTTATAAAACAAGTGATATTATAAATTTCACAAATTAAAATTAAAAGATTATTTAAAATAGGGAAAAGGATGATTACTAACCAAGGTCTTTACTTAAAACACAGGTCTTATTTTTTAAAGTATTAAGTTTTTAGGAGATCTCAAAAACGAAATGTTAAAAATGTTTTTAGGAAATCTCTTAAATCAAATGTTTAAAATGTAAGAAAACAGCATGTTTTATACCTGAACTTCTTGGTTTCTGTCAAGGGCTCTAATTTCTGCAACAACATCTTTACAGGCAGAGCAAAAATCAGCTGACTGAAAATACATAAACGAAAAAAACACTTGATAATTTGAAAGACAACTATTTTGCTGACCTTCACCAAACATATCTTTTGAAATTCTGTAACAATAAAAATGTATGAACATCCTCAGGTTTCTGATATCTTTTTAATGTGGTGTAGCAAAAGTTTTCCCACCATAAGAAAATGCTTTTGACCCTGCCAGTCAGACAATGACATGATCTATTTGAAATAAACCCCCGTCTAAATACTTGAGGAACATTATAAAGAGATGCACTATAGCAAGTGGTGTGGCTCTAATAAGCTATCTTAAAAGTGTGTCCACAGTAACCATTGCCCCAGTTACCAGTATCTTACAAATATTTTCAAAGAACAAAAAGAAACAGTTGTAAAACAAAACAATTACCTGCATGCTGTGTTGAGTTTCAGTAATTTTCAGACAATCATTTTGTCCCTTACAAACTGTGGCTGGAGACTAAATGAAAAATACTTAGTTATATCTGAACAATATACTTTAACAGTATGTTCATGATATTAAGAAGACCACCTTTAAATAAAGCATGCAAAAAAACATCTTATATTTGAACTCAGTTTTTGTAATATAAAAAATTAATTTAAGATATTAAACAGCATTTTGTTTTTCTAAATAACTAGTGTTTTTAGACCAATTCAGCACAATCTATGATATAAAATTAAAACAAAAGTCAACTTACAGCGTTGATAAGTCCATTGTAAAATTTATCATACTTGGATGCTGCTAAAGCTTCACACTGAAATAAACATAGACCAATTGAGGCTTTTGACATCACGTTTTATTCAACAATAAATCACAATTAACTTTTTTAACAAAAAAAACTGTGTAAATGTATCAGCTTACCAATTCTTCTCCCTGGTCTAATTTTGCACAAGGTTTTTTGAAAATTCTTGTGTAAAATTCCTGGAAAATAAAAGTCAAATAATGTTTTCCTTATCAATTTTAAATTATCTTTATAATATTACTATAGTTATTTAGTAAAGTAATTTTTTTATATATTCCTAAAATCTATGAAAATTTTAATAAAATAGTATTAAAATCTTAGACTCACAAGTGTGAAAAATTTCCTGATGTAAGTCTGCGCAGTTGACACAACATCTTCACACCTTGTACAATGTTGGTTCTGCAACATGTTTAATAAATATTACTTGCTGTTCTGAGAGGCTGAAGTTTCAGTACAAATGTAAATTACAAACAAAACTAGTTAACTACTTTACCTCTACATAAGGTATCTTTTTCCTGCAGGCCCCTGAAGCAAATGCCACTGACTCTATAGACTGTGCAGGATAAATTCGACCAATTAGTCAAACAATAGCTATGCTATCACTATTTTGTTAGATGGGGTAAAATAAAGTAGATTATGAGGTGATTATATTTCACCTGTTAAAAGTCAGAATGTGTCAATGTTTTAAAATTTGAAAAATATGTTTGTTTACTCACAAGTTTTGAGTCAGCAAACTCAATAAGCTTCAATAGAACATCTTGATCTGATGCAATTTTCTTGCACTAAAACAATAACAGGTCATAATTAGTGAATTTCATCTTACACCAACATTGTATGTAAAGAGGTTGTATGGTCAGCTGGACTCACTCAGGTTCCCATCAGAGTTGCAATGTTCTAAAGACTCACACCCAGAAACCAAATGCAAGACTTTTGGGTAAGCAGATGTTAACTCTACCAATTGATCTTTAGTTGTAGGACATTAGTGGACCCATTATTTCCCAGTTTAAAAAAAAAAGATCTTTAACTGTAGGACATTGGTGAACCCAATATTTCCAGGTAAAAAAAATATTTTTAACTGTAGGACATTCGTGAACCCAGTATTTCCCAGTTTAAATAAAAAGATCTTTAACTGTAGGACATTAGTGGACCCAATATTTCCCAGTTTAAAAAAAAAGATCTTTAACTGTAGGACATTAGTGGACCCAATATTTCCCAGTTTAAAAAAAAAAAGATCTTTAACTGTAGGACATTAGTGAACCCAATATTTCCCAGTAAAAAAAAAAGATCTTTAACTGTAGGACATTAGTGGACCCAATATTTCCGAGTTTAAAAAAAAAGATCTGTAACTGAGGTTCATTAGTGAACCCAATATTTCCCAGTTTAAAAAAAAAGATCTTTAACTGTAGGACATTAGTGGACCCAATGTTTCCCAGTTTAAAAAAAAAAGATCTGTAACTGTGTGAACCCAATAAACCAAATTTATCACAGTCAAAAAATTATCTTTAGCTGTAGGAAATAACTGAATCCACTCTGGCTATACAAACATGAAGTCACAAAAGGATTTTAATTTTTTTTAAATTATGTTTGAAGATAAAATATTAGGAAACTTTTTTTTTTAATGTGTATATTTTCAAGAAGTAATTTTTATTTTAATCAATTATTTTGACTGTAGAAACACTTCAACTGTTTGTTGCTTCTACAAATTTGAATTAGCTCAAGTAGCATATAGGGGTCAAAGGTTGGAATTAGCCTAATTGTCTCTGAAAATGAAATGATTCATACTTTCATTACTGACTAAAATAAGAGCATGATTCAAGCTTTCTTTCCACATTTAATTCAAAATTAAACTTCGTAGATACTTCTAACCAAAAATATTTATAGAGATATTTATCTGATAATAAACGGTAATAATTGTTATATATGTTAAAGCAATGTAAAATATGTTGGTGAGAAGTCATGACACAATTTACTTTGATAAAGTTGATAAATTTTATACAAAGGTTACAGACTGTAATTATTTTTAAAAATGATAAGATATTTCTTCTTAATTAACTTCAATGATAACTATTGTTAAAGAAAACAAGGTCATACAGAAGAAAAGAAAAAAAAACTGTTAATGATTGTCCTTTTTGATTTGATAGAAAGATTAGAATGTTTTACAGATAACTAGATAGTGTATCTACACAGTACTAAAGCCTACTGATAACGCCTGTGTGGATGATGTGATTTACTGTAGCCAAACCTACTCGAGTGTGTAATCACAAACATTTTAAGCAGTGATTACAGATGCGTATTACTTCACCCCAACTAATAGAATACAATTTTTTAGTCACTGCTAAAGCAAAGTGATGTAAGCCCCTAATATTCTGATTACCTAAGCAAAATTTCCCTAATGCAAAACTAGCTAATTAACTGACTAAAAGAAGAGATAATTAAAAAAATGGTTTACCTGAAGTCTGTCATCCAAATTCTTTAGCAGAGAACATCCTTTAGCAACCATATGAGCTATGTCATATTCAGTCACCTGAGAGGTTATGTTTAGAATGGTAACTATTTCCATCTAGTTTTAAATTGTAACAGTTATAATAAATGCTATTGTTCTTTATTGTAATATCTTTTAATTTAATTATTTATTAATGAACTATGCTGCTTATAGTATTTTTTTTTTCATACTTTCTGTAAATTAGGGTTTGTATAACAATAGTTAGCATAATGCATGGGTAAGAAACAAAAATGAGGAATGAAGTATATTTACTTTGTCTGAATCTGATTCACTGATCAAGTATCTGGTGCTTTTCAGCAACTTTTTGGTCACCTTACATGTTGCATCCTGTAAATACAACAAAACTTGAGACATATATACTAACGCATAAAGAAAAATGTCCATATTAATAAGTAACTTTATAATATTATGTAAAATTTTCTAAGATGAAAATTCCACCAATGAAAGCCCACCTCAAATGTATCGTAAGGCCAAAAGTTGAGACATATACCAACGCATAAAGAAAAATGTCCATATTAATAAGTAACTTTATAATATTATGTAAAATTTTCTAAGATGAAAATTCCACCAATGAAAGCCCACCTCAAATGTATCGTAAGGCCAAAAGTTGGTTGTACACCACTGTGTCTTTTGACAAAGTTCTGCTGCTTTAGGAGAGCTGCACCAGTACTGGGCACCCCATGAACAGTAGGAGCGTTGGAGACCTGATTTGTTTATTGATGCTCCCTGGACTGAAAGTACAGTACAAAGACTACATGCTGAACTATGTTACAGTACAGACTACATGCTGAACTATGTTACAGTACATAGGCTAAAAGCTGAACTATGTTACAGTACAGACTACAAGCTCAACTATGTTACAGTACAGTAAATACTGAACTATGTTACAGTACAAACTAAATGCTGAACTATGTTACAGTACAGACTACATGCTCAACTATGTTACAGTACAGTAAATGCTGAACTATGTTACAGTACAAACTAAATGCTGAACTGTTACAGTACATACACTAAACACTGAACTATGTTACAGTACAGACTAAATGTTGAACTATGTTACAGTACACAGACTAAAAACTGAATTATGTTACAGTACACAGGCTTAAAGCTGAACAATGTTACACAGACTAAAAACTGATCTATGTTACAGTACACAGACTAAAAGCTGAACTATGTTGCAGTACTCAGACTAAATGCTGAACCATGTTACACAGACTAAATTCTATACTACTTTACATAGACAAAATACATAGATCCTTTAACTAAATAGATAAGTATGTTAAATGCAAAAATTATATAGATACTTCTACTAAATATATATTTTTGAAATAGTGAAACTGATTGGGCGCATTAAAAATAATTTTTTTTTGTTACAGTTTTCTAGTGTTTGTAATGCAAACAACCATGTCATGAACAAAATATTACAAATAAATCAATTGAAATTTGTTTAAGGTCAATCAAATACTACTTAAGATAAAAAAATACTTTTTTGTTTCCCTCTTTAAACTTAAGTTTAATTTAAAGTGAACTTGTGTTTTTGTAAAGAAAAAAAAAGGTAAGGGGGAACACCTGAATTCAACTTAAATCAACAGTAATCAAGAGTGTTCTATTTTTAAAATTCAAAGGATTCTTTGAAACAATCTAAATTGTATTGCAGTACTAAACAATACCTGATTTATTTTTATTGTTTTAAATGGTTTATGAAAGCTGACATTTTTTAAATTGTAAAAATCAGTCAATGACTTTACAATAGTTATGTAACAGTTATGTAATACTAGGTTATCTTTTCTCAGTCTTTACAACAGTTTAACTTTTGTCTCAACTTAAACAAAGAGATGAACCTACACCCCAAAGAGGTCTGTTTGCCACTTTAATTACATGAGACTGGTGAGAGATGAGTGATTAATGTATTCTATCTTTGGACTGGACTATCTCTAACAGACAGACAGCCACTTTAATAATAAAAACAGGAAACTAGTTGCAGATGCTATTGATTTGCTTTTTCTTAAAATTTTAAAGCAGGAAGCAAATTTGGAAAGTAAAAAGTGTTTACAAGGAAGATAAATGTGTACTAATATAAATGTAACTAAATATGAAGACAGACTTACCAGAAGCTAAGAGTAAACAAACCACGGCCCCCACTTGAAGTGGATGCATTTTGTTGGGTACTTCTATCAGACTGCTAGCTTTAGGATGGCTTTGTTGCTAGAAGGCTGTGAAAATTTAAAACAGAGATAAAAATTCATTAAAATAAAGATTTTACAACACAATTCAAAAACTCAAGTTGTAACAGATTAGAAAAGTACTTTACTTGACCAATGCAATCATTTTAAAATCAGTCTCAGTACTTTAGAAACAACTCTAGATAGACAAATATTTATTCTGAATATATTATAAATATTAGTATCCTATTGTTGTCTCAAAGAAACTCATTAATACACCCACCCCATCCCCAGATTCAAATTAAAATATTAAAATACACATTTAAAAATAATAGCGTATAATTTAACATGAACATTACATTGCATATATCTGAAAATAATATAGAGTATGCAGTTTTTTCAAATCTATTTAAAAATACTGATAATATTCAAATGAAATAGTTACAATTATTATATACAATTATGACAAAAAATTTTTTCTCGTCTTACTTAAAAGAGTCTTAAAAACTATAACTATGTTCACTTCTTCATTCAAAAATAGTAGGCCTTTGATACATTCAGTGTCAACACGATTTCTGAAGTATACAACCTAACACAATGGCTATGCATGACTGATTTCAAATGGTTGCCAGCAATAGCAAAAATAAAAGTGTGACTAAACACTGCCATGTGCTTACCATAAAATGATAAGAAAACTAATAATGTGTATGGATATTAAATCAAGATATCAAAGAGTCAGTCCAACAAGAATTTGTATTGAATTTTAGTTTTAAAGTGTTTAAGTTTTCTGAGAATTTACAGAGTAAAATTTTCTTACATCAGACAATCTTAACCTTTAACAATTAATACTGGCAAGTGCAAAAAAAAAAAGTTAATTAAAATAATAAATCAATACCCTAATTTTGTTCTCTAGGGTAATTGGCAAAGAGAAAAACAACTTACTCAGTATACACTTAACACAATGGTAAGAGATAGCAAGAGTGAAATCTACTTATCAAAATAGAAGTTAGCAATGAAACTGTCATGTGATTGGTTGGACAGCACAGGGACAATCATGTGATTTAACTATGTCACTGATCATATAATACCAAAGTTCAACAGTTAATAAGAATTCTGATGGGTTTTTTTGTTGTTTTTTTAAATGAGTTATATATATACATATATAGCCTACATTCTACTTTTACAATTACTTTTATGCTCATATGGTTAAAAAAAAATAACTTATTTACCAACACCACTTGCTTGCATTACAGAAAAGTTCAGAAAAAAATGCAACCTTGTTATTTTGACCTGATTTTTTAATCTCACTGTAAAATATATATTTTAACATTCTACAAAAATGTATTCGAAAACCATGTGATTTAAAAAATGCCACTTTTTAAAATCTAATGATGTCAGTGATTATTCACTCTGACATTCAAGAGCTCAAATCAGCTTTAATTACATTAGTAACTAACAATAAATATTAATTTTGTTTTATTTATTTCACTCATGAAAGCAATATAAATACAGTGCCTAAATAAGTTAGTTTTTGTTATCTATTCACAATTATCTATTCATAAGCTTTAAAGATTAGTATCAACCTAACCTTCCTAAAGCTAAAATGTGGTTGCTAAAAAATGTGAAGCACATTTCAAAATTAGATTCAAACCTAATCTAAAGACTCAGAATGATCTACGCTCTTAATTAAATTCTTTATACAAATGACATGTCTAGCTTCTACTTCATTCTTAATTGTAATGTTGGAAAGGATTTCCACAAACACAATTAAATATGATGTGTCAAATTGCTATGCACTCTATAGGCAGTTAACTCAGATTACAGCCTGCTTTTCTTTCTGGATTTACTTCCATAGTCTTTGTGCAACCAAGAACAAACTACAAGACAGCAGTTGTTAGATTTTGGAGTTGTCTCTCCTAGATGGGTTGCTGTCCCCAACTATTGAGCCTTATCTGCCCAGGGGTTCAAACTCTGAGACCATGAGCTTTACAGACACCAACCCCACATGTCTACTTGAAATAGTGTTCTTTTTAAAATATACCACTTCATAATATAATTAGTGAGCCTGCCAGCAATAATTTTAGGAGTATTACTTCTCAAATAATATTTCCCATCTGATCAATACATTTTACTAAACCTATTACGGAGAGAAACAAACTCAATAACCCATTTAAAATACGTATGCATTATTATAGATAAGATTAGGTAATGATGAAGTATGAAATGCCTACATTTATTAGAACATTTTAAAAACTTTTAGCATACTTTATTTGTCAAACAATTAAGACATAATTATAGCTTTTAATTATGTAATTAATCCAATGTTTGTTCTCCTAGTCAAAATATAGAAAGTTTTCCTAAAAAAGACTATCTTCAAGGAAAGTATTATAATTTCTTATAATAATACCATTACAAACTAAAAAATCAATATGAACACTGACCTTAACCCTTAATCAACTGAAAGGGTCTTATATTATTAGTTCTATGAGCTTTATAACTCATAAATGTAGATGTGTAAGTATTTTTTTTAAATAGTGGTATGCAGGAGTATAATACTTTATCCTTTCTGGATCTCTAGACAAAAAATAACCTCCAGTTTGAGGTTTATGTAAGTAAAACAAAAATTTGTCAAAACTAAAAGTCAGTAATCGTAGTATAACCAATTTCATTTTTGTATTGGATAATCATAAGGAGTGGTTTAACTTGTATTTGTTTAACACAAGATGTAATCAAAGAGCAAACCTGACGAGACCTTAAATATAAGACAACAGAACATGCGCAAGCCCTGAGTTAGGAGCAATGAAGATAAAAAAAACACCTTTAAAAAAATAATAGATTTTGAGTTTTACTACTATATCAACATGGGACGGAGCGGTCTAGCGGTAGAGAGCTGGACTGCTAACCCATAAGTCTTGAGTTCCAATCCGGGTTCAAACCAGTAGACCGTCTCTGAGTACACCCAACTCCGATGGGTTCCTAACTCACGGTAGGGAAAGTGAAGGCGGCTGGGCATAGTGCTGACCACACTAACTCTACTTCACTTGCCCCATAGGTCGTCAGGTTTGAAAGGGAACTTTACTAAACTATACTATATCAGCAGACAACATCATTAACTGAGAAAAAAGATCTCATTTAATATGTGGAATATGCACATGTGTATAGAGGGTGACAAGCCAAAAAATAACCTTTCAGTTGTAGACTGGCATGGAATGTTGCCATTCCATATATCTTAAACTTAATGACTAGGCTACATAAACATGGAACAATCTCTATAGAAGTGTTATTACATAAATAATAACTTTAGCACACTATTTACCAAAATACAGACAAAAATGACTGCATATACATATAAGTATATTAAGAGAAGCAAGCATAAGGCACGCAATCTTTTTATTAAATATTAAATATACATATATTTTTTAATAAAATCCAAAATCATTCATTAAAATTCAATGCAAATGATTAATTAAATCCATTCAAATCAATGAATATTAGTTCTAATTACCTAGGCCTATTAATATTCATAAGCAGACCTAATTAGTAACTAGTACAAGTAGTAGTGTTGTCAGCACATCAAAAGCTTACCATAAACCAATACCAAAACAAACTTATATTTTGTTCTTATGTAAATTTACTAAATGGATAGTAAAATAGAAATTGGTTTCATGTTTGTACTTCAGTTGATCATTTAACAATCAAGAAGATTGACAACGGGCGGCATTTAAAAGACAAGAAGTGCCACTAGATTATCATAGAAAAGAATTACTAGATCTAGAATCTAGAGTTTTAATTAAATTAAAATTAAATTTATTAAATAAATGATTAATATTAGAATAATGGGTTGTATCCTAACGGTAATCTATCGTTTTAGGTACGTAAATTCTTAGCGACTTGTAATGTGAAAAACAGGTGACTCCTTACATTTTAATAATTATTTCACATTATGTTTTGAAAAATACAAAAAAAAAAAAATACAAAAATGTTTCCTTGTTTCATTTATGTACCTGGTTTTAAACAATTGAATTAAAACTTTTCAGTAATAAATGAACACCAGACCATGTAGGGGTGGTGGCGGTAGGGAGCGCGTTTACAGCTTGTTTTCTAGCGTCTCCCAGAAGAGAATTATATATATATAGATAGACTTATAGCGCGAGATTCAGGGGGAAGTCACTCTATTTTACAAATTGCTGTTTATATAGCAAATCTTGCTTGCAGACACTGCTGTTTAAAGTTAATTTCTGGCCTATACTATATTGATATATTTAGCCATTGATTTAGGTTTATTATTCAACTATCTATTCTATAATATTTGACACAAACATATCACAATATATACTTCTATTACAGCCTTGACAATGAGGTAACGTTTTCGTACATTAATAGCCGCGGGCGATTTTACGTATCCAAAACGATAGATTACCCTAAAGGCCTAAATACTATTAAATAGTAAATAAATATTAAATAGTAACTTAATAGTTAACCTAATAAATTTAAATTTATTAAATAGTGTCTACTACTACTAGATCTAGATCTAGATAGCTCGCTAGCTACAGCTATCTAGTAGCTAGGCCTAGCTAGTAGCTACTGACTTACTTTATTTCACTTTCATAACTCAGTTTAGTTAAGTTTAGAAGTTTAGATTTTAGAATATCCAACATTAAAAATAAAATGTGTTTTCCTAAAACTTTACCTTTTGTAGTAAATATATTAGATCTATAAGGATGATAGATCTATTCTATATATTGTGATTAATTGCTATCGACGTAGATAATGAATCTGCCAATAACACCAAATACTGCGAATAGGCCTAGATTCTAGATCTAGTTGTGTTTTTAGAACAACAAGGGTAATAATTCGTGCCTGTTCATTGTCACATGACTCTAAATTGTAGCTATATATAGTTAAAAGGGACACAACTGAAATAACTATTTCTAGACCAAGGTCAATCCATTTTTTTTTTAAAATTTATGTACGGTTAAAGGTGAAGCTTCGATTTTTTTTTTATGTTAGGGGAGGTAATTTAAAAGATAATGACTTTTGTTAATTATTATTTACCTTCAATTTTTTTTCACGGGGAGTGGGGAGAAAGGTCGTGTGGGGTTGGATCTACATCACTTGTTGTATTTTGATTGTGTGTGGTTATGTCCGTGTGATATGAGTGATTGGGCGTGGATCGCGCCCCCCACCCCCGAACGAAATTGAATTTATTTTTTAAAAAACCCAGCTGTTTTGTATTTATTGCCATTCTTTTCTGTTCTCCAAAAAGCGCAGTTTCTATTGTGTCAAAGCACGGATATGTGAACGGGTATATATGCGCATATATATATATATATATATATATATATATATATATATATATATATATATATATATATATATATATATATATATATATATATATAGTTTCTGACAAGGCAAGGAACAGTGCTAAGCAAAAGAAAAAAAAAGAGGCGCACAAAAAGAATAAATTGACGGTTTAGGCACTTAATTTTTATGTAAGTATTTTTATGTAAAATTCAATATGTGCTCTTGACTCGAACCCCCTCCCCTCCAGTCCATACGCGTCCACACAAGTCAATTTTTTCGGACCTCCCCCCTCCCCCGTGTGAACTTCATAAAAAGATGACCCTTAAGACACAATATGCAAATCCACTGGCGGTGCGAGGTCGGGTGTCACCTGGTGCGGTCAGAGTTTCTTCCAGGCATCTCTTACCCCCCCCCCCCCCCGAAATGTTTTTACCGCCCCCCCCCCCTGAACGAAATGAAATTTATATAATTTATATAGAAAATATATACTTTTAATAGTGTCCGCCCCACCCCCCCCCCCCCCCGAAGAAAGTCTACCGCCCCCCCCCCCCGAAAATTTCAAGTGCCCGCCGGAGAAAAAATTCTGGAAGAAACACTGGGTGCGGTAAGTTCGGGTGTCATTCTTTCCCTCCCCCCCCCCCTCCCGCTAAACTATGGGGTCATCCATAAATGATGTCACACTCGTAAGGGGGAGGGGAAGGGTCCGTAATTTTGTGACGGTGTGTGATGAGGGGAAGGGGGTGGTTCAGATGGTGCGACGTCACACTTTTGCATTATAAAAAGGCAATGTTAGAAAACGGATTTTAGACGTTATTTCGCGTTTAAGAAAACTGTTTTAATAAATTGTAATAGGAATTGATTAAAATACTCTATTTTGACAGAGTTAAGACAAGATTTTAGAAAAATATCGATGTTTTAAAAAAAAAATTCACCTGCAAATTGGAGGGGGTTGTAGGGTGAGATGTGACGTCATTTAAGGGGGGGGGGGTCGTCTGGCTTTTTGTGACGACGTGTGACGGAGGGAAGGGGGGAGGTAAAAATCGTCAAAAAAATCGTCATTTATGAATGACCCATATATATATATATATATATATATATATATATATATATATATATATATATATATATATATATATATATATATATATATATATATATATATATGTATATATATATATATATATATATATATATATATTCATGTACCTATAGGTATATATAGATTCCACAAAGAAAATATTAATGATAATGTAAGAAAAGCCATACATAAAAGAAGGGAATACAGTTCACATAAAATGTTAAGACTAAACATTTATTAAAACATAAGACATTTACACATTACATTTTAGAATTAAAATGTATCCTTTTTTACTTTCTCGTATATACGAAGTATAGAGAAAGTATTGTAATCGTGCAAAAAAATCTCTTGAAATTTTAACAATTTTCACCGTATTACACCTCAGTCCTTCATCACATACGAAGTATAGAGGACTTATTTTAATCGGGCAAAAATTATCAATCCAGATTTATCAAAATTAAGAGGTTTTATGCGTAATCCATTCTGAAAAACTGGGCTTTGCAATCCTGTCCGTATGTCTGTGTGTCTGTGTGTGTGTCTGTGTGTGTGTGTGTAAACACGATAACTTGAGTACCGTTACAGCTAGGTTGATGAAATTTCATATATAAGTATTTTATCAAAATCGTAGATCCGTATCAACTTTTGAGCGATTTCCGATAACCGGAAGTGGTACTTTTCCTACTTTGAATTTTTCAAAAGCCTATAACTTGAGTACTATTTCAGATAGATAAATGAAATTTCAAAGGTAAGTAAAAGATCTAATTCTCTACCTTCTGTTAAATTTTGATTAATTTCCGTTGATCGGAAGTAGTAAATTACGCTACTTCCGATTTCTCAAAAAACTAATGTAAATTTTAAAAGTACTAATAATATTGCGCACTATTATGCGCCTTTTTATTTGGCGTTCACTTGGTGTGCAATTAATTTGTCTACGAGATTTTATTCTATTTTTAAAACTTTAAGTATTTAAAAATGGATTAAAAATCATGTCTATAGCCCGAGTTCCCATCCCCTGTTATTTTATATAAGAATATTCGAGAAAGTTTAGGGGAGATCACTCCCGGTTTATTATTTTTAAAAGTGCAAAGTTATCAATAACTTGGTCAAAATCAATATCTTTTAACAATACCTTAATTGACAAGATAGTCTACGGATCGGAGGTAGGCTTTTTTTTTTAAATAAACTGCTATTACCAAATGTTCAAACAAAAAAAGGAACGATAACTTGTAAAGTGTGTACTTTCTTGGAATTAGAAACCACGTGAGAAGAGGCGTTGCAAACTCAGATGTATAGTAAGCCTCGACATTCAGCAGCTCACTCCGTATCAATTGTGTACACACAGAGTTTCATCCAGGCATCTCTTCGGGGGGGGGGGGGGGGGGGGGGCGGAAAAAAGTCTACCGCCCCCCCCCCCCCGAACGAAATGGAAGTTATATAGAAAATACATACATTTAACAGTGTCCGCCCCCCCCCCCCCGAAGAAAGTCTACCGCCCCCCACCCCGCAAAAGTTTCAAGTGCCCCCCCCCCCCCCCCGGAGAAAAAAGTCTGGAAGAAACACTGTGTACACACAAAATAAAAACGCACAAAGGAATAAAGGAATGGATTGTCAAACCATTTCTTTACAGCGTTTTATTACGGAATAGGACTAGTAGAGAGTAAAGCAATGTCATATGTCACTGAAATGTATTTTCTGTTCCCATTTGGTTGAATGCTGGTTATAACACTGAATGCTTTTCAATATGGCATTTAAATAATTAGAGTAATTTCCACACTTATCCAACTCGTATACAATCACATTTCCATAACTGTATTGCTGTGGAATGTCTAGTCTATTATGGGCCTAATAACTTAAATAAGCACCGTAAAAAAGAATGTGATTGTGTCACCGCACTCACCTCCCGCCCTCTATTTCAAATGTTGCCAACATACACTTCAGAGCGTATTTGACTTTTATAAGGCAATTAAGCTCACTCAAATAAGCTTTGTTATATCTGTGTAATGAACCGTTTTTCTCTTGTTTTCACCCCCACCCCCCTTTTAAATTTTTGTTACATTTTGATACATTTTCTATATCAATTTTTTCTTTGAAAATTCAGGTTTTTTTTGTCTTGGTGTAACCCCTCTAAATGGTGTCACCCCCCCCCCCTAAATGGTGTCACCAGGTCATATGGTGCGATCCGCACCTACTGCCCCCAGAGTTTCTTCCAGGCATCTCTTCGGGGGGAGAGGGGGGGGGGGGCGGAGCCCCCCGAAGAAAGTCTACCCCCCCCCCGAACGAGATGGAATTTATATAGTAAACATACCCTTTTACTAGTGTCCGCCCCCCCCTCCCCGAAAAATGTTGACCGCCCCCCCCCGAAAATATCAAGTGCCCCGGAGAAAAAAGTCTGGAAGAACCACTGCTGCCCCCCCTCCCTTCACCTCTTGTGACGCCTCTATGCAAATTTGTGGTTGGCAACAAATATTAAGGGAGAAGGCAGTCATTACTCACACATCAGATTAAATAATTTATGATTATCAGGTTTAAATATAGCTTTTGGTGAGGGCCGGACTCCAGTCCAAACTAATAGCGTGCTTGTCACCCCCCCTTCCCCCCGCCCCACACACACACACGTTTGTGAAGAGAAAGCGTATGCGATCTCTAATGACCATGTCAAGTTCGCAAGAGCACGATAGATCTGATTGTTTGTTGGTAACGTGGTTTTTGTAGAAACTGTAGGTCAATTTATTAAAATATTGCTAGTCTTGTTCACCCCTCCCCCCCCACTGCTAACTAACATTTAGAATCTAATCCAATCTCTTGATCTAGTGATCTAGATCTAGAGGGGTCTAGATCTAGATATAAATAAGAATAAGAGTGCTAGACGATTACTTTTTTCATATTAGTAATTTAAGGAAGTGACGTACTTCAGCGAAAATAACATTACTAACAAATCAACAATCAAAATGGCTGCCCTCTTTGGTAATCCTCTATCTACCCAAGTAGGGCAATTAATCGGTGAGTTTTGACATATTGTGCCCTAAATAGGTTATAATAGTCTTATGCATTTTTCGATTTTGAAAGTTATATGCGGCTACACTATTTTATATGACTGGTTATTTTAAAATTAACCACAAAACTACATAATGGTAAATCTAAAATTTAGATTCTAAAAAATGTTAAAAAATTAAAAAATGATGTCTGAATTGTCTGTACTGTAGTGAACTGTAGTGTAAATAAATTTTTAATAAATGTGTATTGTGTAGAGTAGGTAATCTATTTAAATCTATCGTTTTAGGTACGTAAAATCGCCCGCGGCTTGTAATGTACGAAACACTTACCTCATTGTCAAGGTTTTAATAGAAGTATATTCAAAATATTAATATTGTGATATATTAAAATATATTTGTGTCAAATATTAGGCCTAGAGATAAATGAATAATAAACCTATATCAACGGCTAAATATATCATTGAATATAGGCAAGAAATTAACTTTAAACAGCCGTGTTTGCAAGCAGGATTTTCTATATAAAAAGCGGCCATCTGTAAGTTAGAGTGGCTTCCCCTGAATCTTGCGCTATAAGTTTACAATTAAAAAAAATAAACAAGATGGCTGCTATAGTAGATGAGCATGGTTGCATCTGTTGGAAACATCACTAGTCTTCATTTATTACTGAATACTGAAAAGTTTTAATTCAATGGACACCAGTGAGTTGACGAAAATCCTTCCGTAATGTTGTTGACATGGAATACAAATGTGCTTTTTAGATTTAGGACCGTAAAAATGGCACCCCGTCAAAAGAGCGCCGACATAAGAGCGCACTAATTTCCCGACAAAAGAGCGCCGACATAAGAGCGCAAATGTGCTTTTTTAGATTTAGGACCCTAAAAATGGCACCCCGTCAAAAGAGCGCACGACAAAAGAGCGCCGACATAAGAGCACAGACAAATTTACTTCACAAATTTTATAAAGAAATCAAAAAACAAAAATTACGATTTAAAGAGGGATGTTAGGTATGCTAAAGTGTGACATTATTTACTTACGACCATTTTTATAAATTTAATCATAATATAAATTATACTTTGTATTAGCAAAAGAATTGTTTTAAATAACTTGATGTTGCACAAATGTTTTAAGTGTAACTTTTTAAACTAGAACAAGCCACAGATGGGACACATGCTACAGAAAATTGGGCCCTTTATATGGAAGTTTGTGATGTCATAAATGAAACTGATGAAGGGTAATTTATCTTGCAATCTTTTAAACAGTTTGTTTTTCAAATATAAATTATGTTCAGCACATTTCCAGTTGATTAGAAAGTGCGAATATTATAACATAAAGTAAATGTTTAAAAGTATAACACATTTGTAAACACTTTGTTGTTCTTGTAATGTTAATAAATAACTATTTCAAATCAAATAATCAAATATTGTAGTCTTTATACATTTAATAAGCAAATATTTTAAGATTTTATTTTTTGTTGCTTTTCATTTAAGAAAGTTTATATTTTATTTTTCAGTCCGAAGGATGCCATTAAAGCATTTAGAAAAAGAATATCTCAAAATGTTGGGAAGAATTATACAGCAGTTATGTATTGCCTTACTGTAAGTTATTATTTATAATGTTAGCGTTACATATTTTATTAGAGATATCTTCATAGTTTAATTAACACTAATTAAATGGCAGATTTGTACTTGTTATCTAGTTTAATTTTTAATCTATTTCTAGTGCATTGAATCTTGTGTGAAAAATTGCGGTCGCCGTTTTCATATTCAAGTTGCTAACAAAGATTTCCTTCATGATTTGATTAAAATTATTGGGCCAAAAAATGATCCACCACAAATAGTTCAAGAAAAAGTTTTGAGCATGATACAGGTTTGAATTTATTCATGTTTTGAGTCACAGATAAAAAAAAATCACCATCAGATTTATCCAGAAATTTTTGTTGACAAATTAACATTTTAATTTTAACTAATGTATATTAATTATGAAAAATAAGCTAGTCAAGTGAAAATTTATATACATTCACCTGTAAACATTTTCATGTGAACCTAAACTATAATATATAGGTTAATTAAAATGCTATAATTTATTAAAATTTTATTTTGTACCATAAGTATATTCTTATAGTCACATTTTAAAATACTTAGACATGGGCTGATGCATTCCGAGGTAATGCTGAGCTGAAGGAGGTAGAAAAAGTCTACCAGGAGCTCAAGCAGAAAGGAATAGAATTTCCAATGACAGATCTTGATAATCTTGCTCCTATACATACTCCAGCCAGGGTAAGGACAACAGTTGTTCTTAAAAAAGGGTTTTACATTCTTTTGTGTTTTTGTAAAAAAAAATTATAGTGCAAAGATTTGTATAGGTTATTTTTCTGTTAAAATATACTTAACAATTAATTCAATTCAACACATCCAGGATTGTGAAATGTGTGTCCATTACTCATTGTTACCCTATATCATGTTAAAATTACTTCCCCTGTTTGATCCAGAGTGTACCTGAGAGAGAACAGCCACCTTTACATGAACGGGGAGGAAGCAGCAGAGGGGTAAGTGCTCACATTATTTACTGCTCATATTCAAAGTATTGTCCTTTTTAGCAAAGGTAACTTCCATTATTTACACCAAAGGTTTTTCCCTCTTAACATCATTCATGGTCTATTTAAATAATTTATGAACCGGATTAAACTTCATTAATAATACAAAGCCAGTTTTACAAGCAATAATAGCTCCCCATCATAAACTGTGTGGTGAGGAAAATGTTTTACTGCTCCTCAACTTCTATATTTCTTTCACATAATGAATTTTTGCTGTTCACATTTAATCTATACTGTTCCACAAATGTATACATCTTTCACATAATGAATTATAACAAGATTTTACGTGCTCACATTTTAAATCTATATTTACTAGTGCCTCATGCAATTTTTTTCACTAAATTTGTGAAAGCTCATACAGGTTTCTATTTGTGTCGTTTCTAAATAATAACCCAGTGTATTAACATACAATGCATAAGTCTTTAGGGTCAAAAAGTGACCATTGTGTTTCTCTGTCCAGAAAAAGTATGCCGAGCTGGTTAATGAGTCTGATGATGAGGTTTGTGCCCAAATCTCTCTGGTTGTTGTTACATTTCTATTAGATGGGGTGACAGCTTCATTGTCAATAAGAACTTAGATCATTTTGGTGTAAATACAACAAAATATAGATTGTTTTTTTGCACACACTTCTATTTTCAGAGCTTCTTTTACCTGTTTGTTTTCTTCTGAATTAAACTCTGATGCTTAAAATCTCTGCTTTTAATTTTTATGAATCTGTTTTTTTATATTGTTCTTGCATTGCTACATGCATTATTGTATTGCGCTATGTCAAGTCTTTTTGATAAAAATCTGAAATAGATTCCAGTGCAAAAAATGATTTGTAGTTTAAACTTTTTAGAAGTGTGGATACATTTCTTAGTGTTTAATGTGTTTTTTGTGATAGCAAATGATAGAGAAGAAGGTTATGGTTGGGCTAATATTTAAATTTGACTTTTGTGCATGCAAATTGCTTTTGTTTTGTAGAAATAATTGCATGAGGTGATTGATAATGGATTTACCAAGGATTAAGTGGATTTAATTTCCATCACTCCCAGCAGCATTTTCTACTTCATGCTAATCTTTGTAGCTTAAGAGCGCCACTTACTTTATTTTGTATTGTTTCTTATGATGTTCTTTTGTCAACAAGAGTGCTGCCTGCAAATGTTGTCACAAATTGTGATCTAATAGTGTCTTAGCTCACCCTTAGAAATCTAAGTGTTATACAAACCATACAACCTTTTAGCTGCCCTATGGAAAGAGGAATATAATTAATTAATTCCTAATGAGGTAAAAGAAGGCTTATGTCTTTAAATTTACAAATAAATTTGTTTTGCCAAATTGGCAGTGATACAGTTTTTGTCTTTTGTACAAAATGAGATTCAATTTATTTTTTGTATTGTTTGATTGATCTTGATTTGTTGTTTTAAAATACTGATAGTATTGAGTGAACAAAAGTGAATGTCTGCACTTTTGAAATAGACTGATCAGGGATTATTTAAACAATTTTTTTTCAGCCTCCAACTCAATCTTCTCCTGTTTATAACCCAGCTGTAGGGTATCCTGCAGCTGGAGGGTACCCACCAGTTGCAGGCTATCCACCTGTTACAAGTTATCCTGCTGGATATCCTCATGGTTATCCGCCAGCCGCAGCTTATCCTCCTGCCGCAGCTTATCCACCAGGATCATTTCCACCAGCCCCTGGAGACAGCAGCAACACCCCTCTTAGCTCAGAGCAGACGACAAAATTACGGCGTGAGCTGGATGTAGTGCACGGCAACATTCGAGTGATGAGTGAAATGCTCACAGAACTTAGTCCTACTAATGTTGACCCATCTGATTTAGAACTTCTGCAAGAGTTGAACAGGACTTGCCGGCAGATGCAGTCTCGGATTGTGGAGCTTTTAAATGAAATAGCCACTGAGGAAGTTACAAGTATGTTTTCATGCATTTAATTTTTTGTAAATATGAAGAAGTTTATATCGATAAAATATATAGTTTTCTTTAATGTTATTCAGATGACCTCCTGCGTGTTAATGATGACCTGAATAATGTGTTTCTGCGATACGAACGTTTTGAGCGCTACCGTACTGGGCAGTCGGGTCAAGCCTCCACACCTGTTGCAGAGAGTACACCACATGATACCCTACCCCCAGCATATGATCAAGTAACCCTTGGTTTTTCCCTCTGCTGCATCATATACTTAATTTAAAATATGTGCATAGTTTTTTAATATTTAATTAATTCCTTCATTTATATCATTACAAATTTGTTTTTTAGCTTCCTGCTGCTTCAAATCCCAAAGTAGGAAACTTAATAGACTTAAGTGATGATCCTTTACCTGCAACTTCTACTGTCAATGCACAAATGGCAGCACTCAGTGAGTACACTGACTTTATGCATTCCATTTGGTACTTCAAATTATTTATTATCACCCAGATAAGATAAATATCTCAAAATCCATTATTTAAATAATTATTAAAAGCACATTTAAAGTATGTTACAATATACAAGAAAAGTTCATCTGCATAAATATTAATACACTTTTGATAGTCTAGAATAAAAAATCTCAAAATAAAAAGTATAGAATTACATGCACAGTAAGATTAAGTCTTATTTTTGAGACATGTTGCCAAGGAGTTACCCATTTTATCATAAAAATAAGATTAAAACTTTTGTGTACTTCTATATTACAGCATTAGGAGGGACTGTAGTAGGTAATAATACTGCTCCACCTCCGCAACAACCCCCACCCCCAACAGACGACTTCGACATGTTTGCTCAGTCCAGACAATCCTTTGACCAAAGTAAACAAAACATTTCGTAAGTTGATACCCATTCTATTTCCACACAACACAATCACCATTATTTTTTGTACACTTTGTCTCAATTTTATTTTTTTCAATACTGACAGTGAAGCTTAAAAAGCTGAATTTATATTTTGCAAAATTAGATTATTGGTGTGAACAAAAATGAAATGTTTGTGCTTGACCTGTGTATTTCAGCACAACACGATATGATGTCCAGCAGACAGACACATACAGCGGTGGCCTCGGTCAAGCTGTAGCTCAAAGAACAGCTGTAAGTTTTGTGCAAGTCCAGTTCTCACATTCCAGTTCATTGTTCAATTCATGTTTATTTTGTATGCTAATTTTTCATTGGAAAAAAAACTAATTAATTTAAGACTAAGCTTAATATTATTAACACAATTGTGTTTTATCATTGTTTTACTTTTATCTAGCAAGAAACATTAAAAGTAAGTGTCTTTTCATTTAGTGTGTCCCATCATTTACATTTTATTGTATCATATCTCTATGCTGATTCTAGAAATCAAAGGGCTCTGCAAATGAAAATTATCCACACTGGATCATATGACTTTATTAACTCACACACAGTAGAAATCAATGTGCTTCTTCACAAACTATAAAAAAAAATTAATCAACATGGGTTAAGCTTCACAAAATAATAGTATCACTGACTTAAAGCAGAGGTTGTATATTTCATTTAGTTTAATTTCTTTAATCCCTCTATGCAGATGTCAGATGAAGAAACCCTTAAGGTATTTTCATGTATAACTATCCAAAGCACTGTTTGATTTTCAGTATTTTATTTATTTACTGTCACTTTGACTGCATGTTAATAACCAAGGATTAATTTATAAATAACAACCCTGCTGCTAGTTTATCTACTCAAATAGAGGTTTATCTATCAATTTAATTTTCCTTTATTTATAGACTGCACTTTTCTTTTTACTATTTTTGTTTTTAACCTGGTTATGGTAATTAAAAACTGTTAATTAGAGGGGTTTTTCTTCATTTATTAACATTATCTGTTGTGGAAATCTATGTTTATTTTATTTTCATGTGAGTTCAATAGCTTGATGCAATGTATGTTATATTGTCTTTAATCCCTTGCCTGTTTTTACACTGTAAAAATAGTGATTTATTATAGCTAGATTGTTATTATAGCAGCATTACTTTCCCTATTCTATTCTATTTGTTTGCTTGTATGTTAACACACTTTTTAAAATATTTTTTTCTTCACTATAGACTTCAATTAATCAATGCATGATTCATGACAATTTATATTTTTTACATTATTATAATTTTACTTTCAGTAGTATTTTAATAGTTGAAATTAGTTACTTTAAATACCTTTTTTTTTATTTAAAAAATCTTTATTAATAGGTAACACATAAGTAGTCATTATCATTTGTTCCTAACAGTAAAATCATAATAAAGAGTAATTTTAGCTTAATGGTTACATATTTTGTAACTTTATTCTATTTTGTATAAAACAGCTATTATTTTATACTCTAATATACCATTTCAGTTGCATTATTTTCCATACTCTGAAACTTTGAAACTTATTCTGATATCAGAAAAATAGCTCAGTTTTGTTAGTAATGTTATTCTTAATTGAAGGTAATTAATATATTATATTGTAGCTTCAAGATAAAGAGACGGACTATGATGAAATGGAACAATGGTTAGCCACGCATGGAGCAGGGGTGAGTCCTGACATTATAATTGAAAAGAAGCTACAACTTTTTGTGGGATTAATGTTTTTTTTTAACAGAACCACTTAGCTTACATGATGAATTTTCAATATTCTGTTAAACCTATTCTTAATTAAATAATAATAAGCTAAAATGTGTATTTGCTGGGAATGGTTACAAATATTCAATGTTCTGTTTCAGGAAACTCAAGGCAGACCGCAAGAACCTATAACTAGCTCAGGTATTATTAGATCTAGTTTGATTATTTCTAATAGATTTTAGATACTAGAGTTAAAAATGTGAATGCTGGAAATAGCTTGCACAAGTCCTGTGCATATTTTATGCTTAAAATTCTCTCACTCACCTTTTTTAAGTCAAAGTGTCAGTTATTAATCCTTTTGGTCTTATCAAAAGGGACATAACTCTGCAAAATTAAAGGATAAATAATTTGATAGAAAATTAGTTTTATTGCCGTATGTCACTTTTGCTTATTCAAAACATCCACCTTCTTTTGATTTGTATTCTAAGTCTTTGTAAACACTACCATAGTTTATAAGAGACAGTAATTTTAAATTTATATTTAAAGATGGGTCTGTCATGTGAGTATCTTTGATATTTTCAAACACAGCTCAGAAAGAATTCATTTTTCTAAAAAGATTTTCTCTTGAAATTATCCCACATTAGACAGAAAAATACTCCTAGTACTTTTTGCCTTGGGGTGGTCCTTGGTGGAATTTTAATGTTTTTTTTTTGTCCTGATTTGTAGTTTAGACAAACTGAGTGTTTACTCTGCACATTTGACATTATACTTTGAATCTTTTATAATACGAATCATTAAGGTGCTGGTTTATAAGATAATTTAGGCATATAAAAATATATTTCTTTAAATTTTCTGTATTGTTAATATACTGTTGAAAATTGGGCTAATTCACTAGCAACAAATGTTTTATTTTGTTGAATGTATTTTAATATTGACACAAACAAAAGATTACATGAATAAATAATGCTCATCAGTATTTTGTAATAGAAAAGGAATATTTTAATCAATAGGCCTATTTAATTTAAAATTAAATTAATAAATTTAAAATTTTTAAATGTATTCTCAATGTATTCTATTGTTACTGTAATGGGGTGACTTGGTATGCATGTTTTTAAACTTAAATGACAATGATCTTGATTGCAGAGTTTTTACTGTTATATTGTGAAATTAAAAAAAAGAATCTATGATTACTCCACAAAATAATAGAAATAAATGATTATTGACATAATAACTTGTAAAGCAATGTCAAAATTTTTTTAGCAGGCATTAAAAGAAAAATACTGTGTGATGTAAGAAAACATTTAAAAAACAGAAAAACTTAATGAAGTTAATGTCATTTTTTAAATTAGAACTAGTGGCTCTATTAGCGAATGATACTAATTTTCAAGAGAATTTTAATTAAAAATGAACTTATAAAATAAAAGCACCATGTACACATGTTAATGTGTAAATAATTTTTTGACAGAGTTTGACAGATTCTTGTCAGAAAGAGCTACTGTTACTGAAAATGTACCAAGTATTTCAGCACAGACTGGGCAACAACCTTCAAGGACCACCCGAACTCTTCAGAAGAAAGATGAAGATGAAAATCCATTATTTGCATTGTGAAGTTTGGTGCTAGCTCTAAGAATTTATTTTCATTTGTTATAAATTATTTGTAAACTTTTATATTATGTTGTTTGAAACAACCTATGTGTTTCACTGAGAAGAAATTTTTTTTTTTTTAACCATGAATGATTGTTGACAATTTTAAGTGAAGACAATATGTATTTTATGATAATAAAATGACATCTACAAATATGTAAAATTCTATATTTATTTAACTTGAATACTAAAGTCTTTTAATGGTGGAATATTAGATTTGATTAGTGGCCACATGTATCCTGCTTTGCAGTTTCTTAAGGATATGCAATCAATTAAATAATATACATAACACACATACATACACATTAGAAATGTATAACTTCTTTCTGCCTTAGAAAATGTTTTTTCAAGTTCCCTTTTTTTGGATAATATATCCTAATGACAATTGACAATAATTCATCGTTTGATTCTTCATCATTTACCCCAGTTAAATTATATTTATCCTCTTCATCTGGCTGGGAAGTAAATTGAAGCTATCTGAAATAATCAGAATACTTAAAACTAATATTGTAATGCAATACTTTTGCTACATTTTAGTAATAATTTTGCTACATTTTAGTATTATCTATTTGGTTGTAATAATGCTTAAACAATGACTATTATAATTTACAAAGAGTCCCTGTTGTTTATAGTCTAACCAAGATAGTTATGTTAAAAAAAAAGTACAAATTGAAATATATTTAAATATTTATACTGAGTAAAAGTTGTGTGTGCAGTTATTAATTACAGCATTGCTTTGTCAGCAGTGTTTTATCTTCACATCTCTGATGGTTTGTGATTTGATACAGCTTTTTTTGTTGCCTGATTGTCGTTAAAACCATAATTTTGATATAGCTTATCTTTCCTGTTAATTACCTGGTTGTAGGCCTTTAGTATTGTTTAAAGCAGTGGTTCTTAACCTTTTTGGAGGTTCAGAACCCCACCAGTTATATATGCACATTAAGCGAACCCTTCTTAATAGACAAAATTTGATAGCGGATCAAATGAGTTGGGTGTGTGTCTTGACCTCTGCCGAACCCCTGAGATTGATTCAATTAAACCACAGGGGTTTGATCTAACCAAGGTTAAGAACCACTGGTTTAAAGCCATGTACCTTAAATTTTTTAAATGCAAAAGAATATACTTTCTGCTTTTGTCAAATCAGTTCATGAACAGCTTTTTTTCCCCCTGTCCTAAGAATGTAAAACTCTGCATCTAGATGCACTAAATACATTAGTAAAGCTTTAAAGTACCGGTAGATTGAATGATTAAATAACTCATATACAAATAATTGATTGATATAGAAAACAGTTTCATAACTGCTTTTTATATTGCATGAGAATGAATAACATTGTGATATGCCTTGATATTATGTGTTTAGTTTCTCATTGTGAATGTCCTCGTAATAATGAACTGATCAATGTTTTGCCTCTTTATCTTATGCCAGGTTGTAATTTTGTTTGAAGGCATTTTATTGTAAGCATGATCTATTTTAACATTATAAGTAATTTATTCTTTAAATTGTTCCCCGATTATAGTTTTTATTTTTAGGAAAGGAATATAAAAAGAAATCTGTATCAAATGTTTTTTTTTTCAATTATTTTCCCCTGATTTTGTAGCTTGATAGTAGATCTACATATTTAATGGCTAGTGGTATATTTTCTATACTTCTGCTTGTTATTCATTTTGTTAAAGTAAACGAATTCTTTTTTATTTTAAAAAAATGGATTCCTTGGATAACCACTAACAGTATTTTTGCTGATGGCACCAAAAGCCAAAGGTGTTTGATAGCTGTCTACTGAAGTGGTGCAAAATGTGTCCTCACCTCTGTTACAAACTTATTCATAAGTGCTTATTTCAGTTTAATTGGAGCTCGGCGCTTTCTTATAGGTCCCATCCAAACTAAAACATCCCAGTGTTGATTTTTTTAAAAAATTGCCCAGTAATTTTAGTAAACCGAATTTTATGTATTGATTTTATTTTCAAATAAAATGGACACAAACTTAAATACAACTTTTAACTTGCATTTTAGAATATGTTACATCATATGATGTTTAGCAGCTTCTTCTGGTGAACTGGTCTTTGATGTTTTTTTGCACGCTTCATTGAATTAAGATCACTAGTGAAACATTCTTTTTAAGAGAGCATTAAGTAAAGGGTTTGTTTTGCTAAACTAGTGCATTTAAGGAAAACTTTGTTCAATTCAACATAACAATTAATTAAGTATTGGACTGTTTAATATTTAAAGAGTGTTAAAAGTCATTCCTGTTATTCTATTAAAGAGTGTAGTACAAAAAGAGTATACTTCAGTTTTTGAAGATGTAATGAGTTTTTATTACAAAATTTTTGTTGTTTGTAAAATTGTGGAATTTTCAAATTTCTGCCATTGTTGCAGACTACAATAAAGTATAAATGCATTGTACTGTTCAACGTCATTTATTGTCTCATGATTCTTTACAAGGACTACATATTTCAATGAAAAAGTCTTTCATACTATGCTTAGAGTAGTGAATTTTACAACTTAATACAAACTTGTATCAAAGAACCAAGTGATTTATAAACACAACCATAGATCATTATATATACAAAAGCATATCAAGGCATTTAAAAACAATTAAGCACACCAGTTTAATTTAATTGGATTTTTAACAGTTTTTTTTTAACAGTAATCACAACATATTTTAAACCATTTACACACAACAGACTACAAACAAAAATCATGAATTTACAAAATGACTTTTGGTAACATATTACCAAAAGTTTATAGACAATTTTAAATCGATAAATTCAGCTTACTAATGAGTTTGTTAGCAATTTTGAAAATGGAACAAGTAAATTTCAAATCCTGGAAGAAAGCTGAAATTAATTAAAATCTGTAATGTCCAACTGGTGAGTTTTCTAAAGCAAGAATTGATAGTGGTCAAGCAGTCTAGGCTGTAAAGCAGAATATAATTGTCTAATTTACAGTTGTGTAAGTAACTGACAGAAAGCAAGGACTTTACAGGTTGACCAAAGATTAGAATGCTAATATGTAAACTCATCTATAGTATTAGGGTGCCTTGAGTGATGAAGAAAACAGCTTGTGTAAATAACTAACAGAAAGCAAGGACTTTACAGGTTGACCAAAGATTAGAATGCTAATAAATTATGTAAACTCATGTATAGTATTAAGTTGCCTTGAGTGATGAAGAAAGCTGATGAACAAAATGGGAACATATGGTCATAGAATGGAAAAAAAACAACCTGTTACAATGTGTGGCATAAGAAGGAGAGGTTGGTTCTAACCCCTATCCCCATGGACCCCCAGAAAGAAAGTTCTCAGACTGCGCCACTCTTGACCTTGGTTGTGCAGTCCATGGGAATGAATGACAATTTTTTTCTCATGGTAACTTTTACTTGAGGAAAACAAAATGGAAGCATCTTATTAAAAAGTTACTTTAAACAACAAGCAAATCAAATTTTTACATCTTTGGTAAAAGCATTAAAAAAATAGTAATTCTCAAAAGAGATAGTAAGAGTACAACAGAATGACAGTACTAATAATAACTTAAGATTTGTTTCATGGTTAAATTATTATAGTTGAGTTATTGTTCATAAAAAATAATCCTTTAAAACAAAATTAAATAACATTGATGGGATGTATCATATAATTTTATCAAAAAAAATAAATATATATATAATGTGTTGTCAATTATGAAGGAGAAATACACATTGTAGAATTCACTTAATGGAACAATCAATAATTTTGGACTGGATAATAATTTATTGTTGATAAAAATTCAAATACGAAGGTTAATAAATATGATTTTAATTATGTGTATTAGATATTTACAGCTTTGAAGTAATGATGTATAAATGACTAGTTTTTTAATTTATGAGAGTACTTTTTTTTTTTACATGATGAAAAAATATTTAACGTATGGTTAAAAATATATTAAGTTTGTTTTTTAAAAGTCAATGAAAGCAGGTAAGTAAAACTAAGCTTATGAAAAAAAAAGCATAAGTCAATTTTCACAGTCAGACAATTCTTTTGTAAACTTAGCTTGTCTGTTTACTGTAGTCAAATATAACTTTAAGCCAAATTTTATAATTATAAATTTGACACTCTTCACCTTAGCACAGCTCTTAATACTCGTTTAATAATTTTTTCAAAAATATTTACACAGCCCTTACAATTATTCAACAATTTACTTCAGGCAACTTCTACCTTCTAAATTCAAGAATTATATAATTAAACTTCATACAAAATACATAAAAGTTAATGTTTTTATTAACCTAATTACATTTAATACAAATATGTTGCCTATAACATTACATACCTTTGTATGAAATACCATTTTAATAGAATGTTAAAATTTATAGTAGGCTAATGCACAAAACCAATCCTATTCCATAATGCTTATTTAATTGTTTTACAGTAAAGAACATGGCCATCTATATAATTTTTATAACAGTTAAAATGAATGCCAGTTACTTATTACTTTCAAAATTATGTTAACAAGATTGGCACAACAATTTTGTGCTCTATATGTGGTAAAAACAAAGGCAAATCATATGTTTAGCTACTTCCTTCTATCTTCAACAACCACTGTGTCACTGTCAGATATTTCAACGTGATTACATATCTGAAAAGAAAACAGATGATATTTAAAAACAGAATACTTTAAACAATTAAATGGACTATGTTCAAATGCCTACCTCAAACAAAGGTGGATCTTTACTGTGAGGGTGAAAACCAGTTAGTTTACAGGAGCCTATAACATCTAGACCATGGTCTGTCAACTTGAAAATTCCACTTCTATAGTAAAGAAAAATAACACATTTAATAATGTTCACAAACCACTGCCCCACCCCTCCCCTCCAAGAAAACCAACAACCCCAGTTCCAATTTATTTCATAATTGATAAACCACAAACTTTATGAAAACAAGACTTGGACAGAAATGAGTATAAACCTACTCTTGAAATTTAGGAGAACAAACAATGGCAATAGCTTCCGGCATCATCTTCTGCCAAGGAAAATGTGAGTGAAGATCTACACTTGAAAGAAAGGCTGTCTGGGTCGGGTGTGTCTGTTTTATATAAAAAAAGTAATACTGAAATATTTTATCATGGTTAGTAAAATAGCAGATAAAATAAAACACTCAAAAATTATTTGATTTAATAATTTTTGACTTGATTAAATTAAATATTTGAATGAACAAACATAAAAAAAATTAATGAAAACCATACCGTATTTAGAATTTCATTTTCCATTAAAGAATAATGTTTTGTTTTTCTAGATTAAGTTTAATTATAGTTATAGACTTACTGGAGAGAAAAAACATAATCCTTAAATTTTTAATGATTTCTCAAATTTCAGCTTACGTGTATCCATCCTAGTGTAATTAAATTGTGCTTTTCTTGATAATAAATAAGCTCCTCTTCATTTTCTATATCACAACTATCATGACCACCTTTTTGTTGAGGAATAAACAAATGTGTGATCTTGAAGCAGCCGCGAGACTGAAATAGAATAATAAAAACTTTGTAGGCATCACAATTGTAGATGACTAATTATCTAAATATTTAATTCTCTTCTGGGAGACGCTAGAAAACAAGCTGTATACGCGCTCCCTACCATCCCCACCCCTACATGGTCTTAGTGAGCTGTGGTTCACGCTATGTTTACCTTAGTCGAGTCAGGTTTAGTGACGGCTATTAGGGGCAGATAATTTAGTTTGAAACTATTTTAAACGTTTGGGGGGGGGGGGGGGGTTATGGTCCTTAAAGAGCTACTTATAGTGTTTTAAAGAAATATTTTCAGTGTCAGCGTTGGTACTGTCGAATTCACAAATTATGAATTACTGAAAAGTAGAAAAAACAACAACTAAATAGCGGTGTATGTTATGCCACGGGCCGGCTCGTAATATATATTAAGAAAAAACTGAAAAGCTAGAAATACATGAAAGAAGGTTAATAAAACAAAATGAGTATATGTAAAATCAAAATAGATTTACGCTATACCATTGTGCCACATAAAATTCCCATGGTCTCTGACTCCATTGCAGTGTTAGATTCAGCAGCTTTGAGAAAGTCGGACATAAGCAGGGATGGTAAAATCACTTTTCTAAACGTAGAGCCTCCAAACTCTCCCAAACTCATATGATGGTCAACAGCTGGCTTTTTACTGCGATCAACAGATGGCTTATCTATTAAAAGGCTGGATTTAATTTAGAAAAAAAATGTCAGTTAAAGAAATTTCTTGCACATCATACAATAAATAATTTGCATCTACTTAAAGTATTTTTATATATGGTACAAGTGAACTCTGTACATATTAAATATCAGTTAAAATAAAGGATCTACTCCACATTGAAAATGAATGCAAGATATATTTTGAAAAACATATTTATAGACATTAACATGGTTCAAACTATTTACATTTGAAAGTATAAGAAAACTTTAACTAATATAATGTTTACAAAATAGTATTTTAAGATAGTTTTTATAATGTAGTAGTTACATGAGTAACTTCAGTTATAAGAGTTTAACTGTTTTTATTAAGTATAGCTATTTGTAATATAGACAGATTATTAGTAGATTTATACAATAATTAAAATAACTTGACATAATATTTAAAAGGTGCATTAATTTGTTTTTAACTTCCATATAATCCTTACTTTGAATTGCTTATAGTCAATTTTTTTTTCAGCTCTCTATCCGGAATCTGGGGTGGGTTTGCACTAATATCAGTTAAATACTGGGAGTATGATGGGGGAGACGGCAGGTCGGCAATGAATTCGCCTTCCCCATTATTTAATACAGCAGGCAGGTGACTTTCATCAGGTGTTTCTTCAGCATACCCGGGAGCGCTTGCCTCAGAAATGGATGGTTGCTGCTCTTGCACACCTGAAACTCCTGCATTGAAAAGATTTTTAAAAAAGATGATGATGATGATGAATAAATTATTATATAGCCTTTTTTATAGTGTAGTGACAGTCATTTGATAATGTTTAAATATACTGAAAACTTATTTTCTTGGTACAGGAAAAAAACAATGAAATAGTATAATTTGTATCTTTAAGAGCTAAAATTTTGAAATAAATTTTTAACTTTAAAACACATATCTATATAAAGACAACACTATGGTCTTGCAATGCAACTATTTCTAAATCAATTTTTTTTCACCACTTACCCAACCCATGTTTCTTTCTTTCATTTTCTTTAATTTTTTCTTCTTCTTGTCTTCTGAGTTTCCAATATCTCTCTTCCTGCTCACTTCTGACTCCTGCTTCCTCCTCTTCTTGGAGCCTTTTTGCCATTTCAGCATCCTGCCTCTCCTGTTCTTCAATAGCTTTCCTCCTCCTTTCTTCCTCTGCTTTTCTTTGCTCCAACAGTTTGGCCTACATAACAATGACATGTCAATAAATTACTTTTATTTTTTTAAAATGTGTTTTACTTTTAGGAAAATACTAAATTAATTTATGTGTTACTTACCTGTTCCTCCAAATATATTTTTTCATCCTCAATGTACCTTTTTTTCAGTTTTAATTTAATTTCTTCAGCTAAGGGAAACACTTTCTTCACTTTCTTAAAATGAAAAACAAAAACAAAAGATCACATTGCAGTTAAGAGAAATAGTTATGTCACTCATTAAAAGACAAGATGTATTTAAAACTGTTTTGTAAAGAGTAAATATATATTGTAGACTTTTTCAAATATATTTTATGATAAGTATGTAATTAAATTAAAACAGTGAACTTACTCTTTTGAAATCTGCAAGTTCTTCTGGGGGTGACTGTTTATAATCTTGATGTTTGGGTAGTTTTTCTACAAACAGTCTATTATACAAAGATACCATATGAGGGCATTGAAATGTTTATACAGGATGTGTGTACATTAATGTATACCCACAAAAGAGATTTATATAGACAACATAATATTTTAAAAACAAAACTGCATACAAATATTTAACCTTAAAAAATGACATCAGATTAATTGTACATTTTAAAAATCTTTTTGAAAAGTTGTAATTTAATAATTTAGTCTTCATGTAAGAATAAGATCTTTTTGAATAAAGAAGGCAATATTACACACTCACATTTAAAAATTAACAACAAAAATGATTTTTCAAACTTACGTTATAAACTTTGTATATAAAATAAAAGCACTTTCCAACTGTCCGTCATCACAATACATATTTGCCATCCTCAACATTTCTCTACCAGATCTGAAGTATAGTTTTAATGCCAAACTTTTGTCCACTTCAACCTGTGACCCATAGTCTACAAGAAACTTTATCCTTTGGCCGGGATCACTCATTTGAGAACTTAGAGATGGTTGTCTTACTAATGACATATTGACATTAAAATCCTATGAAAAAAAAATGAAGCCTGTTTATTATTCGGAATGGAATGACACTGTGTTCTGTTAGTACTATAATAAAATAAAAGTTTAGGTTAGTGCTAACAGTGGTTAGGATTTTAGTTAGTAGCTTAATAACTATGGCATCACTATAACAATACTACATGCATTTATATTAGATGCTTGATAGAAAAATAATAAAGATACTTTCATTGCTAGCAATTCATATACAAAATAAAAATGTTGCACAAGTAATTTGCTGTATTTAAATGATGTAAATAATAATGCAGATTTATTTAATTTCACTAATGTATGTTTTCTTGTTGCAACCAATAGTAACATATCTATTCTTGATAGCTGTAACTGGTAAAGATTCAGAATAAGATATTTTATTGGAAAATGAATGACAGTGTAGCAAGCATACAAAAGCTTAAGCGCTTACGGATGAGTTGTTTAAATATTTTTGCAGAAAATTCTTTTCTCTAACAGCAACTATGCAAGTAGAGATTGCCGACTAGGCGACTTACGTAAAAAATTTACCCCCCAAATCATATCAGAATGGTTAAAAATGTAGTTGTCCACATAATTTTGATGATTTTTATCCCCCATCCTTAACCTACCATCAAAATAAGCTAGAAACCCATGCAACAAATTTCCACCCCAGTTGCCAAAAAAAAACTTCAATTCTAAAAAAAATTAAAGTTTTCATGATTTTTGTTTTCAAGACATACAAAATGTGTGCAATGTCCAGGGTCCTATTCCTTGGCGTTATGCAGTTTGCTCCATATGTAATCATTTTGTAAACTTTATGGCAGACACTCATTCAAGTCTTTAATTAGTTATTACATTTTTAAATACAATCAATGAATTTACTAATTTAGTAATAGAATCTAGTACAGTACTAACAGTACAGTAGAGACTGAGGCTGTGACTCATCTTTCAATGACCAAAAAATAAATTCAACTAGATTTAGATCTATCAATTCTACTAGTATAGATCTTGAACTATTACTAAGCTTAGTTTAAACTATTACAAATTATTAATTAACAAACCAGATGTATATTATACTAGCGAGACAATAGAATAGATCTACAACATAAACAACATCATACATTACATTTTTACAAAATACATTCAATTTTATACATTATACTGGCTTGAGAGCTGAGCCTGAGAGCTGATTAAAGAGGTTGTTGTACATTTAATCATTTACACAACATTAGTTACATTTTTTTTTTTTTTAAACTTTATTTTTTAATCAATATATTATTAATAATGGCGTAATGTACACCTATTATAAATTACCTAGTAGTCTAGCTTTATTTAAGATCTTGACTGGAATCTACAAGTCATCTAATGTAATTTAATAAAAATTATTGTTTCTGACTCGAAAGCTGAGTTACTAAAAATAGACTAGATTCTATTTATTTTTGTTTGCATCGTATATTTTGTTTCGTGCTTAGATTAATGTTTTAGAACTCATGGATCTATAAACGGAACAATATTTACTATTAACCCTCAATTTAGGCCCTCAAGGTTTTATTTATGTTTTAACTTCCTTCCTCTGTCTCTTATCTTTTGTTCATCGCGCTTTGTCCGTCATCGATCGAAACTGGCGAGCGAAATTTCGACCACTTCTAACCTACTGATTCGTTCCAAACTAGGCACGTGGGTCAAGACTCGATGCCAATGCAATCTGACATAAAATTTGACCAAATTGGATGCCTAATTAATTTTTAAAGAATTAGTAAAAGTTTCTTCAATAAAGTACTGTACTATATACCGCGTTATCATTATTAAACGCATTTTTTTTCTGTTCATTCAATGCGCAAAATTATTGCATAAAATGTTTTTACAAAGCGTGGGTCGCTTCTTAAATTCTGGTAAAGGGGTCGTCCATAAATGACGTCACACACAGTCGTAGGGGGGAGGGGGGTCCGTAATTTTGTGACGGTGTGTGATGAGGGGGGGGGGTTCTGATGGTGCAACGTCACACTTTTGCCTTATAAAAAAGCAATGTTAGAAAACGGAATTTTAAACGTTATTTCGAGTTTTAGAAAACTGTTTTGATAAAGTGCAATAGGAATTGATTAAAATACTCTATTTCGACAGAGTTCAGACAATATTTTTGAAAAAATGATGTTTTAAGAAAAATTCAACTGCAATTTTGAGGGGGGGGGGGGGTTGTAGGCTGAGGTGTGACGTCATTTTAGGGGGGGGGGGGTGTCTGGCTTTTTGTGACGATGTGTGACGGAGGGGAGGTAAAAATCGTCAAAAAAGGGTGACGTCATTTGTGGATGGCCACAAAGGTATTCAATTCATAATATATGCGACACACGTTTTTCTTTTTAGCTATTTAAATAATATATAATTAATATATAATTAATATATATTTAAAGAAATTCATTTATTTTCTTGCGACGTCACATTTTTGCATTATAAAAAAGCAATGTTAGAAAACGAATTTTAGACGTTATTTTAGATAACTGTTTTAATAAATTGTAATAGTTTAGACAAGATTTTGGAAAAATATCGATGTTTTAAAAAAATTCAACTGCAATTTTGAAGGGGGGGGGGGGGGTTGTAGGTTGAGGTGTGAGGTCATTTTAGGGGGGGTGTCTGACTTTTTGTGACGACGTGTGACGGAGGGGAGGGGGGAGGTAAAAATCGTCAAAAAAGCGTGACGTCATTTATGGATGACCCCATATATATATATATATATATATATATATATATATATATATATATATATATATATATATATATATATATGCATTGTTTGTGTTAGTTTGGTGCGCAGTTGTTTGTATTCATGCAATTATATTGTATTAAGACATTTAACATATTGGGAACAAAATCATGAAAAACCGTTTAATAACAAGCTTTTATATAATATTGCACTAAAAAGGAGAAAATGGATGATTCTATTTAAAGGTATAATAATGCAACACATTTTTTTTTAAAGCGTGATCACTTATATAGTATCTTTTGAATACCTCTATCTAAAATTTAAGAATCTACCCACGCTTTTCTATATGGGCCTAGAGTCTAGATCTTGTTATTTTGTTTCCGTATACCCAAACGCTCGACGAAGTGTAACTCGTGTAAAAATAACAAACCCTTTTTTAATTCCAAACCGTATCCGAATCCATGTTTATTGATAATTTTCCGGTTTCATTTCATTGGTTGAATTCCAGAGAAATCCCGTCCTCTGCAGAAATAAGCAAAAAAAAAATTACCTGGATCTTGATTTTGTTTATGATTTTCTATTCATCAAGAAATCTAAATTGAGACTAGATTTCTAGATCTATTTGTTATTGTCTATTTTTTCCCCACACAATGCTCATTATGGTTATCAAGCTATTTTGAGGTAAGTATTAATATTAGATCTAGCGCCTAGGCCTAGACTAGAATCTAGATCAAGATTCTAGATTTCTATTTTTATTAGGCCCCTATTTATTTACTATTTATTTATTATTTTATTGTCACTTCTGGCTTCTGTAAATCTGTTAGTGTTACTGTTAGTGTTAGACTTTACTTAAGTTTAGATTTTAGAATGTTAGGCCTAGAAATCTAGTGTCTGTAGTTATTGTTCTTGATCTAGATCTAGAAGATTTCTAGACTGTTAATAAAAAAAAAATACTGTTATCAACAGCAGTGGTTGTTAGTAAGTTGTTACAGTTGTTTGTTAGAATACATTATTTTATTGTTACCTCAGAAGTAGATTAGTTAGGCCTAGTAGTACTAGTAGTTAGTTATTTTAGTTAAGTTAGTAGTAAGATCTAGATCTAGATTTAGCTAGAGTAGTTTATTGGTGGGGGTTTGTCACTTTGTTGGAGTGGGTGCTCTACTGAACTCTTAGTCTTAGTGATATTGCCCTGTTTTATCCTGAGGCCTAACCCTAGCAGCTAGCTAGATCTAGATCTAGAATCTAGTAATTTCTAACTAGTCTGGGTCAAGATCGGAACTTGAGACCTCTGGGCTTGCAATCAAGTGCATTATTCATTATCACTCAATCATGCCATCCCTTAATTATTTAGTTAACTACAAGCAATAAATTATGGGACAGTGGCATAACAGTACATACTACATTTAAACCTTATTTTTTACCTTAACAATTTAATTTAACACTAAAGCAAAGATTAAAATTGTAACAGAATATAGTATAGATTCTAGACCTAGATTAACAACTTTTGGAAGTCTATTGGAGGACACCATTACTAGATCTACTTCCAAACAACATTTCTCAGCACGAATCAGTTCTTATGGTGTTTTAAAATTCACTGTTCCTCACTGTCAGTGTCAACATTTTCTTGCACTTGCAGGTTATTTCACTAATTTGAAAAGCAAAATTTCTTGATTTAAATTAACCTATGCCATAATCACTCATAATCATAATAAGTAGACCCAGATAACATGTCATTAAGGATCATCATTAAGTTACAAGATCTACTAGCTTGATAAGTTTATATAATTATAATGCCTAACGTCTGTAAAGTCTAATTATTAATTAGGCTTAGGTTATGCTTACCAAGTTTAGTTTTTCTCACTAAACTTAAACTTTAAACAATTGTTTCCTTATTTAACTTTAACATCAACCATTGCTGAGTATGTATAATAACTGCAATTTAACAAAACATTAAATTTAAGACCCAAACTGATTTAGGGATTCAAATAATTCTGTTAAAAAATTAAATCCTTTTGTGAGCATTTAAATTTATAAAGAACATACTTTATCGGTCAGACCTGCTCTTCAATTGGTTTTCTTCTAGCATAGATTAAAATTTACATTTAATTTAAGAGATTTCTTACGATTTTTTCAGCTGTAGTTTTTCTTTTAACTTATTAAGTAGAAAATTCTAATAATAAATTATATTAAACATCTTAATTTTATCCACAGACCAATGTCGACATCTCAGATTTTTCCAGTATTGAATACACCTTGGGAGATGTTATTAATTAAAATAATCATTTTCAAGTTTTTGAAACAACCATAAACTGAATGATTTCTACTGCTGAATACTCAATCTTTTATGGTAAGTACAATTTTACCATTTCATTTTAAATGTTGTTCATCAGCTGTTTCCAAACTTTTTGTTGTAATATAGCATCTCCCTTAAAAAATCTACCTAGGTACTGTTGGGACTTTGAGATTAAATAACTTATTACTAATCCAACATACAGTTTCACCTAACAATGGCAATTTAAGGCATCCTATTTACATCATATCAAATCACTTACTAATTTACATCATAAGAGGTACCCAAAGCTTATCAAGTTTGATTACTTGGCTGTCTTTAATATTTGAATTTTAAATTGATCTGTTCATGACTGTTTTTTTTTTAGTGATGTCACCCAATATCTGTATCTACTGTAGCTACAAAAAATCCATTTAAACTTAGTGTTACTATTCACTGAAAGTGTTGACTAGCTCTTGAGGGCATTCCATGTTTTCTTGTCCAGGCATAACTGACCCTCACAAAACTGTTTGGCTATACTAAATTAATTTAAGTTGGGCATATGTTTTTCTGAGGTTGGGTGGGGGGGGGGATTCTTACACGATTATCATATTTAGTTGTAAGTTCTTCAATCTAAATGTTAGTTTACATATTTTTAAAATGTATATTCAGAAATCACATTTGTCTCAGCTTGGCAACAAATTGAAAACAGTTTTACATTTCTAGTTCTATTAAATGTCTTGACACATTTTTTTAAGTAAAGGCTCACACTTTTAATAATTTACCAAAGTTTCTTTTAGCATGTTAATATACTACTTATGTTATTTGATTTATATAAAATACATGTAGAACAAAAGATGGCAACAAACATAAGAACTGCCATGGCATTTTTCTTGCCAATAAAGTACTATGAATTTCTAGTTTTTGTCAATAAAACTGAATGGCAAGATAGATTGATCTTCATTATAGTTCTGTCAGTAGTATTTATGGATAAAATCCATCAATTGTTTTTATTATAAGAAAGTCATGTGTGCTGAGTGTGCACCTAATGGTCAATATATTATGTTTTCAGCTGATCATACTGTAGTGTAACAGTAAAACTTACTCTATCAGTAAATGTGTGTCTCTTTACACTCTTTCTTTTTCAAGTTGTCTAATTTTTAGGTGTGTTTAAATGGGTTTTAAGTTGTGCTAAAATATACTGCTTTAAAAGCATACACATTTGTTTTTAGAACGTATAGAACTTCATTTCTAAAGATATTTATGCAAACATATTCCATTTTTATTCACTAAGTGAAATTAGCAGAAGCTATTTAAAAATCCATTTAAAAAGAACCTTTGCCGGTCTAATATTTGTCAGATCACCTTATCTGTGATATATCAAAGACATTCTATTTATAGTTATGCCTTATTGATTTTTTTTTTAAGTTCCTGCATTTTAGAAGATTGTTGTATTAAATCCTAGCAAGTGTCAGTCTGAGATTGGTTTCATGTGTGTTTAGTGATAATGTGTACAGCATTTAGTGTATGTTTTACCCAAATTTATTTTTTATTACATTATGAACATTTAATTTATTATTAAGCCTGTTGATCAGATGTGATTATATCATTGGCACTAAAAATGTAGTATTTCACAGCCTATAATCTGTGGAAACGTGAATTTACTTGAAAGCAGTGTCCTGCCTTTCCACTGTCAGTAGGTCTGCATTTATGTCTTGATTAAAGATGATACAATTAGGGATCATTTTGAGAATAGGTGTATGTATCATGTTCCAACTTGCTTTTTTTTTAAGGCATTCGTTTTTTTGTACTAGTAATTCAGACATAAATCCATTGCCTGTACATTTATTTATTTATTAGATCTGTAAACCCTTATTGTGCACCCAGCATTTACTCTAGTCCAAACCCCCCAAGTACTATAGTATCGATATCGGCAATACCAGCCTCACAAAATAAAGTGAGTCACGCTATTGGATAAAACTTTATCTTTCTATTGACATTTGTATTGGTCGTGTCACGCTGCTCGCACTGTGTGTCACGCCACTCGACCCCAGCACGCGCTGCCCTTCCAATACTGTTCACGTTGTCCTGACCTTTGACATTCAAACCTGGACACGCGCCTCGCGGTCTTGTGGAAACGTCGTTTTACTTTAATTCGTCAGAAATAGGCACAATCACGTGATTTCAGCGCAAACCAGTGAAAGTTGAAAACGAGGTGAAAACTATCACAAAACAAGTAAACTATCCATGATAAATTATCGCCCTTACGTGTCATTTAATTGAATGTCAGCGCAGGTCGTTTGACACGGCCATTAGGGGATACAAGATCATTTACGATGACAGTGCGCCATTTCTTAAATTAATGACTGTCCATCAACATTAGTGTATCACGTTTCGGCCCAGATTTCCCCACTTAGTGTGTTGGTGTGATCAGAAACACAAACATTTGTCTTACCACCAGTGAACAGTTGTTTTTATAAGCAGTTTTCACCTGGGGAGGGGGGAGCACTTGAAACTTCGAGGAGGACGGGGGGGGGGTTGTACTTAAATTCTTGGGATTTGGGCGGATACTAGTTGAAGTATATAATTGGTATATTAATCCTCTCTTTAGGGGAGAGGGGGGAGAAGGGTGTTGCAGGGCAGTGCCTCGCACCCCCCCTACTTTCCCCCCCTCCCCGAAGAGATGCCTGAAAGAAACTCCATTTATTAGATATAATAGATATCTAGCATCAATATTATATTTTTCAATGTATTTTTTCGTGTTCCCATAAGACACAATTTCAAATAGACACTGGGTTTGGGGGGGGGGGGGAGAATAAGAACGTCTCATAAGCTACATTACAGCCGAGTGACGTCCCATACTCCTGTTGGCCTAGTCGAGGACTAGATTTTTAACACGTTTTTCTTAACTCAGCTTCGCGTTTGTTTGTTTGTTTGTTTGGATGTTTGTTGTTAAAATTGACATCGAAAATTAGCCCACTTCTGATTGCTCTATAGATCTGAAATTTGGCATGCAGGTTACTTTCGCCTAACAATTTCAGATGCAATCATAAAAACTAGCAATTAGAGACCGTAATTAGCTTAATTTAATTACGCCCAAAGGACCATAAAATTGAGGACATGATTTCTAAAGATACCGACAAGACTGGAGGCTTGTTGACACAGTTACTTCGGCCCCAATCGATGTGAGCGCGCTGGCCGTGATCGTATAGTGGTTAGTACTTCGCGTTGTGGCCGCGACAACCCAGGTTCGAATCCTGGTCGCTCAAGATTTTTTTAGTCCGTGTATTTATAAACACTTAGTCAATTCATACTTAATCAAGTCATTAGATAAAGTAGAAAATAAACTATATAAAAAACTTTTTTAAAAACCACGTTTTTCATGTGTAGCAACGGACTAAAAAGGAGAAAATAAAATACTTAAAAAAAACTTTTTAAAAAACCACGTTTTTCTTGTGGACTAAAAAGTAGAAAATAACTATTTACATACATTTGATGACAAAAAACGTGGGTCGGGCAGATGGGTCGGGAAATTTGATGGTGAACGTACCCACGTTTTTTGTCATCAAATGTATGTAAATAGTTATTTTCTACTTTTTAGTCCACAAGAAAAACGTGTTTTTTTAAAAAGTTTTTTTAAAGTATTTTATCTACCAATAACAACAACAACAGCAGCTACACGGTAACTTTTCATACTTGACGAAGCACAGTATCACATGAAGGTGAATGCGTGTCCTCTTCTGTCAAGTTTGTTGTGATAAAGTACATTTTGTTTTCAGTTCCATGGGTCGGGGAGAAAGGGGTTGATAGTTTGTGTCTGTCATGTTCTGGCCGGGGGTAAAATGGGCCAAAATTGCGTGCCATTATCTATTGACGGCCTTTAATCAGTGACACGCCGAGGTACTTGGTATGCTTGTCAGCTTCTTTTTGCTCTTTAACTTTAAAGTTTTCTGGATCTATCTGTCCGATGTATTACTAAGAATGTATGTATTACATATTTTTGGGTACTTTACTTGGAACCCGTAATACTTAAAAAGTATATTGATTGATGTTTGGTTTCACAGCTATAGCCTGTATTCAGTTTAAGAGATCTCGTCGCCGCTAAGTTATTCTTTGCGTAATTATTAGCAGGATGTTGCAATCCGCAGTTAGTAAACAGAAAAATGTTATTTAAAACCTCAGCAGAATATCTTTTGTGACGTACATTGTTCATGAAAACACCTTTCATTATTCTTTGCTGTTGACAAACACCGTTGTTTTCTCAATGAAAGCTTACTCTCTTTCTATCCATCGCAGTTAATTAATACTGCGTTGTGTGTACGATCGAAGGGGGGGGGGTGGATAATTTTCTAATTTTTGTAGTTTTGATCGTGGTTTATAGTTTTAAATACTTCTCACATAATGAAGTGACCTGCGCTAGGACTGCTTGTTTTTGTCTAGTTGATATTATAGCACTCCTTTAACTTTTTAAAAGTAAAAATTCTTGGCCTACTAAGATAATTTGATGCGGTAACTGAGCACCGCTGAACGCACGTATTCACATTTTAAATCCAGCAATTAGTTTCATTTGGTTTCAATAATCAATGGTGCCTTAATTTTTAAAAGTCGGCATTTTTTTCAGAAAGTATAAATAGCCCTCACTTTTAGAAAGGCCCATGTTTCGATCCATTAAAGACATTTTTAGAAAAGCGTGCTAAAAATAGGCTAAAAGAAAGCGGTCGATTTAAGATGAAGTGAAGTAGCCAATGAACGTTGTAAACCCTGATCGACCCACCTGTGGGCATTTTGAGGTGATGCCTCTACATGGATCGCACGTTTCGTTGACCGTGGCATAATAACGGGTAGAGTGGTCAGTGTTAGAATAAACGCCGCCCACACTTTCCCCAATTATTTTTTAAATTTATTTTAAATAATCAACACGTTCAGTCACACAGTTCTGATCGGTGGGATCGATAAGCATCGAACAGCAAATTGCTTATTTAGATCGCATAAGTTATTACCCCTGTGGGGGGGGGGGGGTAACAACCCTGACCTATTTTCGTAACCAGATGCTCCCTGTATGTTCCGATAGACCGGGA